ACTATTTACAGAAAAATTGTAAAATTAATGAATGTTAGAATGATGTCAGAATGAAATTAAGTGGTTCTAGCAGCAATGTCATAAAGGTGTATGAAAAAATGGCTGGTTAATAGGTGAGAATTTAAAGCTATAATATATTAAGTTAAAGGACTAAGACAAAAACAAAGAGGGAAAGGAATTGCTGAATTAACCAATTGAACCGGAATACAAAAAAGAGAGGTGAGAGGAGGTCAGGAAAGCAAGGAAATGAAATGTAAGATACGAAAGGATAAATTTGTTTCTAAGTGTTCTTTCTATATATTTTTTTATACTTTGCATTTTGTATGTTTTTTCTCTTTTTTTTCTTTCTATATTTTTCATTGTCTTTTATGTAATGTTTTGTTTTTGAAATCTCAATAAATATCATTTAAAAAAAAGAGAGAGAGAGAATGGCAGAACAGACCCTTGAGGGAAGAGAGATGGCAGGAAGGAACTTGTTGCTAGCTTAGGAAAGAGATGGAGGATTCAGCTCCTATGTGCAGATTATAATTATTTTAGCCAATTCCACTTTTCTCCCTGATTAGCACTTCAGGAAGCTGCCACCTTTCTTTATACTGTAGGACACTTTTTCTCTTACAGTAACTTGAAGTTTCCTCCGGAGGGACTGGAGGAGTTATCAGTGTGGAGACCATTCTATCCACCAAACATTGATTTGCTGTGTGGGTGGCAGTAGAGTAAGTAGGTGGCCATCACTTGATTCTCTCTATTCTGTTTGGATCTTTTCTTCTCTCCCTTGCTCCTTCTTTTTCTCCTGCCCCCCTCCCCAGGAGCCACATCTTATGGAGTTCACAGACTGTAAATCCTTTCCTTTAAAAAGGAAGGGGAATGAGAAGAGAAGGTACTTTGCAGATAAATAGGAGAGGCACTCTTCTGGGGGAGGGGGGAAGAATTCCAGGGCTAAGTCATTTCCCTAGCATTACCCCCCCCCCTGCCATGCACAAAGTTCTGGGGCAGAGTAAAGGTGAGCTCTGGCAACCCCTACAATAAAATATGCTTCCAATGAGTTAAGACTATGCTGTAGAGTGGGCACAGTTTCTCTTGCTGTGGGGTCCCATTTATCTATTCTCTCTGGGGCACTGCTTTGAATTCCTCTGTTGCCTCTTCTGAAAAATGCACCACTTACTTTTGTACCTGAGCCAAGGGTCTCATTTCTCTTTCAGAAACGAGGTAAAAAGCTTTTGTGCTCTGCTAAATGACAAAGAACAATGAGTTTGTATGCTCCTGTGCAGCTGCGGGAATCCAAGGCTAACCTGGTCCGATCAAGGCCTTGAGAATGAATGAAGCTATTTTTGGTCCAGGCAGTCCTTGATGTACCTTCAAGTGGTTTTGCCCTTCTGGACACCTCTGGTTAATTCTCTTAATAATCACAATACATCTCCGTTAGGTGGTCGGAAGGAGGTCTTAAATGCATGTTCTCACAGCTGAGCCTTCATCTCACAAAGGGATTGATGGACCCATTGAAGTTTGGTCCATGCCAGCTCTCAGAAGGGACAGGACTAAATCTTTTTCCAAGCAGATTTTTAGAGGGGAATCCTTAAAAGATAGTGGGGGGAAGCAGAAAGTGGCCAAAACAGTCCAATTAATACTGAGCATGCTCACTGGCTGCAGAATGCAGGGTATCTGTTGGGGTGAAACCAGGGGTGCAGAAAAATGGAATAGAGTGTCCTGGAAAAGGTCTTAGTGGTGGGCTGGCATCCTCCACATCGACACTCCGGATTGCAACACTTGGATGGATGCCCGTCCTGCTTGTCAGAAAGAAAGATGCCTGGTTGACACGGGATGTAACAGGAAATGAGAAGTGTTTGTTATATTTTTAGACTCGTTTATTAAAACATTTAATAAAATGTTAAAAACAGTGACAGACGAGATGGTTTCACAGTGTCTAAGAAGAAACTGCAGTTAAGAACATAAGAATTACTTTGCGGAAGCAGAGCTAGCTTCCATCTGTTCCACCAGCGGTCAGCCAGATGCAGAAGTGGGAGACCCACAAGCAGAGCATAGAGGCAATGCTCTTCCCCTGCTCTCTTCTACACTGGACATTTGGCAACATTCCGCTCTTGTACATGGCGGTTCCATCTCACTGTGTTGGCTGTGCCCACTGATAAGTTATAACAGGAGGGACTTCAGGCCTGGGGGTGGGGGGCAAATGTAGCTCTCCAAGCCTATCCGGCCCTTGGGCTTGACCCCAGACCACACCTCCATAGGTCAGAGCTTTCCAAACTGTATGTTGCGACGAGTTAATTGCGTCGGCTGCAGTGTTTAGGTGTGTCACAAGAACACTCTTATAAGGGGTTAGTTTAACCGCCGATTTGCTAATACAGTGGTACCTCGGGTTATAGACGCTTCAGGTTACAGACTCCACTAACCCAGAAATAGTACCTCGGGTTAAGAACTTTGCTTCAGGATGAGAACAGAAATCGCGCGGCGGCAGCGCGGCAGCAGTGGGAGGCCCCATTAGCTAAAGTGGTATCTCAGGTTAAGAACAGTTTCAGGTTAAGAACGGACCTCCAGAACAAATTAAGTTCTTAATCCAAGGTACCATTGTACTGTAAAACTGAATGACTGTGTCACGAAATGATGTGTGTCTAAAAAGTGTATCACCAACATGAATAGTTTGGGAAGCTCTGCCCTAGGCCATGGCCCTTACCAGCCCTGCTTTGCACCCATTTTTAGTTGGTTTTGCCTAGCTAGGAGGTGTTCTTGAACCCACAATGCCTTTTCCTTGCCTGGATGGAGGATAGAGAAGGGTGTGTGTATCTGCAAGAAGCTAACCCACTGTGCAAAGGTAAAATGTACACTTGTTGCTCCACCTATTATTGCTTCTGGCCCCGCCCACTTCTGGCTTGTGGTCTCTGGAAAGTGGCCCTCAAGCTGAAAACAGTTCTCTTCTCCTGAGTTGTTGAAAAATGCCAGAACAGTCAGAACTATGAGAGCTAGAGATTGAATTTTCTGAAAATGTCAAACTTATCCACATGGAGGTTTTTTTTCTAATTAGAGTTACTATTTTTTAACCTGCTCAGCTAAAAATACAAACTATTCTCACATTAATATTAAATGCACAGTATATGCATATATATGCCAGGTCTCCTAACGTAGCCAGCGCATAAACTGACACATATAATAATGCATAGCTGTATAAAAATACTTACATATAAAAATAATGCTGCAGATATATAGGACTACATGAGGTGTATTTTGTGGATAATTTTGCACATGATTAGATTTTTTAAAAAAAACCAATGCACTCCTATATAAACAGACACTTGGTGCAAGAGGTGTTGCAAAGTGGGCAAAGCTCAACTGGGCCACACCTGCCAAATTCTCTGAATGAATTCATTTTAAATGGACTCCTCCTCCATCCCTAGCAATAGTCATCTCTACAATTTACCTCATTTATATCCAGTCTTTCTTCCAAGTTTAAGGCATTTTCCATGGTTCCTGCTCTGTAGCCTACCCTCACAACAACCCTGTGAGGTAGGTTAGGCTGAGAGCAAGGATTGTGGCTGAATTTGAACCCAGATCTCTTTCCACAGCCCTAGCTTAACCATAAAATTTGCTTTACACTTCCTTTTTAAATGATATCCCTTTGCTAGCACCACAATAACTGGTTTCATAAGCAACCTTTATTGTGTGTGCCATCAAAACAATCCTGGGAAGTAGAATGCTGCTATTCCCATTTTTATAAATAGAGGGCCTGAGGCCAAGAGACATGCTCAAGGCCAACCTAATGGGTCTGTGGCAGAGATGGGACTTGAACCCAGTTCTCTTAGAGAACCCAGTTCAGAGGGAAAGTTGAATAAGATGTCCTGAGCTAAATGTGCATAAGCCCAGGCTCCTTGAACACAGCGAATCTTACTTTAGAGTAAAGTTGCAGACTCCATCCCTTGGCTAACACTCTGGGGCCTGCATGACCAGAATTGGGTATGGAGACACCCCCTGCCATACCACAAGAGATATGCACATTCACAAGACACAGATCACACACAATTACCTGATGAGTGTGATTCTTTGTGTATCTTTCACTTGAGCACCTCTGAATGGAAAAGAAGATGGATTACCCAGAGAGTAAGGGTAAGAGGACTGTGTCCAGGCGTTCAGTGGATCAGTCATGGTCTGCCCAGACTGAATCAGGGGAGTCCGCTTTGGAATCGGAATCAGATTACTCCCCCACTCCTAGCTTCCCAAGTCAGACAACAGGTAGCTCTGTGGGCTGACTCAGTAAAGGACCTTGGGGGTGAAGAACTCATGGGAAGTGCAGCCACTTAGAGCTGTCAAAGACAAAGGACTCGCTGTTGGAGCAATACAATGTGATGCTAAGCAAGCTGGGAGGGCCAGTGGGCCAGCCTTGATCAATGTTGAAAAGAGGGCATTTTGGGTCACTCGGCCTGCTTCCCAATTCTGCCTGCAGCTCCACTGCATAATGGATGCCATCTTAGCAATATAGACCCTCTGACAGCACATGTGTATATGCATCACATGAGACGAAAGGCCAGCTTTGAAAAACAGTCCTTGAAACAAACAGTAAACAACACTCAATTTATTCCTTTATATACAGATTCAGCCACAGGCTGAGACATTAAATTACTTTATAGCCCTTTCTAAAACAGGCCAGCATCCAAGGTCCCACATATTCTGGATGTTTCACTATTCTAAGAGGGGTAAGGGGACCTGCCCCCACCTCTTATGGAAGGGATGAGCTTATTTCTGCCTTTTCCTGAGCCCTTTAGCAGGGGGAATCATATCGCAGAAGGTCTCCAGCCATGGTTTTCTTGAACCCACATAGGTGGGAGATGCCTGAAGGGAAGCTACAGGACAACTGGAGAATCCAAGCTGCGGCAAGCCAAGGCTCAAATGGAGGATGGGTCAGGAAGCTTCCTCAGTCAGAGAAGTGAAAGGCTGGCAGTGCTTGCATAGTGTTAGGCTCAACTCAGGTGTGCTACCTGAGAATTGCCTCGCATCAGTCAGTGCACAGTAGCAGCCTCTTCCTCACTCAGCCCACTGGAGTCCAGATCATCCTCACAGCTGGTCAAAGGGGGGAAAGGCTGGTCTTGATCAAGGTTGACATAAGTGACATTCAGGTTGATATAATGCTCCCCCTTTAGGCAGGCTAAAATATGCTGCACTTCCTGGATTACTGCAGAGAAAGTTGGTCGCTCCTCAGGACTTGGGGCCCAGCAATTCAGCATTACGGTGTACCTGTCAAATTAAACACACATTACAGCAGGGGGAATGTAAGGCCAAGACCTCTAGCTTCAAAGCCTGAGGACAGTGTAGACTTGTGGTACTGCATAGCCGTACACCATCTCCTGGGCACGTTCCAAGATAACAAACTGCCATGCATTCCCATTCCTCATTCTCCAGCCACCCCTGGCCCACAGGCAATGGTCCTGCTTGTTGGCTTATGTTCACTGGGATTTGTATAGAAAATTGGGACTCTGGAACATTTGGCAAATAGGCTGTGTGCTTATGATATGCACGGCTGGGATGGGACTGCAAGGAAGGGATGGAGGCCCTCAGAGGGTCTATCAGTCTGGATATTCATGGCAGCTTTAGGCACTATTGAATCTGACTTGATAGAACAGGCTTTCTGGGCTTCACAAGCATCCCAAAGTCTGATGGACTTGGTAACTTTCATCACAGTGCTATATTGTGTTGCAGTCACCACATGGCCTGTTTTAAGAGGAACTTCCAAAAAGTTCGCGGGATGTTTGTCTCTGGCAAACCTCATCACATTGGGAATCTGGGTCATCTGAACAGTATCAGGTCTCTGAACCTCATTGTTCACTGAGAATGCCGTGAAAGGCTAGCAGTAAGGGCTGTAGAGAAAAAATGAATTTTAAAAGGCTGGTGCCAATTAATTAAAATTAAAATTAAAATTAAAATTAAAATTAAAATTAAAAGAAAGGAGTAGTCTCTCTTCCAGTAAGCCCAACCTTTGCCCCCACACCATCTCATTTATAGCTTCTTTTTACCTTCCCCTCTGCCAGGGGAATATACTCTAGGTGTAGCACACCCCCCAGTTTATTGGGGTACACATTTTTTAATCTGCATTGTTTTGCATAGAATTCTAGAACACCTCCCCCAAGTATGACTGCCTGTGCCTCTCCTCACATATTTTCATGTAGCCTGGATGCCATCTCAGCCTTCCTATCCCTCCACATGCTTAAAGGGTCTTGTTAACCCGTCCTTCCCTAAGGCAGAGGTTTTGAACAGCCCTGCCCCAAGTTCATATATACTCACAGAGAATCTGGGCAGTATTCTGGCTGCGGCAACCTTCTTCCTCGCAACAAATAGCGGGTCATATCATATGGGTCCACTTCAGGGTACGGAGAAGCCCCTCGCGTCATCAGCTCCCACATGAGGACCCCAAAGGACCACTGGGCAGAAGAGCAGAATGCATAGATGGAGAACACATATAGCAGAACGCACAGGTGGCAGTGCAGATCTGTGACCCCCAGAAGCCTAGGAGGGCACCCAGGAGAGGTTCGCCTGGTTCCTCAGCATCCCCCATCTACCAAGTATCACGTGTTTCCACAGTGTCGAGATGCAGCCTTTCATGCACAGGGCACAAAGACACTGAAGAGAGGCCTGCCCTGACTAGCTTGGACAGCCACATAATCCAGAGAGTCTTATGGGTTATATCACTCAGTGATTAGCGAGAGTCTGGAAGTATCTCTGTGTCAGAGAGACAGTAAGTGTGAATGAATGTGTGTGCTTGTATATAGCTAGGTATGAATGTTCATGTGTGTGGATGTATATGAGTGCATTGGAGGGGTTGGACTAGATGACCCTTGCGGTCCCGTCCAACGCTATAATTCTGATTCTATGAGTGGCTGTTTATGTGGATGGCCAACCTACATTTTGTATCGGCCCCACCCACTGCTGCCATGCAGCCCTCGGTAAGTTTACCATGAGGGATGGTGGCCCTTGGGATGAAAAAATTGTTCCCCACTCCTGTTGCAGCAATTATGCAGCTAGGACAGGAAACACTGTCAACATCAACTTCATTGTTTGGATGCCTGATTATCGTCTTCCAAAGCAACTACTCTGTTCCAAACTTAAAAATGGAAAGTGTAATGCTCGTGGTCAACAAAAGAGGTTTAAAGACTCTCTCAAGGCAAATCTTTAAAAATGTAGTATAAACACCGACAATTGGGAAACACTAGCTTGCGATTGCTCCAATTGGAGAACAGCCTTTACCGAAGGCGTCAGGGACTCTGAAGACGCTTGAACTCAGGATAAAAAGGGAGAAACGTGCTAAGAGGAAGACATGCTTGGCAAACCCTCACCATGATCAACTCCTGCCCGGAAACCTATGTCCCACAGGACGTGTGGATCCAGAATTGTCCTCTATGTCACTTTCGGACTCACTGTTAAGACCCTGTTCATAGAAGACAATCTTACTAGGCTATGAGTGATCGCCAAAGAAGATGACCCTGGTTCCCATGTCTAAATAGCACCCACTGCCTTTGCTTGCACTTACTACATCAGACTTGGTGGTAAATTTTTGGGTCTGCAGGCTCTCAAGGGCCATCCACTTAACCGGCAGCTTTGCTCTGCGGTGTCGCCGGATGCTGTAATATTCCTTGTCGAAGACGTCTCTGGCCAGCCCAAAGTCTGCCACTTTTACTGTGAAGGTCTCATCTAGCCTACAAAGCACAGAGAGGAGAGGAGAGGGTTTAGAGCTCACACTGCAGCCAAATGAATTACAGTCCCTCGGTCACGGAGGCACCATTAAGCGACTCAAGTCCCACTTCTGGACTTTTTGACATTTCAGCCCAGGCCTGAGAAATCAGCGTTTGCAGCCCTTTTCAAGACCTATGAGAGCTTAGCGGTTTCCCAAACAGCTTTTAGAAGGGCAAGAGAGAACAGCTTAGCCCTGCATGTAATGAGCAACCACCATACTGAATGGGTGCTCCTCCCAACCAAGGCGAAGCTGTCGCACAGTGAGAGAAGCTTGTGGGGCTTGTTCTACCTGCTACTACAAGGCTTTCGCAAAAATAGTAGGTGCATAGGTAAAGCAGCTGTAGGTAGGGAATATGTATACTGACACCAGGGAGGGCCTATTTCTGTCAAAACACAGGGAATAAATCAGCTGACAGGGGAAGATGCCTGACAGACTCACCCAGGAAGCCTGAAGGCCCAGCCAGGTATTTGTTATTTATTACATTTATATTCCTTCAAGCTCAAGGTGGCATACGGAGTTCTCCTCCGTTCCATTTTATCCTCCCAACAACCCTGAGAGGTAGCTTAGGGATGAGGGAGAGAGAGTGACTGGCCCAGGACCACCAGTCAGTTTCAAGTGACGATTTGAACCCTGGCCTCCCGGGCCCTAGTCCAGCACTCCAACCACTATGTTCTACCCACTCATTTCAGTACTTACATACAGTTCCTAGCAGCAAGGTCTCTGTGCACAAACTTCTTCTGGGCCAAATATTCCATCCCTTGAGCCACTTGCAGCCCAAAGCCTATTAAATCCTTCACAGTCGGGTTCTGGGGAAGAGCGGGGAGGGAGAGGAAACTTAAAATGAGTTTTCCATCTGGCTCTAGAGTTTATGCCCCTCTCGAGGTCTGAACTGCTTGCTTGTAACTCCCTCAAGCCAGCACAGCTGAAGCTAATTTCAGGGCTACTTCACATGGGGGAAATTTGCTACTTGGATATCACTTCTGGGTGGGAAATGGAGTGCGCCCTGCATGTGCACTGTCCTATGGGATGAGCGCATGAGCCGACAGACACTCGGCTGTAGGAATTTTCTGCCGGTAGAAAGTTATTCTCTTTTGGGAGCGCACGTGGCACAGACACTTGCACATTACTTGACAAGGCCTGCGCAGGGTGCAAGCCATACGTGGAATTGATGTCGACGCATGAATACAGTCTTATGTGCAGCTTCCCTGCTTAAGACTTTATAATAATGTGTTATGTATGAGCATGCCTTTGTGGCCCCCTAGTGGGCAGAGGCTCTCATTGCCTCTCCCCTATCTCATTCAAAGTGTGTCCCAACCACTTTTTTTTTTAATTGCCCTTGTCCCATGAGCAACATTTCAGCAAAAATAGTGGGATAGAGTATCTGAACATAAGAGGTAAAGTAAAGGTAATGGGACTACTCCTCTCTCTCTCTCTCTCTCTTTTTAAAGCCACATGTTATTTTAGGGTTGGAGAAGAAAGCAAATCTTGCAAAAAAATCATACCGCTGTAAAAGGTTTAAAGCTGACCATGATTGTATTTGGTCAGCTACCTAATGAAACAGGGCTGAGAAAGGGAAAGGAACATAGGAAGCTGAGTTGGACTATTGGTTCATCTCGCTCAGTATTGTCAACACTGACTTGCTGCACCTCTGTGGGATTTCAGGAAGGGGACATTCCTACCCCTACTGGGAGGTGTGAAGTTGGAGTGGACCTGGGACCTTTTGCATGTAAAGTATGCGCTGCACCACTGAGTCACTGCCCTTCCCAATGAGTTTTGTTGCTCATTGCTAATGACATTTCCCCCTGCGTCCAATAAGCAGACAAGGTACACATGCAACAACATTCCATGCTGCGTTTACAATGGCAGCGAATGAGTAGCCTGAGCAAGCGTCCCTTTTCCGAACGTACAACTGCTCTAAAAGTGCGCTGCACCTCAAACGGCAGTCTGTTCAAGGTGAGGTCTGTGGACGGTGTGCTGCAATCCTTTGAAAAGCGCTTTTGCGAGAAACGTTTTACTCCCCACCATCCCCCAAGGCCTTGCTACTGACAAGTCGCTGGAAGGAAGTGAAGGCTTGGCTTAGATCCCCATAAAGATTCAATTCTCTGTATGTAACCATTGGATACAAGATGACATTGCTGTGGGGCCTGTTTTCGAACTCTTTAAGACAGACACAGCAGGTGCTGCCAGAGGTCACTGTTCAAACTCCAGACTTAGGCAAGATGACAACGGTCTGAAGGACTTCTGCTTCCCTGTCTTAAATCTGTCATGGGAATGTGCGATGCATGTCAAATCTTGCTTTGTAAATGAGGCTACATGGCACATATTGTGTACGTAGATAAAAATGTTTCTATGTAGAAATAAGATGAAACCTGCAGGGAAATGATCCCATGTATACACATAGTAAAAATACACGTGTTGAGTGTTCACACACCTGACAGTGTACACGAAGTTTTAATGCTATTTCCTATGTAGAAATGCTACACCCTTAGGTGGCCACACACAATAATGGTAACTGTACCACTTATTTGATTGTTGCAAGCAGTAATGATGAAGATGACAGTGGCTACAGAGGAGGTGGGGGAACTGAAGCCTGCTTACTACCCCTGGCTCTGTTTTTCTCCCCAAAGTGAAAGGGAAGATGGAGTTGCTGCAGCTCTCAGCAGAGAGTAGCTAGTTCTGCACTGGCCAGGGTGGGAGGGAGACACGATTGTGCTCTGCGTCTCTGGCAGTAGCAGCAGCAGGTACATCAGCCACCAGCTCACGTTCCTACTGCTCAAGAAGGCTCCGAGTCAGCAAAAAGCAAAGAAACACACAACCTCTGCTCCTTGGATGCTGAGGTCCCGGCTGCAAGAGCAGAAGCTACTGCAAAAATAAGGTGGTTCATACACATAGAAGGCTCTGGCAGAAACCTGACGAGAATGCTTGAGCTAATAAATTCTGCTGCGCCGCAGAATGGATTTCTCTCCCTGCCGCACCTGGGGGAGGGAGGGCCCAAACCCTCACTTGACTCATTGTTCATTCCTTGGTGGTGAACACCTAACTGGGGGAATGTGCAAAGACTGCAGTGATTAAACAGGAAGACATCCTGCAACAGGGATGTAGGGGGTTCACAAGGCCAAAGCAAAAGCTGACCAGAGTTGAAAGGGAGAGGAAGGAAGGGTCTGATACAGCACTGTCTCAGTACCCCCTTTCCTTAAATGTTCCACTTCACTAGGTGGGTGTGAACCACCCTCAACCCAACGGTAGCTTCAAGATCAGGAAGTCAGCATATTGGCATTGAGATGCTCATCTCCCAGAGCAAGCCCTCCAAGGGCTGACTTGCTGGCGTAAACCCAAAGTGGGAAGCAGTACACACCCTCTCCTCTGAACGGATAAAGTGTCGCAGGTCTCCATGCTTCATGTATGGCAGTACCACCCGGGGAAGCCCCTCCCGAGGGAGGGCAATCCCAATGAGAGAGAGGACGTGGGGGTGGTGAAAGCTCTTCATCAGAATCCCCTCTTTCAAGAACTCTTCTACCTCCTCCAAGTCCGTGATTCCTGGGGGAGAAAAGGAAGCAGGCTGTGAAAAGGCACCGGAGTAGCATACCCACACAAGGAACCGCAAAACTCTTGGGAAATGGGTCACTGGAGTGCAGGAGGTGCGCACGAAAGCAGCACAAGATCCGTTATGGATGGCACAAGTAGCTCGTTTGGACTTGGGACAGGACATGCCAGCAGGTTAAACCTACGCTTGAATGTCAACACTGCAGGTAATAAGGGAGGGATGCCTAGCCGGAGTTAGAACTGCGCAGGGCTAGGTCAACGTGGCACGAGGGTCCCTCTGCTTCCCAAGGGATGCTGTTGATAAGGAGGATTCTTCTGAGACTACACTCAGAAGGCCAACAAGGCCTTGAAGGCGATTGGCTGGACTGGAAGCCTTTGGTATGTCTCATTGGAGATGATGAACAAACAGCAGAAGTTGGTTACAAAAGCATCCCTCCCTCTCCCCACAACCCAGTCCAGGACTGTTTCCTGAAGTGTGTCAAAGAGCTTCCTTGGGGAAGCTTTAACAGCATGTCCTCCCATCCCCAACCTCTCTTCACAGCTATATCCACCTACTCTTGAGTGGAATGACATTGCAAAGGGACATCAAGACTTTGCCGCAGAAAATGGCACTTAAGCTAATGGTGTCTCCTTGTACCATGTCACTGAGCAAGCCGAAGGAGAGTGCAAAGTAGGGCAAGTCTCCCTAGAATCCAGATTACGGTGCCATTTAAGGAAGGAATTATCCGAGGGCCTTCCTTCGATGATTGAATTGCCAAGTCTTCCCCTACAGAACTGAATCTATGCTAGTTATAGTCCAGTCGAAGTAGCATGATGCCCCTTTTCTCAGGGGAGGGGAGGGGGTGGAAGAGCCCATTCACTTTTATTTGTTAAGCAAGCAGAACTCTCTTAGAAGCTGTCCATTCCAATGCTGGAAGAGGGACATAGAGCATGTCCTTCAAGTTTAAATAACAAGAACAATGGGGCATGACCGGGTGAGCAGCTGGTGAGGAGGGAGAGGGAACAGGCCCCTCACCCCTTGGCTTCCTTTTGCAGGACAGTTAAGTGCAGCTGCCATTGCTGTGAGAGGAATGAGGGATTACTCACGGTTCAGAGATTTAACAGCACAGTGTATATGTCTATGGTCCGAATCTATGTACGTTCCATGATAAACACTCCCAAAGTGACCTGGACAGGAAAAAGAACAAAAAGACCTACTAGACACACAGCCCAGCATGCAAACCAGGTACTCTCAGCCCAATCCATTCCCATGAGTTTTTGAATCAGCCTCTTGCACACCTGAGTGCAGCATAACATGAGAGTGCTGCATAGGCTGTTTCTGTGCTGGAGGCACAGAATAGAACAGAAAACACTGTGACGACTTGCCCCGTTTACCAGGCTAACATGGGTGTGGGTGCGTGTTATGGCTTTTAGTTTGAAACACTTAAGCCTGAACAAGAATTCAGTGGGTTGCATCCAACAAAGTTGTCCAATTAGTGCAAGGACTTCTGCCTGTGCAATGGGACTTCCTCTGCCAGTAACCCCCCCCCCCCCCATATATTCTCCAGAGGGTTAGGAGAACAGATAAGGGTTGTGGAGAAAGCAGAGGGAGATGAAGTCCCACTGCAAAGGCAGAAATCATTCTGCTAGTAGGACAACTTCATGGGGTGCTACCCTAAGTAACCCTGAAGTCTGTGCTTTCAATATGGTAACTAGAAATGCCTAACAGAGAAAAGCACCTAAAAACGCATCTAGCATGGCGGTGTGGGTAAGGGTACTCTTCAAACACAATTTGTAGAAATTGTAACAAAGCTTTGCACACCATGGGTGATTGATACAGGCAACCTCAAGAGCACTTACCTTTGCCAATGATCTGGTCCTGTTGCATAACCAGCTGCTCTTCTGGGATTAGAACGTCCTTCACCTCTTCTAACAGTTGCGGCCGAAAATTTTTAATGGAGTAAGAAGGTACCCGCATGAAGGGCATGGCAGAACCGTCACTGCTTCCTGTGTAAGAGGCGCTTCCTAGACTCACTCTAGAAGTACGGGGCTCTGCTAGAGCAGTGCCATCAAGAGAACAAAGGAGAGGAGCCTGGCATTAGATAGGTGCTAGCGAAATGGTAATAATTGTTCATTTTGCATCTCCTGCCACGGGGTCACTTCTGGATTCCTGGCAAGACGGTGTCCCCACATGTCAATGGAATGCCACATGTTCCTCCCAAACAAAACGACCAAAGGAACTGGGGCATGGAAAGGGATAGGTGTTTGAGCACAGTGCTTTTTGTTTATAGGACCATTTAGAGTGAACTGCGGAGATGGTGATGTGAATCCTGGTATCAACTTGGGACATGATTGCTAGTGCAAAGCCAAATATACCATACGACTAAGCCTGCTGCCCAAGCCAAGGCAATCCCACGATAGGAAATCACTAGACCAGACCACTTATATGACCCTATCCCAGCTGCTCCAAAGCACTAGGAGCTGTTAAGAGTCTCTTTATGCATCCTTACCAGCAGTATCTGTGTAATTAGGGTTGGAGGGAAGGAGAGGGATACTCGTCATGCCCCTGTTGAGGCTTGAGAGTCTTTCCAAGTTTTCAGTTCCTGCAGAAACAAAAAGGAACACTCAGTTCTCTTTCCTAGTTTGTACGCCCAGCCTCTCCCTTCCATGCCTAACCCTGCCCATCTTGCCAGCCCAGTTACTAAGCCAGATTTGATATATGCCAATGCTCTGACTGGAGGCCTCACAGTTAGACGCAAACCAGCACAATCATTAAAACACTGGAGAAATGCAGTTGAATGAATACCTTTATTGAAAGCTCTGCTCTGATCAGAAAGCTTTGTGAGAAGCTTGCAGTTTACCTGACTTCTTCTTCTTCTTCTTCTTCCGCTGCATGAATTTCAACACGAAAAATGCCAAGAAGCCGAGGAATAGGATGGCTACAATGGTCCCCAAGGTAACAGCAACAGGAGATAAGGAGGATTTCACAACCACAAAGCCTAGGTCTGTGCAGTTTCCATTCACACAAATCTAAAAGGAGGAAAGGACATGATGGAAGCAGGTTATCAGCCATGCCAGATCAATGGCGTTCAATGGGCAGGAAGGAGCCAGGAGGTAGCAAAGCTTTAGCGTACTGAACTATCACACATTAGTAAACTTGTATAACAAATTGCCAGCTGGACAGAAAGGGAGCAACTCAAGTATCCTAGTTTGTTTAGAAGCCTGGAGGGCTGTTGTGTACATTGCACTATTAGTCCCAAAGCTTGTGGTCAGTCAAGGTTTGGATTCCATGGAAGGGCATAGTTGGTGAGACTCCATGTGTGCTGTGGTGACATTTTGGAAGGGGGCTGTTGGAGTCCGTCTGTTGGGTCTGTTTCCTGCCCAGAAGGGGGATGATGATAGCGGTAGGAGGAATCACAGGGCAGGAAGAAAAGAGATCATGGGAAAGGGGAAGTGCAGGGCTTCATCTTTGCACAGGATTCCTTAAGTCTAGACTCAAGTGCAAAGAAGACATCTCTGCTAAGGTTGTGATGCTCTTGTAGGAGGAGGAGGAGAACCATGAAATGTCCTGGAGGGAGGGTAGCAGGATGGCAGCAGGACACATGGTACAGAGCTGTGTCTTTTGTTCCCTTGAGGAGAAAAGCAGCAAGGGTGTGTGCCAGGGAGTGATAAACTGAGGATGAAAAACAGCTAATAGGGAAAAGGATAAACATCTCCTCCCCTTTGTCCTTCTCTCAACCTGAAGGAACCCAAGAGGGGCAGGAAGCAATCAGAGAGTCACGTATACAGTGTAATTTCTCTCACAGAATCTATAGAAGTGACAGACAACCCACCACCCCACCCCCTCTTCAGTAGTTAAGACCACAAGTAGCCGACTCCTTCTTTAGGCAGGATTTGGCATGCTCTGTACACAAATAAACTTTAAAACACACACACAAGAAATTCTAAACTCTAGAATGGCCAGACAAAAAGAGAGAGAGAACGCACATGCATTCCATAGTTGGCCTGTAGCAATGCCTCTGAGAACAGAGAGTGCCCACACACACACACCAGCTGAGAATAACCCAGGGAAAGTATTTAGAGTCATACTGGGTGTGCCTTTGAAAATCAGTGCCATCTAGAATGTGGGCAATGATGCAAGCATGGGCACCAGAACCAATTTTTTCACCATGTGCTGTTCAGTGAAGGAGCTCCAAGGCAGTAAAACTGATTATCCATCTCTTTCTCACCCCCACTCCTGAGAGTCTTGTGGATACACAGATGGATTTTTAAAATTTATTTAAACTATTAAGAGTCCCTGCTGAATTCCAGACACGGAAAAACCCTTTCCTAATGAAAAATGAGTCTAAGGAGTAGTGCCAAGGGGAGCCAGAAATTTCCCAACTTTCTGCTGTAAAAATGTATCTGCGGCTTGTTTGGTTTGGATATGCCAGGTATTTCTTTAAAGACTTTCTTTAAAGGTCAGAATTAAGTCTGCTCTGAGCTCACAAGTTGCTACAAAGGCCAGATGTTACAGATGACGTGGGATGACACATCCACAGGATGCGACCCAGATCAGTTTTCCTGGGAGCCATGTCATGCTTAGCTGCTGCCTTCGCTACTTCTCAAACATGCGTTATTAAATAGCCTATATGTTTTAAAAGGAGAGAGAAGCAGAAGTAAGGGGGCAAAAGCTTGTCAGAATGAGAATGCATGGAGCTAATGCCCCACGTTTGTTCAGTTCCATTTCCTCTGCAGCCAGTAGTGGAAAAACCAAATGAGTGACTGAACGGTATCAGAGGAAAAAGCAGCCAGAACGGACAAGATGGGAGGAGGCCAAGCTGCAAAAAGGAGAATGGGCCAGAGGAGGCAGAGAGAGAAGCATGTCACGGCATCAGTGCTGGTTGCAGAGAACTGTTGCAAGCTTCACCTGTGCTGGCAAACGATGCAGAGGGGAGTTCAGGTCCCCGGGGATTCGGCAGGTCACCTCGTTTTTCAGCACAGTGGGGTGGCATTCTTTGCCAGCCACTGTCATAGAGATCGCCATGCAGCCTGCCAGAGCGTCCAGTCCTCTATGCTGTACAAACAAATAAAGACATATATGTTAACCCATTTTGGGAAAAGATCTTCCTCACTGGGCCTCTTGGCTTTGTTTCCCCATGTTTCCCAGACTCCCATGTAACCCTGCTCTGAATTTACAAGCACTTTTGTCTATCCAGAAGAAACTGTTCTGATGACGCTTTAGCATCCCTACCCTCATCCCAATCCCCTCCAGTTCACATCTAGTACAGGGGGAACTATAAACAGCAGCACCACCCTTGCCATTTTATTTAATGGGACACACACACACCAATTCATATGCTGTTAAATGGCTCTGTGAGTTAACTTCAAACTATGGAAGTGGTGTACACATATGAGCACTGCAACTTCAGAGAAACTTCAAAACAGCCAATGGAGCAGCTTCTTTGTGCAGAGAATTACACATTCCCAGAAAACCCCACTTGCAGACACTGCTGCTATGTCCTCCGTGGCTGTGGTCCTATTCATGTTTACTCAGAAGTACAACCCTATTCCCAGGTGTTGGGAGGGTGTTGCCTAGGGTTGCAGCCTAGGTTTTTCTGATGCCACACTGCTCAGGTGAGCACAGCAATATTGTTCACACATATTGTTGCCCGACTGACAATTACATACATGGATCTCGATCTCATCCTCTCCTGGATTGATTGTGTACAATTGGTCTTGCTGCTCAAAGGGGTAAATCACTGGCTTGGGGTAGTAGCGGATGCGAAACGTCTGGTGCCTCAGAGCTCCATCCATCAAGATCTTCAGGTTCCCATGAATGCTCGCTGCCTTGTTTTCCAATGGGTAGCGAGGACTCTGGCACACGAGGCTCGTAGCAGACCTTTCCCCCTTACAATCCTGAAGACATCAAGAGAACAGTTTAACTTCATTTGACTTAGTTATATCTATCTGATCACTGCTGGAACACTGGATTCTGTTCAAGGGCACACCTTACTGTAAACTAAATAGGAAGGGCAGTGTGAAATTCAGGGGTTGAAGAATATGCCTTACCATGAAAGACCAACTACATAAATTCCATAGCTTAATTATGCATTCTGTGCTGCTGTATTTAATTTGCCTGCTCTGTACCTATTAATGATCAATTTTGTTGCTTCCTTGACACTGTTATTTTACCATGCTGAATCGATAGGATTTAAATCATGATTAAATCAGTGAGAGGGAAAGGGCACATTTTAATAATAATAATAATAATTAAGTCTCTCGGTGATACTTCATCATATATTTCCTAAACAATAGTAAACATCTAAAATCTGCAAATCAGGCAGAGTTTAAGAATTCATATTTGAGAAATAATTGAACAAGTTCTTCATTTTCATAGAAAATATTCCTTTAACTCAATAGAAGACATCGATTCAGTTTAGAAATTAGGCCTAATATATTTATATCATTTAATATTCACCAAGTTATTCTTTAAGAGAAACTTAGCATTTTTATTGTTTAATGATCTACTTTAAACAGTTCTGAATATTTTTTTAAAGCACATTTTACTTTTTTTTTTTAATCCAATTTTTATCTACTCTTCATGCTGGCATTTTATTAAATGTGTTGGTACCACCCTGAAAGGTGGCCTACAAATACAGACGACAACAACTCCTCCTCCTCTATACCCTGCACAGTATTCTATCCCTTTCCTACAGTTTTTGGTCTCTTTTTCCAATCCTTGACAAAAATGATTTTTTAATCTGCCACGGCAAGACATGATACGATCATCCAGGATAAAAATTCTGAAGGATGTTAATTGCTGAACAAACTATTCACAATTCCAGCACTTTTCATGTGATTTGATGGGGAAAGGTTTTACAATGAGCAGATTCACAACCAGGTTTATTTAAGGCAAAACATAAGGAGAAATTGTTAAGAAGAATGAAAATAAAGTCAAAAACAACAGCAACCGAGTACTTGAAATATAAGGGGGTGGGGACAACTAAAAAGGTTGTAAAAGTGTACGTTCCATAAAGGAAATGTAAATGTTTGAGGATAAAACAACCACAATCTATACATAGCTAGGTGCCCCTCAGTTCATCTTTTCACACAAATGAAAGAAAATGCCTTTAGGTAGTCCTGGAAGAACTATTCAAGGATATTCTTACTCATTTAGCAGCAGGGAGGCACCTTCCCGCACAAACTTTGCTTTTGCATTACCTGTTGGTGAGCTAAAACGTCACTACAGACTGTCTTCCCCCCTTCAAATTGTAATGATTTATTGGGTTGACAGAGAACATCCTCTCCATTAGTCCATCTCTGAGACAAGTCCCTACAAGGACATACAGGGAGGTATTCTTACTGGGTGTCCCACACTTGCGGGAATCTGTTTCACAGAAGACATCTAAAATTCTGAAACTAAGAATTTCTAATGCTTAAACACAGAATTCCTCTGAAGTACTGTAAGTCCTTTTTGTTTCTTTATATGGAGAAGGGTCACTTTGATATGGTGAGTATCTTATATATGCAGCATGTTTACTCAGGCCAATGGGACTTGCGCTCTAGAAAGTGTGCTTAGGATTGCAAACTTCATTTCTCTCCCTCCACCTAGAATACTCACCTTAGCTTCAGTAAGCACTCCGGCAGACTCAAACTGCACCTTTGCATAATACACTGAATCCAAATTGGTGCCACTGATGGAGATATTTGAACCCCTGAAGAATAAAAATCAGAAGGCTGTGAAAAAGTTTCCATATCAAGAGATCCTACAGGTATATCCTGGTTGTGTAGGCGGACCTGAGCAGTAAACATAGGAAATCGGTAATGGTACATCCAGTTCTCAGTTCCTGGTGGTATAAACATCCAGGTCTGTGTAGGCCAGTCTAAGGCCTATTTAGGATGAGATTTAGGCCCAATGCTACATACACTTAGCTGGGATTAAGTCCCACTGACCTCAGTGCAATTTACCTCCGGGTATCTGCACTGAATAGCAGATTGGCGGTTCGAATCCCCATGACAGGATGAGCTCCCGTTGCTCGGTCCCTGCTCCTGCCAACCTAGCAGTTCAAAAGCACGTCAAAGTGCAAGTAGATAAATAGGTACTGCTCCGGCGGAAAGGTAAACGGCGTTTCCGTGTGCTGCTCTGGATCGCCAGAAGCGGCTTAGTCATGCTGGCCACATGACCCGGAAGCTGTACGCCGGCTCCCTTGGCCAATAAAGCAAGATGAGCGCCGCAACCCAGAGTCGGTCACGACTGGACCTAATGGTCAGGGGTCCCTTTACATTTTATCTGCACTGAATAGCACTGTTGCTATGGAGCTTCCATTTAATTTGGTTAAATGAGATATTTGATGGCTTGGGACCAGGAACTTTGCTTCATAAATAACATGATGTGCCTCCCAGAAAGCCTAGAATAGGGAATGCAATGACACAGGACGGAAAGAAGACATTCTTCCAAGAATGAGGGCAGCCTTTGACAACCAAGGGCCCTCCAGATGTTTTGGAATACAACTTCCAGCAGCCCCAGGCAGTGCTAGCTGTGTGTGTGTGTTATATTCCAAAAACATCTGGAGGGCACCAGGTTCATGAAGGCTGAATAAGGGTGTCCACTCACTCATAGCTGCAGTTGGGAGAGATATGGTGTATCTGGGGATCTTCTCGATACCAGAAGGGCTTCGGAGAAAGAAACGGCTGTTCATCTATTACTACAGTCACAGAAGCGTTGCCCAGGTTGTTCACAGGAGGGGTGGCACAAATTATGGCTTCCTCTTTCTGGCTGGGGAAAAGAAGACAAACAGCATGGTAAGGCCCTGCTCAGCCACCTCCCATTTAGTCCCATCCTCCACAAGGTCAGGGTGGAGGCAGTCCTTTGCATAATTGCATCATTGTATGTTATGTCACGGTGCTGGGCCATGCCTGCAAACTGCCACCATGTAAAGAGGGGGTCCCCCACACAATTATCTGCGCCTGCTCACTCTGGGAGATGTGGGAATGCTTCACCAGGGATGCAGGTCCTGACAAGACTCATGTGGCACAGCCTAATAAGAGCATGGCTAATTTAGTTAAGGAGATGCAGCATAACCAGACCCGGTGTCCGTGGTCCAGCTAGGTGAGGCACTGGCTGAGGGGTTCAAGGACTTGGGGGGGGGGGTCCCCTCACTGCTCTGCCCTTGGCTGTGCTGCCATTCACCTTGGATGCTTTTCATTTGGTGAGTGGAAGTGGTGCTGCTGCTTAACAGCTTGGCTCCCCATCTATAGTGGACACCCACAATTCTAAGGGATCCAAAATGCCATGCCCCACTACATAGATCTAGCAAATGTGTTGCTTTCATAGGTTCATAGTCTAATAGGGCTATATGGGTCTGAGTTTTGCATTGTGGGTAATTTAAGATGGTGGCTGTAGATGGGAACCAAGCTTAGTTCCCATTCTGAAGTGCTGTTCCTCGTCCATCTGAAGCATATGGGGGATAGATGAAGGCTGAGAAAGCATGCGGCAGCCTCCACAGCCATGGCAAGTAAGGCAAGGTCCTGTCCTGGTTGGGGTGGGTGCTGAGGAGTGGACTACTAGCACTGTGCCATGGCCTGGCACCAGCTCTGACCACAACCACCATGCACTATGGGATAGAGAAGAGATGCGAAACCATGTTTCTATCTTCCACTGAAGTTGTAACTAGATCCTAAGTCATCCTCATTCATTTTGAGGAACCTTAAAAAATAGTGGGTTCAAGCTAAAACTTTCCTTCCATACAGTACTGTATAGGCAGAAGATGGTTGATAAGAGGAGTGGTGGCTGTCCTCTCCCTCACATACCTCTGCCTAGAGTAAGCATGATTATGGGAGTATTCATAACCATTCATAACAAAGGGAGAGGGCAGATGGCTATGAACTCACATGCCCTGCAAAGCTCTACTCGGTTCATTTGCTTTCACACAAGCAATAGAGACTGTGACTCATTAGGAAAGTATGACTACGAGCAATTGCCAAAGAAGAAGAAGAAGATGATGACTGGTGTAGGGGCAGGCAACCACAGATTTACACACAAAAGAACACAGGAAAAGAGCTGTCTGTTGCATCATCAAGATGTGGGAAGGATATTTTTGACACCTCAAACACTGACCATTTATATTTAGATACTCTGTATCATTTTCCTGGAGATAATACCAAAAGAACTGGAGAGATAAGGAAGCTGGTACCATCTTATAAGGTTGCCTCAAACCAGCCTAGCTAATGTCTGTGGTCAGTCCACTAGCTTCACATTAATGCTAGAGTGCTAGAAAATGAGAAAAATCCAACATATCTGGAAGGTGGTAAAAAATGTGTTAATCAACTTTCTAAATGTATTTTGAAAACCATAGCTCTATCTTTTATCAAAGGCCATGAATGCAATTCCCAGTCCGACAAGCCAATGTTACAATTAAGTGTCACTATTTGCCATACCTTTCCCTTGAGACCAAGGGACAATCCCGACCATTAACCATCACCTTCCTTGTGCCTCCCACCAGAACGTTTTGTCCTTGGATAAAGATCTCTGTTCCTCCAGCCTGTGGGCCGTACGGTGGATGGATAGAAGTTATTTTAGGCAGCTGTTGATAGTGAAGAGAAGAAATGCTAAACTCACTGTATCAAACTCTCTGAGCCCTGTAACTAACTTAGAGATAGAAAAGGGAAGACCACTGTTTTTGACAGACATTGAGGTAAGGGTAAGAAGTAATGAATTTAAGCTGTGGCAAGGTAGTTTGGTGTAAAATATTAAAAGAAATCCTGACCATCAGGATCAACAGCCAGAAAACAGAATAAAAGTAGAGGCTGCAAGACCTTCTGGAGAAGTGTTTGCCTAGAGTGGCTGATTACTTGTTCTCAAGTAATAAAACTTGATGTTAGAGATTTCTTAAGCAGAAAAGCCAGGGCTGGACCTGGGAGTTTAAAAATACAAAGCAGGTTTCCCACCAAAGCACCCAAACCCAGTAGCTGAGATCAGCAATCTTGCATTATGCCTCTGCACCACTAGCCCCCATGAAACACCAGCTGCAGAGCACCAGAACGCCTATCACTGGCTCTTAGCGGGTCTATTAAATTCTCATTACATCAATGAACAACAGCCATGAAGAAGCATGCAGGAGCAAAGGTAGTGGAAAGAAACCAAAGCTCACCTTAAACTCAAAGCCACTGAGGACTGAGGAGCCACTGATGAAAAATGGGGTGTGCTCCTTCTCTACAACAGTGACCTCAACCTTCTGTGGCCCCAGCATGTTCACTTCCTCTTTTGGTGTCAAAGTGCAGACAATAACTTCAACATAATCTTTCCAGCGCGGCACTTCACTGTACCTGAAAAGCAAAAAGGGTGCTGAAAGGATGCACAAGAAACTAATGTGATTATGATCTGCCTAATAAAGCCTAGTGGCTCTTTAGCACCATGAAATGGAAAAATATTCAAAATAGTTCACTTGTACACTACTAACCTTAGGGCAGATATGGGGAACCTCCTGCCTGTGAACCAGACCTGGCTAGCTGGACCTCCACATTTGACTTGCAGGGCTGTTTCAGGCAGGCCACACCTACCTGCCCTACACCTGATGTCATACATGAGGGTGTGGCTTCAAAAGAACATTAATGAATTTAACATGAGATCAAGGTTATTGCTTTGTTGGAGCAAGGTGCGCTCCCATCAGTTTATGAACAATGCCTGCTTCCCTTGCTCCAGCAGAAGGAAGCAGGGCTTCAAAGTGTAGCATCACCTGATGTCATAGTGATGGCAGGTGACTGACAGGTGGGTAAGGCCACATCCTTCTGTCAAATTTGGCTTGCAGGAGTAGGGAGATAAGGAACTGGCCTGCAGGTCATATAATGTACCACAAAAAAAAAAAAGATGCGGTACATTATCTGATCTGCAGGCCAGTTCCTTATCTCCCTACCCCTGCAAGCCAAATTTGACAGAAAGATGTGACCTTACTGTTGGAGATGTAAAGAAGGGGAAGGTACATTTTACCATATGTGGGGGGATTGCAAGATATATTTTTTTAAAAAAATGGGAAATGATATACAATGAATTGAAAAAAATGTTTAAAATAACATTTGTTAAAAAACCAAAAGCATTTTGTTGGGTATTTTAGTACAAGATCTGCCGAAAGAAAAACGGACATTATTCATGTATGCTACAACAGCAGCAAGAATCTTAATAGCACAAAATTGGAAGACTGGAGAAATACCATCAAAAGAACAATGGCAAGAAAAGTTTATGAACTATGCAGAGTTAGCAAAACTAAGGGACAAGCTGTGTGAAAAGGACAATAGTGACTTTGAAAAAGAATGGGAACCTTTTATAACATATTTGCAGAAACAACAACAAAAAATGAACTCATTGGCAGGGTTTAAATAAACATTTAGAACTTTATTTAAAGAGAACAAGAAGTATAACAATGGGACAACATAGTATTAAATACAAACAGCAGATTGTATCATTTGATGTAACAAACCAGCAATGGAAGCTGAGGGAAGTCAACAGGTAGGGGGGAAACTGGAAAATGAATGTTTAGTAATGATGATGGATATTTGTTGTAAGAAAGAAAATCAATTAAAATTATTATTATTATTTTAAAAAAAGATAAAGTACCGCATCTCTCCCTTACAGCAATTCATCTCTGAAGGGTGTGTTTGCAGAAAGTGGCAACAAGAGGATGGGTCTTTTCCATTGTAGTTGCCCATCTATGGAATGCTGTGCCCAGGAACGCTTATCGATGCCAAAATTGCCAGTTTTGAGGAACCAGTCAAAGACTCAGACTTTGGGATCTCAATTTAAACTGAAATGTGATATGTTCTGTGGTCTGTTTTAATGCTTCTCTTTTAATGGGGTAGGATAGGAGAAGTCCTTTTTATTCTTGTTAATAGATGAGCACCTTCAGAAAAATATAGAAATTTAGGTTTTATGTTTGCTTATTCCATGGTTTTTGGAATCTACCGTATTTACGCAAATCTAATGTGCCATCGAATCTAATGTGTGCCTCAATTTTCAAAACCTTGAAACCAAAAAAGGATTTGCTGGCGAATATAAATGAGCCTTAAAACCTAATGCACACCCTAATTTTCGTGATGTAAGTAGGCAAAAAATGGTGTGCTAACTTTGGCCCATCCATTTCAAGAGGTTCACTCTGAGTAAAAGTTAGTTGAATACGGTCCATACATATATATTATTGTGGCAATTTTCTTTGAATGCACACCTGCATATTGCAGGGTGAACTCAGGGAGCCAGCTTCTGTAAATACACAATGCCTGGGCTCCAGCATGCTATTATAACTCCATCAACTGCTTCCTTCACAGAGGGTTTATCATCATCCTCAATAGGGATTGTGGTGATGGATCAGCTTGGGTCAACCAAGGGCTCCAGCTTGGAAATACAGTGGTGCCTCGCAAGACGAAATTAATCCGTTCCACGAGTCTCTTCGTCTTGCGGTTTTTTCGTCTTGCGAAGCACGGCTATTAGCGGCTATTAGCGGCTTAGCGGCTATTAACGGCTTAGCGGCTTTAAGAAAAAGGAAACAAACTCGCAAGAACTCGCAAGACGTTTCGTCTTGCGAAGCAAGCCCATAGGGAAATTCGTCTTGTGGAACGACTCAAAAAATGCAAAACCCTTTCGTCTAGCGAGTTTTTCGTCTTGCGAGGCATTCGTCTTGCGGGGCACCACTGTACTTGATCATTTATGGAATGGAAGAATTCAATTCACCTATTCCATTTACGAGTCCAGAGTTAGATGTGAAAAATGGATCGGGCGACAGCAAGACGTAACAACTGTGATTCCTGTTATGTCTTCCTATATACCTCTGTTTCTCCCTCTAAACAGTTTTTAAGAGGCATTTCCTTACCCAAATATGACCTGCCCTCTCGAAGAAAATGCTGCCAGACAATGCTCAGTTGTTGGTTTTAGTTTTTTGCTTAATGCAGATCAAAGCTCACTAGAATGACTGACTCCAGCATGGGCCATGGAGGTGAAACTCTATTTGTATTAATAGGGAACAGTAGAAACTGCTGTTTCATTTCCGCTCCGGGAAAGCTGCCAATGTCTAAACTGTGACACACAGAAATGTCTCCTCTCCTGATTTCAACATGTAAGTGTAAGGCTGCTATGACATCATCTGAGGGCCTCACACAGGCAGAAAGAAGTACCAGAAGGAACTCTAGAAAAAGTCATATTCTAAGCATAAGCCCCGCATTTTGCATCTAGTCTATGAATACATTGATTAAATGAGAAGGAGAGAGAGATGGATTTAGCCACATGGCTAGCACTGCGCTAAGTAAAAGGGGTGAATTACTCAATAACTGAACTGCTACCCTCACAGAACTGGCAGGACCTCTGCAACCATGAAGACTAGAAAATTCTCCCCCCGTAAAAAAATGCTTAGAATCTCAGGATTCTACTGAGATTGTTGGATGCCACATATATTCTACACTCCACAGTACTTTCATACTTTCATCTTGAGAGCTCTGGAAAAGAACATTCTAAACCAGCACCAATGTTTTATTCATATTGTAATTCCCTTCTAATGGTGCTCAGGGAGCTGTGAGGGAAGAACAACAAACCACACAAAAATTCATTTACGCTGAGTGGTACAAACACTCTGAGGTGAAAGGAGAAAGAGAGTCTGTTCACTAAGGCTCCCACACAACCTACACCGTACCTCTACAAAGCCCCATGTCTTCCTAAACTTGTCCCTTGGCTGGCCCCATTTTCCTTCAGGAAGATACCAGAAGCTGAAGAAAACATTAGACCACTGCTGGCTTAATGTCCCTTAGCAGTGAAAACACAGAGTCCAAACCAAGAGAAGAGAGCACTTTTCCACCAGTTTTCCCCAGACAGCTTATCAGCTGTGGCCTCACTCTCCCCATCTGGCCTCACACATACCATGTGGAGTCTGAACAGAGCACTGTGCCATTGTCAGCCAAGGCTTCTGAGATTAAGGGCTCATCCAGACTTCCACTTGTCCTTCCACTATCTGCTTGGAAAACCTGCTCTTTGGTGCTGAATCGGAACAAATGTCAATCAGGTTTTCTGCAGATTGGTGTTTGCTCCTATTCAGTGCTGGGTTTTCCCAGGGAACGCAGTGGGGTAAATGGAAAACCACTCATACCTGTGCCTAGAAAGCACAGGACAAGGGTGAAACCCCTCAGACCCATGCTTTCTAGGCACAGGACAAGTGGAAATGTGGACCAGCCCTTAATCAACGCATCACTCAGTATGTTCCTGGTGTGAAGCACTGAAGAACAACACCAAAGGGAGATAGTTCTTCATAGGGACCATGGGACAAGCATGCACAAAGGAATTCCCTTCGATCTTGAACGCCAACCCGGAATGTAAAACTCCTGGATGAGAGGGAATATTGCTTAACTTTGTACATTATAGTCTGCCTGCTTATAGTCCATCTTATTTTGAAGGCTCAGGGCAGCTTTCAACCCCAAAATATAGGGTATAATTCAATAGTGCTAAGCAGACTGCTCCACCAGCTGAAAAATTTCTGCTTGCCTGATGGCATGCTCTCTCCTCTCCTCTCCTCCCCCTTGTGCAGACTTCCACTAGCGGGACCAGATGGTTGAACATAGCCCTTAACTTCTCCAAATTTATATATAATTAAAACACCATGGGAAGTCTCCATGCTTCTACTGACCTATCCAACCTGCCTTCACCCTGCAAAGGTAGCCCACACACACAGGCCTAACAAGTCTTCCAGAAGGTGCTCAGGCTGGGATTGTGGTGAATCTTCAAAGAAAAACAGCCACCAAGAATTCCTCTCTGCACACCTTTCTTACATGCATAAGGAACATTTACAGAATGCTAGTCTGTGTAGATGCAGGGCTGAGAAAGTGAACAGGAAAGAAGGAAGGGGGAATAATGTTTGCAGGCTGCGTGTTTTTTAACTTTCAAACGTTACCTGTTTTCTAGGCTCTCTTCAAACAGTACGGTGCAATTCTTCCGTCCCACTGTAACCTTGTAGTCACCAAGGGTTGAAGGTGAGGCATCCATGCCACTGAAATATGAACCTGAACGAAAGCCTGAGCCACAGAGTGTCACCTTAGTGCTGCCTTGTAGTGGTGCATTTCTGGGGTAGAACTGTGAAAGCAGATGATACAAAAGCTTTACTTACGCAGTCACCAGCAATATTTGATACACCTTAGATACACCTGTCTTCTGCTCAAGTGCCAAACACCAGTAAGACCCAGTTATTGGCACCAGGCAATGCTGCAGACATACTCTGACACAAAGAGAACTTACATGGGAATGGCATTTTTTTCTCCAGGCCCTTCTCTAACTGCTGCAGAAAGCCTTAGGTTATGATTCACTTCCATTTGGAGGAAAGATGTTGAATGAATTATTAGGATAAGCTGTTGCTCAGACCAAGTGCAGGAAAGTTCACCTGCATGCAGTAAAAGGTGCACACAGTCCATATGGGGAACACAAATTGGCATATATCCCAATTACCTGCAATTAGTTAACATGTGGTTTCAAAAACTGTCTAGGATCAAGGCTGGCATGGTCAGGCTAAACTAATGGTGCGATGAAGTCACCAACCAAACCTTGAACAAGGGTGAATAGCAGCAAGCTGGGATATTCCCACTTCTTGAAAGTGCTACTTTGGTACTGAAAACATTTGAGCAGGAACATTTAATACGCCCTTGCTTTATGCTCACAACAAACTTATTTTTCTTAACTGTTGAGGCCAAGTGAAAGTGACTTGATGAAGGCCACCCAGTTTGCTTCAAGGGTGAGCTTAGATCTGAATCTGCTGCCCATATTCAAAATCAGTATAAACACGGTATCACAGCATTTGCCTAAAATTTAATACAGGGAGCAAAATATGCAAATGGTGAAACATTTAAACAACTCTAAGTGTGCTTCTTTAATAATATTTTTATATGTTATTTATCTAGTTAAAAAATGAATAAAGAAAGAGTGAAGTAGAAGTTTAAATTTATTCCTTTATCAAGCTATATTACTCTGCCTCTTTTTGAAGCCAAAGTAATTTGACCTAATGACTCCCTGTGACGACAAGTGACTAATGTTAATGGTTAAGAGTTTACCTCAGAACGGTTTGCTCTGCTAAATATTAACTCACCTTAACGGAATATAGGAATCGCAGTGCGGACACATCAAAAGCCACAAAAAGACAGTCTTAATCAGCCCTAGCAGCAAACCATGATTATGCATAGACTCTTTATTAGTATCAAGGAGACTTTTTAGATGCCCGCAGTGGTGTGAAGATGACCCCATTCCAGAGGAGCCACTGTACACCTGGAGTGTGTGTCTAGGCAGCCTCTCTGACAGAACTAGGGAACCTCAGGCCCAGGGGCCAAGGGCAACTCTCTTTATCTAGTCCTCAGCCACACGTCCTTCTCCCATCCACACCTCTCACTAGTCCTAGTCATATCCTCCCTGAGCATTTATGCTTGTCTGGAATGTGCCCTTGAGCTCTGATAACAGCCATACAGAGGCTGTGTTTACATTTCTTGCTTTGCCTACTTTTGCCTCAGGCGTCACCTACTACGGGCATGACACCCACAGAAGGTTGCCCAGGTGGGAATGTGGCCTTTGGCCTGAAAAAGCTTTCCCCCACCCCTACTGTAAAAGGAGCAAGTGTATGTGGTCTCCATATACTGGCTGTTTCATGTGCACCAGCCCCAACCTGCTTGAGTTTTCGCGCTATAGCTGAAAATTCATCAGCCCACCTTTGTCCCCACATGACTGTTCCTTGTGTATGTCAAATGCAGTGAGTTGTTCCAAAAGATAGCGAAGGATGTGAATGTGTAATATCGATATAGGCTTTCATTGCGCTAGGTTTGTGGGTTTTCTAATTTTCTGTTTGGGAAACAATGACACTGCCCTCACTATAGGCAAAACACAGGAGAACACAGTGTTCAGTGATGCCATGCTAAAGTCACCCTTTCAGGAAAGATGAAAAGGGTCACATAGAGTAAAAGAGAGAGGGAGGGTGTGGGTTGTTGTTTTTTGTCCCCCACCCCCCATGGCTCACTCGAGAAGTTGAGCCAGTGGTGAGGGAGATGTCTTAAGTGCTCTATTTGGAAGAACACACAAAGCAAGAGGTTAAGACAAAAAGAAAAAATACACCCCGTGGAAAACATAATAACTAATGCAAAATGCAGGTGGTGCATGTCTCAGGAAATGCAGGCATTATGGGTCCCAAGATGCCCAGAGTACTTTAGGCTTTATGACAAACACATTTGACAAACAGAAATATAAAAAAAGCCAGACATTTAACAAAGGGTGGAGGGAAGAACTAAGGCAGTCCCAAAGCACCAAATAGCTCAATGTACCATTAGGCAATCTCATACATAAGAAGATACTTGCGTACATCAGTGAGGACAGGAGAGCAGCTCTTCTGGTTCCACTCTGCCTTGCAGTCTTCCTGACGGGTGCATGCATTTCCACACCAGCCACACTGCATGAAACGCTCTGCCTTCAGGCAGCGGAAGCATGTCAGGAAATGGCGACAGCCTGGACCAGTTATTTTCACCTGGGACACCTGCAAGATGGACAGTTGCAAAAGAGGATGGGTGGAGCTCAACTTTGCATGCAGAAGGTCCTTGTTTCAATCCTCAATGTCTCCAGGAGGGACTGGGAAAGATCCCTGCCTGAAACCCTGGATAGCCACTGCCAGGCAGTGCAGGTCAGCAGCATTGACCCTCCAACGCCCTGTGAGACCATTTTCCCCAGCAGGCTGACCACCTACTGCCCCACACCTGGTATCATGTATGACAGTCAGGTGTGGGGCAGGAAAATATATGTATCCAAAGGAGCCTTAAAATGCACACCCAAGTGTTCACTGGAAAATGGGTTTGCATCAAAGAATCCAAGCCCCACTTGGATCAGCTTCGCTATAAAGTACTGGAAACTCCTGGGTGCAGCCAATCCAAGCAGGGATTGACATCGCCACCAAACAGCTAAATGGCAGTGACTTCAAGGCTGGCTTGGATCCACTGGGATCTTCCTGTGTAGCACAGCTTGAACTCAAGCTACACTGCAAAGTAAAAATGGGTCCTTTGGCATCATGTTGATGTCAGGTGATTGACAGGGGGGCTGGCACTTAACTCCCCCGTGCTTGGCGTTGACAAGCCTGAGCAGGATGAACCAATGACCTGACTTACTGTAAGGTAGCTTTCTATGTTCCTTTGTCAAGGGGACTGATGGTCTTTCCAACAGCACATCTTTCAAACAGCATGTACTTTGCTCACCAAGAAAATCAATTTATTTATAAGTATTTTTATACTGTCCTTTAACCATATTCCCAGGGTGGTCCACAACAGGAAAAACCCAATGAATGCAATCTACCCTCAGAACAGCCCCCCTTGTGCATCTGCCACTCGGTGCTTGTGGCTTGTATCAAGGCATCAAGACATCAGAGAGACGAAGCAGGTGGGCTCCTAATACTCCTGGTCTCAGCAAGGAGCTGTCATCAAGTTCTGAGCTCTGTTTTACAGCTGCCCGACCAGAATATTTTTTTCTCCCCCAGTGAAGCTAGAATGAGTTGGCAGCAGAAAATGCCAAAAACCTTGCTGAAATCCAGTGGGATTTTCCATTTGATGAAGCCACTGAGACCAAAAAAGGCTAGGTAGGCAGCCCTAGAGCTATCAGAAGAAGAAAGTGAAGCCCAATGAAATGGTGACTTAGAAGCACCAATTTTTCAATTAAAGTTCCAACATCCTAGGAGAGATAAATGACTGGCTGGAGACAGCAAGTTCAAAGGATTTCTGTAGAAAGAAATGAAAATTTAAAGGGCTGGAAGAGTCAAGGAAATGCTAATGGAAGAATAAGGTGAAAAAGTAGCTCAAATAAGCCTTTGTGATCTGGAAGGGGGAGACATCTGCTACTCTGACATAGCTTAAGAAGATAGTTCTTTCCAAAAAGGATCATACTAAGGGTCAATCAGTCCTGGAGGACTGTATCTCCTCAGAATGCCAGAGGTAAATTGAATGGTCTTCCACCTCACAAATTTTCTGCCTGTGGAAAGGGAGGAGATGACCCTTGGGGTCCCTTCCAACTCTACAATTCTATTATTCTATGACTAGGCTAGAACTCTTATTCCTGGTGTATGCATTTTCTGCAGGCAGGCAGGCAGGTTTTTTATGTGGGGTGCTATCAAAACATGTACACTCTATGTGCACTCTAAACTGGTGCAGAATGCCTCTGCCACTCAGTTTTCCTGAATATATACTTTGGGTCTGAGATGATGGATGATGAGATCAGAGCAACCTCAGCATTCTCTCCGTTTGTAAAAATCAAAGCACCCTCCTCCCACCCAGAAACAAGCAAATAAGTAATGCATCCTTTGAAATCTCATGCACAGTCGAGCTTCAGAACCTCACATCTCTTACCTTTTTTCCTGTGACAAACAGCAAAGAGTCATTCAGCTTGCTGACTTCTCGCAGCACTGGCAATGTCTCCCCCAAGGAGAAGTTGGCCAATACGTTTGTGTAGAGATTGGATGGAAGAACCACCTAGGAACACACACACACAAAAGCTTACACACCCTCAGCAGCTGTTTCTAGTGGCGCAGGGACAGTTGTAGGGAACTTCTTCATTAATTTGGCAACCACATCTGTCTGCTGGGGCTGCAAATTACAAGCAGGAGAGTAACTCCATGTTTTTATGAACATCTCTGCACACTGCTAAGTGCTATGAGATGCTGAAATAGACGTATGAATAGATTTGGGCACCCGGGATTCATGTTCAGAATTCCTGATACTCTGCAGGTCAACCCTCCAACAACCCCAAGAGTAATTCCTAATAGCAATTTCAATTATGATAAATCCTTGAGAAGTTTAGCTGTTGACACTTACTACAAGAAACATTGGGAATTATAATTTTGTGAGTATGTTGAGAAAACCCTTGTTTGTTATCCCTAGTTCCCTCAAAGATCTAGAACTAGGGAAAGGGTTTCTTGTAGAAAGAATAAGAAGAGAATAAAATAAAATTAGCTTAATTTGACAGTGGAAACATGGTAACATTTCCTAAATGTTAATGGTTTGGCTTTACAGCTTTAAAAGTACCACAAGAAGCCATTTAAATACATGATGGTATTTAAAGAGATATTTAAACACTTGCAGCAGATGATAGCACAGAGGTTCACCATATTATAAACACATATTAATAGATATAAAAAGCAGAGCTGCAGCTTTTAACTGACCTGCAGAACACGTCCTTCTGATGTGCCTAGATGAGCCACAGTCACCTCATCTATTACAGTTACAAAGATGGAGGTCAGCAGCACTCCCGCCATACGTCCATTGAAGAGGTCCACCCTGTAGTAATTTGTAGAGATGAAGGTGGGCTTCTTCCAGCAGCTGGTGTTCACCAGTGGGGCTGAGAAATTTACCTGGCATGACAGAGAACAGGTGCTGTTTCAGATGCTAAGTGAAACTTGCTAGGAGTCTCAAACTGGGGACTTTAGCATTCCCACACCACCAGGTCACCAGAGGCAGCTTCCTGGTCTGGCCTCTGTTGTACAGCAGTGCAACCCCCATAATGGCCTGAGGGGACTCTAATGCTTTGTCACGCCAACTATAACAAGTGACTTGAAGTTTCAATAAAAGCTTGGCTGAACCTATACAATTGTTCAAGGCTGAACAACTTTTTAATGACAGAAGGTACTAAGTAGACCCCTGCCTTGCCTCTACTTGCCTCATCATCCAGCTCTGAAATTTGGGGGTTTTATTGATGAGCAGGGCATAAACCCTCAAACAAACACACAAACACACCAGGCATACAGCCTGCCTTAGACCACATCATCTGAGTCTGGGCCTTTCGATCATTGCCTGCCTGCTCTGTAACCTGACCAATGGAAGGTCTGGATCACTCTGTTTGCTTCTGACTTTGCTGACTTTGCCGGAACAGGAAGGTTAAATACCAATTATCTAGTCTAGTCCCTCTCTATCAGCCTGCCAAAGCAAGGAATTGTAAGACAACAGCTTCTCCAGGTTCCCCTTGCCCTCTGCTGGAGCCTTATGAGACTAGAAATCCTGGTTTGTTTACATGCCAGAAAGTCCAGCTGCCTTTTTATTTAATACCCTGGCAATAAATATATTCTGCTTTCTTCCCCTATTGTACCCACTTCTATTTTGTTTATTTATTTAGGAATGTCAAACAGATAAATAGCTACGTGATTTTTAAAAGACATATGAAGGCTCAGGGAATTTTTTTAGTGTGTGATGTTGTGTTGTGTTTTTACTATTTCTTGTTGGGAGCCGCCCAGAGTGGCTGGGGCAACCTAGTCAGATGGGCAGCATATAAATAATAAATTATTGTTGTTGTTGTTATTGTTGTTGATATTATTATTATTATTATTATTATTGATTAACACACCTACCAACTGAGTTTTTTGAGGCAGCTTCTAATATATTAAAAATTGAGTTGTTATGTGCATAATCACAAAATGTACAGTATTTGTATGTTTTTCCCCCAATCCCAGCCCATAAATGGCAGCCAAATGAGCTGGATGTGAGGTCCCTGCCAGCCAGGTCTTTCTCACTGGGCCTCTCACAGCTTCTGGCTCTGGTGCCAGAGGCAGGAAGTGCTAAGGGAGAAAAGGTGTTAGAAGCTTCTCCTCAGTCCTCCAATGTTCCAACGGCCCATACTCTTACCATACTTTCACCCATAGTCCTGCAACATAAGCCATGTGTCTGTTAGATGTCACTATATAACTGAACCAATCAGAGTCTGCATTTTTAACCAAATAGTCCCATGTTAAGGACACAACATTCAGCCGTACACAATACATTCCTGGTGTATTGCTTCTCCCTGCTTGATTGCAGCAGCACATGCTATCCTGCTACTTATTATGCCCTAGAGACAGTCTCCTCCAGTATATGAAGCTGAGCTCACAAGGAAATGAGAGTCTTCTCACTTGGCCCTGGATTAACACCAGCCATTCCTAGCACACAAGCAACCAAATGTTTTCAGAGTAGACAGTACACTTTAGTCACAGTCAAAGCCTGCAGAGCTATAAGGAGCAAGAGCAGATGCTGCAGGAGAGATTGACCAATTACGGTAAACAAAGCAAGCCTTAAGGACACACAAAATTATGCAAGGCACTCTTATGAAATGGAAGAGACATCTGGAGTTTCTTCAAGATCAGATTAATGAGACACAAAGCAAAGGGCAATATAAGCAGCCAAATGACAACTACAGGAAAGAGGAAAGCGTCTGTCATTCTTCAGAGAAAAAGACAAGAGATTAGGCTTAACTGAATTCACAATAATGGAGCACACACATAGGCATTTTTAAAAAAAAGAAAAGAGGGAAAATAAAACTTGCAATAACACCCCACCAAAGCCCAGTTCAGATTTAAGAGGAAGCCATAGTTTCCTGCTACATGAATAAGCCATCTGCTTATGGTTTTGAGCAAACCACAGATCCTGATAACAACCAATCTCAGAGAATTATGGCTTCTTTCAAACCTAGGATTGACTTGCCTAATATCCAGGACAAAGTGCCGCCTTTTGGAAATTGACCCCAGACATCAATTCCGCCTTTGAAATCCCGGTAATGTCCAGGAAAATCTGGGCGTATGGCAGCCCTATTTAAACCACAGTCCTGCAAGCCTAATCAGCGCATCAAGTCTTCTCTGGTGGCCTGCCAGCTCATTTCCTGAATTTGTTGGCAGGGATGCTACTGCAGGGAAAAAATAGTCTGCAGAGCACCGGGTGTGACAGAATGATTTTCATTCCCATCATGGCAATGGACAGGGCAGAGATGCAGTGCCTCCTGGGCACTTCAGAAAGTCAATGTGATGTCTTGGGAATAGGGCAATGTTTATTCCCATCATGGCTTCATAGTTTCAACTCCCTGGCACCCCAATGCCATTATGGGGGTGCAAATTGCTCATCCTCACTCATTAACTCAATTATCTGATGAGGAGACTCAACCCCCCTCATCAGCTGATCTGCATAGTTCAGCTGAAAAGGTTTCTCATGGGTCATAGACCCATAGAATTGTAGAGTTGGAAGTGATCTCAAGGGTCTAGTCCATGGGTAGACAAACTAAGGCCCGAGGGCCGGATCCGGCCCAATCGCCTTCTTAATCTGGCCCACAGACGGTCCGGGAATCAGTGTGTTTTTACATGAGTAGAATGTGTCCTTTTATTTAAAATGCATCTCTGAGTTATTTGTGGAGCCTGCCTGGTGTTTTTACATGAGTAGAATGTGTGCTTTTATTTAAAATGCATCTCTGGGTTATTTGTGGGGCATAGGAATTCATTCATTTCCCCCCGCCCAAAAAAAAAATAGTCTGGCCCCCCACAAGGTCTGAGGGACAGTGGACTGGCCCCCTGCTGAGAAAGTTTGCTGACCCCTGAGTCCAACCTCCTGCAATGCAGGAATTTCAACTAGCTCATGCATGACTGACTGTCGTCCAACATCTGCTTAAAAACCACAAAGGTAGGAGAGTCCATCACCTCTTGTGGGAGTCTGTTCCACTGTCAAGCAGCTCTTACTGTCATAAAGTTTTTCCTGATGTTTAGTCGAAATCTCCTTTCGTGTAACTTAAACCCACTGGTTTGGGTTCTGGCCTCCAGGGCAGGAGAACACAAGCTTGCTCCATCCTCCATGTGACAACCCTTCAGACATTTGAAGGTGGCTATCATATCTCCTCTGAGTCTCCTCTTTTCCAGGCTAAACATACCCAATTCCCTCGACTGTTATTCATAAGGCTTGGTTTTCAGACCCTTGATCATCTTGGCTGCCAAGTGGACACAGTACTCCAGGTGTGGTCTGACCAAGGCAGAACAGAGCAACACTACTACTTCCCTTGGTTGGGACACAAGACTTTTGTTGAAGCAGCCAAAATAGCATGAGGGGTTTTTTTTGCTGCTGCATCACACTGGTGACTTGTGTTAAGCTTGTGGTGTGTGTCGTGTGCATGTGAGTGCGTGTGTGCTGGGTGGCCACACATAGTTTTGGCCACACCCATTTCTGGGATACAGACCCTGCAGTGTTTGTCAAGGGTGGCTGTGGACTTCTGTCTGCAAAAGTTTAATCATTTCTGTTTTTAAACTATAGTTTCTGAACAAGCTAAAATCAGAAATCAAATCAAGATCCTGGCTTGTTCTCAGTCACCCTGGTTTTAATAAACTCCCGATTTGGACATCATGAGGAACCATAGTTTGTTTAAAATCAGAAGCAGAAGGTTCCAATCTCCTTCTTGGGAAGAAAGATAATGTGAGCCCAGGGCTCACTACAGGGAAACATGGTTTCCTGTAATGTCTGAAGTGGGCTAAAGACCCAATATGCAGATGGGCACAAGGCCATCAACAGGGGGCTACAGGAGGTGCAAATGTACTAGGTCCCCCTCTTAGCTTTCCCTTAAAAAAAAAAAGTAAGCCAATTAGACATGATTTTATGACATGTCTAAAGAAAGTTACAAAACACGGAGGCTACTCTAATGCTTTGGCACTTGCAGGCAACACCATTGTGAAGGATGCTTAATCACTGTTGCCAAGCAACCAGAGGAAGGGATGTTGACTACCCCCCATTTGGGATTCAGGACGGGGAGCCATCCAAGGGCAGGAGGGGAAGCTGGATAACAACAACAACAACAACAAGCCACTCTGGGTGGCTCCCAATGGAATAATAATAATAATAATAATAAGTGAAGTGATAAAACCTAAAACATTAAAAACTTCCCTAAACAGGCATAGAGGACGATACTCTGGTATGTTTGTTTAAGCATTTTCCTCATGTCTACATTATTTCATTCATGCCCCAAGTATGCTACCTTCACAGAACAAAGCATAACTGGCTGGCTTTTGTATGTTTTACTCAAAGGTAATTCCCTTGAAATGAAGGTTTCACAAAAAAAGTGAAATCGCAACCTGCCCTCCACCCATCCCATCTAGTGTACCAGGCCCAGAAAATCCTGTTGGCTTCCCTTGATTTTACAGAAAGATCCTTCATCTTCAGGAAATATCAATATGTAATAAATGTTCAGAAGAGAGAGAAAATAAAAGGGTGCTTTCTTCCTGCACATCAGGATTGTTTATTTTTACACTTGAAATGCAGCTGGGTTTGCGGAAAACCAAAGAAAAGGCAAAATGTCTCCCAGCGGATTGTTCACATAAAAACAATTACACAACAGACATTCATGTGATGGAACTGGTAATTTCTGGAGGAAATTCTTAAAATATTCCTTACTCCAGCAATTGACCTCACAGTATCAGGGTTAAGTCACCGTGAGGCAACTATTTTAAAATCACACCACACTGTGTGAATAATCCTAAATTTGAAACAAGGCAGCCTTGGGGTATAATTATAGGATGAAGTGCTTTGTGAAAACTGCTAAATGAATGGATGGATGGATGAACGAGTTTCTCAGAGGTAATCAGCATTCTTGGCTAGGGGTAATTCCACATCAACACACACTCCACTACAGCTCCCAGGGTCCCTTGTGGGGAAGCTATAGCACTTAAACCAGTTACAGTTGATCATGTAGCCTCTTAATTAGTTTTTCAATGCTCTGCTGACTCAGGGCCTCACCTGTCTTTGTGCGGGAATTTCCTTGATGCATTTCACACCCACCTTGCAAACTTTTCCATTTTCTCCCGCTATCAGTCACTGAGTAAGAACTGACTGGGCGAGACCTACAAATCAAAGTATGACCAGAAATCTCTCTCCCTCTAATCAGTTCAAAAATATTAAAAAAGTGTTCATGCAGGTTTGTGCTTGCTTCTCCTGAGTGGAAAAAGCAACAAACATGAGTCAGGAGAAAGTCCCCTTAGTCCTCAGGTTGCAGGTCTTTTGCAGTCTTCTTTAGATCTCACCATCCTGATAGATCAGGAATACTTGGCTGTCTCATTTTTCATTCTCAACACCTGATTATTTATAAACAATCTAAACAGCACCAAACCCAATATAAATCTTGGGGTGGGGGAAATCCCATGGTTTAACTCCCTTCACTGTGAAAACTTTCCATTTATTTGTTTCTTTAAGTCATTTACATCTTGCCTTTCTGTCAAAATGTTCTCAAGGTGATTTACAACATAAAATTTTAAAATAATCAATATTAAAACGTTAACAACAAAAATCAGCCATAAGATAACATTTTAAACAGTCAAAAGAAAATTTGTGGCTACAAAAAATAAAAACTAGTCCAAGAACGCTTTCTTTAAAAGCTGGTCTTAGCCACGGGTGTTAGTTTTGATGACAGTTTGCAGCTGATGTGCAAGTAAGCTAGTGCTGAGCCAAAATTCCTAAGTGACAGTTTGATAATGCTTTTAAAAAAACCAACCCACCCCCTTCTCTCTCTTTTTGTGTAGGAAATTATCTCTCTGGGAACCACCAATGCAAAGCCCAGAAAATATTTATTTACTGTATCTTTCTGTTGCATATTCCCCCCCCTACTTAGCTAAAATGTACTGTTTTATTTGTACTTTAAACACCCAGGAACTGTTATGTGTGCCATTCTCACACACCTTGCACATTAGAAAAAGGCAGATACACTTGCAACCACTGCAGAGGTCACTCTGAGAGGACCTGAGTCTCCGAGAAGCACTCCGGTGGCCAAGGACCCATCAGTGTAAGACCACTGGCCTCACCAGTCCCACACAAAACAAGATTAGCGTTGCCCCAAATCTCCCTTTAACCAGACTTGCCACTCCTCAATCCCAGTAAGGTCTTCCATGTCTTATTCTCGGTTACTTCCTACTGTTTCCCCACTAGAACCTCTTCTACATGCACCTGAATTCCTCAGGAATTATATGTGCTGTGCGTTGATTTGGAGTAAAACATTCTCTAATAAAAGGACATTAAAGAGCATGTGCCAAGCAGTCATGGGAATGTGACGGAAATCCCTGCTTAAACTTCTACTCTCTGCAGTGAATGTATGGAAGGGTTCATGGCAGCAGACTGTGAAGCCAATTTCCCTTCCATGTATTGACTTTACATAGATATAAGTTATCTGTGCTGCACAGCAACCACAAGGCTGCTACTGATACAGAGTCAAGCTTCTGTTGTTCTATGGTGCTTTGACACACCTTGAAGACTGCTGGGGCTGAAGATGCCACGCAGCTGCCAAATCAGACGACCTGCCACTATGCTGCCACGTGCCGTGAAGACAAAAATTTCCATCACTGCTGTTCTTTAACAAGTTAGCACTGCAAGAGGAAGATGAATGAAGTAATAAAAATGAGCTTGCACTCTTCTCCACGTGCTTCCTTCCTACCTTCTGAGAGGAAGGCAGTGAAGAGGAAATCTTCATCATCATTTCACCATAACCTGAGTCAGTCTGTCCGTTCTAACAGTGATGGTTAGTGGAAAGTTGGTTTGGCAAGACTGGCTGGGGAAGGGGTGGGGCAGGTGAAGAAACCTCAGGCGTATGTCCCAAGCACAGGTCTGGGACTCATAGCAGGGTCCTGAGAAAGCCAACGTTTTCATTAGCTTGCCGGACAGACGCCAACATGCACTTCCAGCCACGTATTAAGAGAACAGAAAGGAAAAAAAAGCAGAGCTATTAAAGACATTTGCTAATGTTTTTCTTATAGCATGGATTTACATTGTGGGAGATATTCAGGCAGATTTCGGCTGTCACTGAGACAACACGGGTAGTGCATGGCAGCAAACTAAGATAGTTGGGACAAGTCTTAGTTTTGGTCTGCTTTAACTTGAGCAACAAACCTCAAAGCCACGAAAGAGAGCATATGCACAGTAATGTATGAAATAGAAAGTTGTGCAAAGCTCACACGAGTGCCAGGAAATGGACAATGAATCTCTCTCTCTCTCACTCTCTCTAAAACACAGAATGAATCTGCAGAGAAGTGAGCTGAGCACTCTGAGGGCCTGTGCCATTGTGTGGTTCTTCCGTACAAGGAAAGTGGCAGGAAGAACAATTATGGGCTGGGTCATGCTCTTAATAGGTTTGGAGCAATCTAGACTTATTTTGTCATTCTCATCTTATTTCCTGAGCATTAGCAACAGGTTCAAACCACCTAACAAGAACTGGAAAATGCTGCAGTCTAAAATGTCTTCCACAAAACTTTTGCACAACTTGGTATCTTGGCGTTTCAAATTTCAGTGGCGCCCTCTGCGACACCAAAATCTGGTGCCCCCTCTACCTCTTGCCTTCCGTTCGACTTCATAGTTGTGACTCCTGCTGCAGTGCCCCAGAATCTCTCTGCCCAGTATGACCAAACTATGCCCAGTATGACCTAAAATATGCTGCTGTTGTTAATGTTGTTATGTGATGGGCTCTCTGTCCTCTGAAAGTGAAAAGAGTGAAGATAAAGCTGATATGCCAAAAGAATTTTCACAGTGTTGATCGCTACAGAAAGAGACTTCATAATTCAGGAACATTTTTGCCCCAGAGACAGCCAAGCATTATATGAATCTCCATGGTCATTTTGTGTGAATGAACTGCACTGATCCCTTTACACACAGCTGTAGGGCCTGATTGGAGCATCTCTCAGCATGGCTCAAAGAAGAGCTTGGGGTTTGATTGATGTTCCTAAATCATGTTGTCAACTGAAATTGCCACTTCAAAGGATTCTACACAAAGAAAGCATTCAACATAGCCATTTGAGAACCAGCTGATGCTTTGAGGACCCTTACCCCAATCATGAAGTGAGTAACACTTTTCAAAGTCAGGAAAGCTACCTGTTATTCTTTATTTCCTTCCGGCATCTCTAATACCTCATCTGCCCAACACAAGGCATTCTTCCTCCCAGTTACACCTAGGGTGGGAGTGAATCAGGGCTCAGTAGGACTGAGACCCAATGCCAGGAATTAGCCTTGTCAACTCATGGTATCATTACAGTATATAGATGAGGGATCTCCTGTGCTGGCTTGGCCGATAGGTGTTGCAACCCAAAGCCGTTGGACGGCACCCAGTTGGTAAAGGTTGGGCTACAACAGCAGAGGAAACACAACACTGCATAACTGCAGGATATTATAACACAGATGTTATAACACAGATGCAGAGAATACAATAGCTGATTTGAGCAGCTTGCAAAAACAGGTGCTGAATGTACCAGACACAAAGGAAGCATAGGTGAGTTTATTTGTTTGAGTTCCTTTGTGTATCTATAACTTCCAGGTAATAAGCTCAAGGAAAACAGCAGCTAAGCTGGAAAGGACTTTGATAATCACGTGCCCTTTGTATTCTGCAAGGGGTTGAAATTACATTTCTAACCACTAAGCTTTCAGGTAAACTTCACTCACTTTCTAGCCTAAAGGTCACAGCTCACAGTACCCTTATGATGCCAGAATTGTTTCAGTTTCAGGAAGTCCAAAAATCTAGACTGATATTACAGCCTGAAGTCACCTTTGTCAACAAAGAAGTGCCACACTCTTAAAAATGAAAGTATAGCACCACATGGTGTGTTACTAAGCATGAAAAAAAAATCCCTTATTTTTTAGTGTTCTGCATCTTATTTGATGGAACAGGTGGGTGGTTTTTTTAAGGCTGTGAACGATTTTATTTGTCTGTGGCACAATGGGCACTGCAAAACATGTGAATAGTACAGTTCCCACAATTGCAAATCTAATCTCCTGCTAGGAAAAACACCAGGGAAGCAGGAACAAAACACAGCGCTAATATATAACACTAAAATTTATCAATACGAACTGAAATTAAAAACAACATCAAAATATTGTGGGTGTCCCTCTTTGCCGTCTACAGCAGACATGGGCTTAACTACACTTCCTCTTGTCTCACTGCTTTCCCCTGGGGAAAAACTGCTCTTTAGCCCTCAATCGGAACAAAGAACACTTTGAGTTTTCTCTGGATTGCTGTCTGATCCAATTTAGCATTGAAGAGTAGGTTTTCCCTGGGAAATGAAAAACCACTCGGATCCGTGCTTTCTAGGCACGGGACAAGTGGAAGTGTGGATGAGCCTATAGGGAGAAAATTGTGCCCCAGCTTGTCTCAACCAGCCTGCCAGGAGTTCTCCCAGCTCCGCTTCTCCCCCACTTGTCAAGCCTCTTGCAAAAACCCACAATTTTTCCTACATTGTCTCCCATTGTAACCCTGAAAACGTCCCCCCTCCCAACTCTGTCTTAATAGCCTATCTGCCAGGCGATGCCCTAGTCCGGAAAAACAAGCTCAACTTGTATTCTTACACTGTTAAATTGTCTGGCACCCAGGGGAAGGCTCCCAGCATTTAGTAATTCCAATTATTTAGTAATCCCTGACACTTACTCACTCAAGGAGTTATGGATAATTTTGTACCCACAAACCCTGGGACCCAAATATGCAGATCCATGCTGAGGGGGTGGGCAGTTGGGTACACTTGCCCTGGGCCTTGGAGGGCTAACATACCCTCCAACATTTATTCAGTGAAAATATGCCCTACACATCTTACTGGGTTGCCCCAGGCACTCTGGGCACCTTCCAACATATATAAAAACACTAAACTCCCCCCCCCCCCAACTTTCCTATACAGGATTGCCTTCAGACAAGATGGCTCAGGGGTCGGATAACTCCATACCCTCCAACATTTCTCCAATGAAAATAGGGACATCCTAAGGAAAAGTGCGACATTCCGGGATCACATCAGAAACTGGGACGGCTTCTCTAAATCAGGGACGTCCCTGGAAAATAGAGACTCTTGGAGGGTCTAGGCTAAGATGTGCAATGGTTATGCTAGGGTTCAAATGTGAAATACAGAATGCTGTCCACCAACATCCATTCCAATACTTCAGTCTTCTAGGATGATATTGCATTATAGCATCTTCACGGTACAAGAGCTGCTCAAAGGCAAGATTTGCAACTTAGCTGGAACGGCTGCCTAAGTGCCTTAAAGCAAAGCCTCCTTCCTAGTTTCTTTTTGCTGCCCAAGATTCCAGGCTTGGTTTGGGGGGCATGAGCGTAAAATAAGACAAGTATAACAACAGCACTTCCCTGCATGGTCCCTGTCATCTCTCAAAACCATTAATGAAGTGAATAAGCAGTTGTGATCACATGCCTATGACATTCATGGAACTCTATTACATGCAACAGTCCTAATAGCTGTAGATGCATACTTTAGGGACAAACTGCATTTTCACCAGCTACAGTTTGCATGCTGGACAAATGCAGTATCTCCACAACAATAGTGTAGCCTAAAGAGAAGGTGTTGGACTCTTGTGTCACATATGAGAAACATTTTGCTGTGTGTTGGGGGCTGGGGGACCCAACTTGTGAAAATGCACCTTTGAGACACGTTGGCTGCCTAGTCTGCATGACTTGGTAAGCCAAGTTATAGTTTACCTGGAGTCCACATGAATACTTGTTCTTGGCTGCAGCTCATGGTGGTGAGAAGAAAGCTGAGCCCACCTTTGGACAACACACTAGTCTAAATCTTAGCTTAGCTCAGCATGGCACAGGAGCAAAAAGGACCAGGGAAAAGCAAAGTAGCTTTAAGCTCTTCTCTGGGAGCCCACACTTTCACAACAGTCCCAGTAAGCCATAGTTTTGCTTACTATGTCATGAGAAGCAGGCCTCAAGAGTCGTTGGCCTTGTTTTCTGGTTACATTGCATGGGGATTTCACTATCGCCTACTCCCCGTTCCTCTTTTTGAAGAAATCTGTGCTTCTTCAGTCAGACATCTGTGTAAGGATGCAGGAGGATCGAGAAAAGGGGGTGACTAAGCTTTATTGCATAATAATCCATAGACTTTAATCACAGAATTGCCGAGCCAGTGACATTTATCTATTCATCCTGCCAATGTTTTTGTTTGCGTGGGCAAATATATAGGAAGGGGTGTGCAGCCATCAGGTCTCAGCTAGCCCAGATCCCACTTAGAAATGTTACATAAGTCCATTGCTTTTGTTTATTAAAGTGTTAGGAAATATTTGATAAACAGACCAAGCTACCACTTCTGGCCATGTTTATCATAGTGGCTACTGGAAGAACCGAGGCATGTCAGTCTGAGAATGGGGCTAGCCACAACGTAAACCATACATCAAGCAGGAGGGGAAAGATGGGAAATAATTATTACACTTTTGATGAATAGAGAGCATATGGGGCTTGCTCCCAGGCAAACCTGTATATTAGATTATACCCAATGCTAACAAATAAGCTTGCTTGCATTCTCTTTCCCATCCCTCTTTCTATATGATCTGATTTTTGCTTTAACCTTAGTTTTGCTCTGTCTTGCCTCTCCACTGCCCTCATATTCAAAATGTCTTTACTCTTTCATCTGCTCACACACCTCTTTCCAATTCTTACTTTTATCTCTGTCTTGTGTCAATATTGGTGTACACTGTAACTAAACATCTTGCACCCACAGATTAAAGGGCACAAAATCAAGACTCAGCTTCAAAATCCTTGCTCAATGGCTGGAAAACAACATTTTCAGTCCTCGAATACACCAAGCGATAATGTACTTTTAAGAAGCATTGTCCCAGGAGGACTGTGCAATGTGCCTTTTCTCAGTATTTGAATCAGCTCTATTTCAGTGCCACCTGGGAATACAAGATGTAATAATGGGACCATTAGCAGCTACATCCTAACAGAGATAAGGAACATGAGAGGAATATGATTTGCCTCCGGAAAGGGGGAGAAACGCTGAACATTTGAAGTGCATTCCCCAGCAACTAAGTCGAGAAAACCAAACAGCTGCAAATGGCTGGCTGAGACTTTTTCCATACCTTCCAAATGCCTTCTATAAATAAAATTAATAGCCATGCCCCTCTGGCCTATTGTCTTTAAAAAACTAACTGGTTTAAATATTTGGAATTTTACACTTCAGTCCTGGTTGCAATGAACAGTTTATTTTCCCTCCTGTTGTATCATACAGAAACCACCTTGAGATTTATGAATGAAGGGCAATGTACAAATTTAATACATAAAATAAATTGAAACCAGTACAGTATAATATTTAGTGTTGGTCTGGGACTAGGGAGACCAGGGTTCAGGTCCCCATTCAGTCATGAAGCTCATTGGGTGCCCACTTCTGCTCAGCCTAACCTACCTCCCATAATGTAATGGGAAAGGGAAGAACTATTTATGCCAGCTTGAATGTGTTATGAGAATTATAAGGTTTAAGATATAAAATAAATATACCAAGCAAACACATACATAAATAAATAAATATATAAACCGTATGTCTGAAACAGCACAGGAAAAAAAGTCCTGAAACCATTTTGTCTCTCCCAAATTGACCTCAAATGTTTCTCTGCAAGGAGGGAAGAAATGGGAAAAAGCTCCCCATTTGCTCACAAATTCTGCCCTAAGGGCACATTTAAGCTATGAATAGGGCGAGCCTGTGATCTGGACTCAGGAATTAAGTATTTATCATCACAAAAGAATAGCCAGGCTGCCCAGGTAAACCCATCAACAGCCAGGTAAACCCATCAACAGGTTTCCTGCCAGACAGGATTCTGTTGTAGACCAACCCTTCTGTGATTTATGCATGATGTATTGGGGGGTGGTCTTGGGCTCCAGGGTGGGCAATTTCAAATGTCAATATAAGGGCTTGCACGCCATTGTTCGGGGTCCCTCCTGCCGCCTGCGTGTAGTTGTGAAGCACCCTGTTGCAACAGTTAATAAAGATCAGGCTTACTAGCTGCTTTGCTTCTCAATATTCTGTGGTTGGCCTCTGTTAATTTCTCCTACTGATAGAGAACCTACATAAGGACTCTATACTGGCTCTTGGGTACCCCATAAGGGACATGGAGCAGTTTTTTCCTTATAACAAACACATTGGAGAAAAGGCAGGATATAAATGTAATAATAAAAAAATAAAACTTTGTATGGTGTGGAGAAAGTGGACAGGGAGAAGTTTTTCTTCCTCTCAGACAATACTGTAACTTGGGGGACGTCCAGTTACACTGAATGTTGGAGGGTTCAGGGCAGACAAAAGAAGTAACTTCTTCGTCTGCAACTTAATTAAATACAGTGGTACCTTGGGTTAAGAACTTAATTCATTCTGGAGGTCCGTTCTTAACCTGAAACTGTTTTTAACCTGAGGTACCACTTTAGCTAATGGGGCCTCCTGCTGCCGCCACACAATTTCTGTTCTCATCCTGAAGCAAAGTTCTTAACCCGAGGTACTATTTCTGCGTTAGCAGAGTCTGTAACCTGAAGAATCTGTAACTTGAAGCGTCTGTAACCCGAGGTACCACTGTAATGGAATTTGGTCCCCCGGGGAAGCAGCGATGGCCACCAACTTCAATGGCTTTAAAACAGCTACCATGGCTGTGCTCTGTTTTCAGTGCTAGAGGAGGCAGTACTACTTGCTGGGAATCCACCTGTGGGGAGCACTGTTGCACTTCTGCTGGCATGCTTTCCATAGGCATCTGGTTGGCCACTGTGAGAACCAAAGGCAACATTATGTGGGACTTTGGCCTGATCCAGCAAGTCTCTTCTTACATTCTTATACCCTACGCTGCCTGCACAAGCAGATTGCTCCCTTGAGTAAAGAAATGGGGCCATAAGGAACACATGGACCAAATTTCGCACACATTGGAGCTGCTATGTATTTCTTCCGTGTTTGTAAGCATGCCTGGGATATCAGGTACCAAAGCAAACTGTAGCATGCATGCTGCGGCACCGAGGAACGCCAACATCGGCCTAAGGGCAGTGGTGCTTCTTAAATTACCCTTTCCCACCTCTGTTCAATCATAAGAGCCCAAACCAAATGCACATTCCCAACCCATCCCAGCAGGGAGATTACGAAAAAGATTTCAAAGGAGAAATACTTGATTTTCCGACTGCCTACGCTTCAGAAAGGGTGTGCACTTGGATTCCAGCCACCACAACTGAATTCTGGTTTTGCTCCCATCCGGCGTAAACTCGTTGGACTAATCGTTTTATCTTATTATATTCCAGCTTTAACGAAAGTGGTGCAATAACATCATCGCCATGGGAGACTCTGTAAACACCCACCAACACAAAAGCCTCCCCACTCCCTTTTAAAGAAGCGGAAGTACATGTTGCAGCAAGTAGCCATGAAACAGCTGCATGTGCTAAATGATGGTAGTGAAGCTGATGAACATAGACTGAGATGGAGACTGTTTCACAGCTTCAATATTAATGAAATGGGTAGATTAAAAAAACACCAAAGAAAGCCAGAGGCACAGAATGCGAAAAGGATTCGGGAAAGCACGTGTGTTGGCGTGGGGAGGGGACTCAAAGATGGAAGATAAGTATGCTTTGACTGATTCTGTTTTAAAACTTTTTTTTAAAAAAAAATCCCCAGCATGCCAGAAGCCTTAAAACATGCAATTCCAGAAACCACATTGGCTTGAAACATGATGCTTGTTATTCTAGTAGCACCCCACCCTCCATTATTCAAAGTATCTTCTTTTCCTAGTATTTGAATGTATTGTAGCCATTCTGATAAATAAATGAAGATCAGCAATACTTTTAATCAATGGGTAAGTTCTAGAGAATCTTGGACTATAAAGATTAAAATGCTGGTCTGGAAACAAACCTATAAAGAATTCCCACAGGAGTTATCAACTTCCAGATGCGTAACCATGCTAGTCTGTTGAAGCTAAAACAGCAAAGAGCCTTGTGGAATCTTACAGAATAACAGATTTATTGTAGCACACACTTTTATGGATTAGTATGCACTTATTATTATTATTTGGGACGCGGGTGGCGCTGTGGGTTAAACCACGGAGCCTAGGACTTGCCGATCAGAAGGTCGGCGGTTCGAATCCCCACGACAGGGTGAGCTCCCGTTGCTTGGTCCCTGCTCCTGTCAACCTAGCAGTTCGAAAGCACCTCAAAGTGCAAGTAGATAAATAGGGACCGCTCTCCGGCAGGAAGGTAAACGGCGTTTCCGTGTGCTGCTCTGGTTCGCCAGAAGCAGCTTAGTCACGATGGCCATGTGACCCGGAAGCTGTCTGCGGACAAGCGCCGGCTCCCGGCCTATAGAGCGAGATGAGCGCGCAACCCCAGAGTCGGTCACGACTGGACCTGATGGTCAGGGGTACCTTTACCTTTATTATTATTATTATTATTATTATTATTATTATTAAGGGAAGTTTTTAATGTTGGATTTTATTTTTAATATTCTGTTGGGAATCGCCCAGAGTAGCTGGAGAAACCCAGCCAGATGGGCAGGGTATAAATAATAATAAATAAATAAATAAATAAATAAATAAATAATTACTACTACTACTGTACCTTGATTTGAGTTTAATGAAAAATCAGCAAATTAAGAAAGGTTATTATTAAAGGTGAAAAAAACCTTATCCTGGATCTTTAGGGGATTTGCACTGGCATCCCCAACCAAGCATACAGGATTTTGATCAGTTCTTCCACACCAAGATGAATGAGAAAGGAACTATGCTTTGCTCATAGCATGGAGCTGCTGCTAAAAATGGCAACCCAGAGTCTGGTTCTCTCCATCTTCCCTGTAACGTAGGGGTAGACCAATCTGTGGACCTCCAGATGATGTTGCTGGACTCCACCTTCCATCAGCCCTGGCTGCCTTGACCAGTGGTCAGGGATTATGGGAGCTGTAGTCCAGCAACATCTGGAGGACCAAAGGTTAACCAGCCATCCTGTATGTGCAGAAACCCTTTCAGTACCATAATATCACCAAACTGTGTGTTTTCTCCTTCACCCAACATATTGTTGGAGGTCATTAGCCTGGGTGGAGAATGTACAGCAGAATGATATCATGAAACTGGGTAAGTGTTCCAACATGTTAATAAAGAAGAAATATTTGATGGCTGAAAGATACTGTTCCCAGCAACCCTGAAATTATTAACTGTGAGGATATGTAAGATTAATGTTTGCAGTCTGTTATGTTTTCACATTCTTAAATTATGGTTTTGTTTTACAGACAAACCTCAGCTCCCGAATGCCTCCGTTTTGGAATGTTTCAGCTCCCAAACGCCAAAAACCCGGGAGTAAATGCTCCAGTTTTCAAATGTTTCTCGGAAGCCGAACATCCAACGCAGCTTTCACATGTGTGCAGGAAGCTCCTGCAACCAATCAGAAGCAGCGCCTCGGTTGTCGAACATTTCGGAAGCTGAACGGGCTTCCGGAAGAGATAACGTTCGACAACCGATGTTTGACTGTATTTGTATTGTATTTTTTACCACTTTACTAACTGCCTGGAAATGTAATAAATGTAATAAAGAAATAAATAAAGTTTGCAAACGTTTGACAGAACCCTCATGTTTCATGAAAAACAGTACTAGTATCAAGGTCTGAAGAAATGTTTTTTTCAAAAGAGAGAGAGAGAGAGGACGCAGCAGAGGTCTCTTTTGGTTTTGTGTAATGTCAGTTCACCTCAGTTAAAAAGTATGGTCTGGTGGCTACAGTGCTGGGATTTGTACTCAGTTTCAAAGCCCACATCTGCCATGTTTACAGCTGGCCAGCTCCATTCCATCCCCACCAGATTCCGCCCTTGGACAGCCAAGGCATTTCTGATAAAGGTAGCAAAACCAAACACTCAGGTTGTGGATACAAGGAACGATCCTGCTTTTCAGAAAAGGCAGACAATGGGAACAAGTGGGAACTAATGGAAAGGGTAACAGAAAAAAGCTCTAAACAGTTCTTTCAGCTAGGTGGAGAGGTACAGAAAAGACACTCAGACACCAACTCAGGAATACAGCAGCCACCCTACCAGGGATGATAGCAGAACTGAGTCCAATGAGGAAGAGTGGTGTGTCTTTTTGACTCTTCTGGCTCCACCAACATCTGAAGCAGTGCTTTCCCACTCTGGCAGAAACAGAAGCCTTGTAACGTCTCACCAATCTTATTCAGATTCTCTCTTGTTAAGACCCTTCTGTTGCCTGAAGGAAGCTAGGTCTCTCTTTTCTCTAAAAGTCAGTGCAGAAACTCTCCTCTGGCCTGTGCTTTGTTTCATTAACCTTGCCCTTCCCCAGGTGGGCGGTTGTTGTTTTTTGGTTCCCTACACTTGATGGACAGGGGGTGTACCTCGCTGGCAGCCTGCAGAGTCCCAAACCGCCCCAGAAGGTGGAGTCCCAAAGCGCTGGGCTCTCCTACTAACACCCAGGCAACCTCTCTACTACTTGTTTCTGTCTGTTCTGACGTAAATATACAATGCTCATGTAACCTTGCTTCATAGTTTCTTAATTTCCTGTCTTTAAAATGGACCTTAGTGCAAATAACTCAAATACAGTGGTGCCTCGCAAGACGAAATTAATCCGTTGCGCGAGAGTCTTCGTCTAGCGGTTTTTTCGTCTTGCGAAGCAACCCTATTAGCGGCTTAACGGATTAGCGCTATTAGCGGTTTAGCGGCTATTAAAGGCTTAAAGGCTTAGGGGATTAGCTGCTAAAAGGCTATTAAAGGCTATTAAAGGCTTAGCAGATTAGATAAAGGGGGAGAAAGCGAAAAAATCTCTAGACTCGCAAGACATTTTCGTCTTGCGAAGCAAGCCCATAGGGAAATTCGTCCTGCGAAGCGCATTGAAAACGGAAAACCCTTTCGTCTAGCGGGTTTTCCGTCTTGCGAGGCATTCGTCTTGCGGGGCACCACTGTAACTGTTTTGAATATATTTTTTATAGCTTGTAAAAAATACTATATATAAGTGTGTATATAAGACTAGGTTTGTTTGTTTTTTACCCAAAAATTAGGTTTAAAATTGGGGCTTGTCTTATACACGAGTAGTGCTGAGGGGTGTTTTCTTAATTTGGAGTCCCCAAAAATACATGGGGGCATCTTATACATGGGAAAATGTGGTATGTTTTGAGTGACCTCTTGCCACTTTTAATTTATGCAGCAGCATAATATTTAATATTTACAGTCAGTTTTACATTGGGCGGGGCAAGCTGGGGCTGGGCGCATTGCCTGGAGCCTCACCGCTGCCTCCCCCTCAGTTGTAGGGTAGCTGAGGGAGAGCGGGTGCAAGCCCCACGCTGCCGTTTCGGGCAGTGCAGAGCCTGCAGGCGCCCGAGCCACCGCATCACTTCCAGGAGAGACGCATGGCTCGGTCGCGCTGCAGGCCCCATGGTAAGTGCCGCCCCCTGCAGTGTGGCGCCCAATGCCCCCAGCCCCCCCCCCCAGCTATGCCTCTGAATTTATGTGATATCATTTCGTTTCTCAGTGGTGGGGTATCTGCTTTCATTCACATCCCTGGTTCAATCTCCAGCATCACCAGGTGGGCCTGGTAATAATCCCTGGCTGAACTGCTGCCAGTCAGTGTAGGCAGTACTGAGCTAGATAGACCAACGGTCTGATTTTCTATAATGCAGCTTTCGATATTCCTGAAATCCCCAAAGAATAAAAACAATGGCGCTCTTTCTTTGAATTAACAAATGAAGCAAACATTAAGTGATCTGGATAATCAAATCTCATTATCACTGGGTGCAGCACACACACAATCCTACATATACGGGAGGAAATGCGCACACAGTGCAAAGGTGCATTCTTGGGTGTGGCTAACACATAATAATGGAACACCCAGATACTTTATTTTAAGTGTTTTGAATATATTTTTTAAAGCTTGTAAAAAATACTATATATAAGTGACTAATGATAATTTCCTCCAACCAGGCCTAAGAATTACCTCTGACATCACATACAATAATTTCATGTAAGAAGACGGGAAATGATTGCTGGGAACTCACATTATGTGGACAGTACTCCAAAACTTGATAAAACTTCAGTCCTCGAGGCACATGGTTGTGGACATCCACATTGCAGCACTCCTTCATCCCTTCATCGATAGCCTCATTTATCTTGTTCACGGGGAAAGCGCAAACTGCCGAGTAATTCCGGGGCACTTTGCTGCCTGGCAGGCTTTCAGCAAACACCCCAAAGAGAACCAGTTCTCTGTCAGCATCACTGACAGTGATCTCAGGAGCCAGTTTCGGGCCAGGCTGAGTAGCATGAGCCGCTTGCAAAACATTAAAAACAACATCCCTGGGGGTTGCCCCAAGACTCCTCTTCCGCTTGGTGTTAAAGCGGCAGTCCAAGTTCAGTTCACGGTACGTGTGCACTTCCGTTTCATCAGTACTGAGCCGTACAATCCTAGTGTGGTACACACTGGACTCAGGGTTTTCTTTTTGGACTGTTAGAAAATATACAAAGTTCCGGTATTCAAAGGAATACACATAGTTAATTGGGTATGTGTCTTGAAACGCAGGTAGCACCGTTAAGGAGTGGAAAGGATGGTCAAACCCTTCCGCGTTACTCTTGAGTCTCCGTATAGACACGGATTTGGGGCTATACGTCTCCGCAATGCTTCTGTTAATGGTAGAGGCAACGTAAAAGTATACCGTGTGTGCCATATCAGCAACTACAACTCTAGTGCCTAAAGGACTGGCCACACAGTCTGGACACTCAGAAGGCCTGTTAAATTTAGCAGAGAACAGGCATTTGGTGTCAACTGACACATTGCCATTTTTTTCAATCTCATGCTGGAAGCAGACTCCATGATGGGAAGTCCCACAACTATAAAGCCAAAATTCTTGAGGATCCATCACCAGAACTATGTTATCTGTATCTTCGGGGTTCATTGGCCCTTTCACGGGGCATTTGGCACAGATCTCACACGCGGCGTTACCCCAGGGACCAGTCACTATCATAGACAGAATTTCCATCTTTGAGTTCAACATGAAGATCTTGTTCCGAACTGCAACAAAGATCGCATCATCGTACTCAGAAGTGACAATGTTCTGAATGGAACTTCCAGCATCGAATGTAGGGAAGCTGTACTTCACTGTGAAATCTCTGGTTGAGTCAGACCATCGAGGTGGGCACTGCCATGCCTTCCCAATGATTATTGTGGGCAATAACCCCAATGTGAGGCAAAATAACAATGACACACCCATACTAGGGAGGTAACAGTAATGAAGAGTCCCAGACCTCAGAGACTACCTCAGCTTTTCAGTTCTGTGTGGAGCTGAAATCCATCCAGAATAGTCTACCATCGCATTGCAGCTGAAAGGGAGAGAAAATATGAATGACTGACATTGAAGAAAAAAGAAAACAAGCTTGCATTTAAGTATTACGGAGCATCCGATAGAAGAGGAAGATATTAGGAAGCTTTGTTGAGTCTGCTGCAGCAAAAACAACAGTTCTGTGGCACCTAAAAGATGAACAGATTCCTTATATTTTTATATTTTATTTATAAAAATATTCATATTCTGGGAAGCTTCCAACTTCATAAAGACACAGCAAAACATCACACAATTAAAAACTTCCCGATACAGAGCTGCCTTCAGAGAGTTGTATAGTTGTTTATCTGTTTGACATCTGATGGAAGGGCATTCTACAGGTTTACAACAAAAATAAATAAAATACATAAAACCAGTGCTATTTTTCTAGAAAAAGAGGTGCCAGAACTCACCATGAACACCTCCCTTGTTCTCTTATAATGGCAATGGTGCCCACCTGAGAGGTGCCAGAACTGGGTTCCGGCAAGTTCTGGCTGAAAAAAAAACCCTGCATAAAAGCATATTGTAAAAACCAGTTAAAAGCAGAAATCAATTAACAATTGTGGGAAGATGCATTCTTAACTGCCTGGACAGGCCTGGTGGAATAGGAAAGTTTTCAGAAGGTGTTTAAAAGTTGAAACAGAAGTTCCCTTCTTACAGCATAAGTTTTTGAGGGTCACACAATAAAAGGGAGTTGGATCTCCTTGTGTAAAGGAATCCTCTACAGAGGCTATACTGTCCGTGAAAATCCAGCCGTACAATGTTCGTGAAAATCCGGATGTATGGCAACCCATGTCGGCAGTGCCGTTTTGGACAAATAAATTGTGATTTTGCCAAGAAAGCTCAACAACTTTTAGCTGGTGCCCATCATCACATCTGTGTCCTAATTGTTGTTGCTTTTGATCTGATGTTTTCACCAGACAGTAAAGGATCTAGGGTGTCAAAATCTCATGGATTAAAAAAAAACAACCAATTCCATTCTTTTCTCAGTAAAAATTATACCAAAAAGTAGGTGGAGTATGTAATCATAATAACTTCGTAAGTATTATTTCCTATATATGTAATTGGTCTACATCAGTTAATATTTACAGGCAGTTTTACACTGACTATCAATGGGTTAATTGCACAGTGGGTTTATTTTAAAAAGGTTTTAGTAATGTTAAAAATATTCATATTAATCATTTTAATTGAATTGAATATGACAATACAACAATAGAACACAAAAAAGTAAAACATAACAACAGATGACTGGTCCATCTACTATTAATTAAAGTTTGACAAGACAGTTATTATTACTACATTCTTCAGTAATTGAACCAATATAATAATTCCCTTTCCTTTTATTTCTGGTTTTTACATAATCTGGATGATAAAACTGCCAGATGCTTTTGAGAATTTGGGACTGACTTCTTCGTGAGCCTTATTTCATTTCTAATAATGTCTGCCATATAAACCTTTCTATTTCTGAATCAAGAAACAAGGTTACCCCCACCATTCTATACTGGATGCTGGGACAACCCCCCAGCCAAAGGCCGCAGAGTTTGAAAAGGAAATAAAATCATACCGGATTGCATAAATTTATATATATACACTGTATTTTTCCGTGTATAAGACTAGGTTTGTTTGTTTTTTACAAATTACAAAAATTTTACAAAAATTAGGTTTAAAATTGGGGCTTGTCTTATACACGAGTAGTGCTGAGGGGTGTTTTCTTAATTTGGAGTCCCCAAAAATACATGGGGGCATCTTATACATGGAAAAATGTGATATGTTTTGAGTGACGTCTTGCCACTTTTAATTTATGCAGCAGCATAATATTTAATATTTACAGTCAGTTTTACATTGGGCGGGGCAAGCTGGGGCTGGGCGCATTGCCTGGAGCCTCATCGCTGCCTCCCCCTCAGTTGTAGGGGAGCTGAGGGAGAGCGGGTGCAAGCCCCACGCTGCCGTTTCGGGCAGTGCAGAGCCTGCAGGCGCCCGAGCCACCGCATCACTTCCAGGAGAGACGCATGGCTCGGTCGCGCTGCAGGCCCCATGGTAAGTGCCGCCCCCTGCAGTGTGGCGCCCAATGCCCCCAGCCCACCCCCCAGCTATGCCTCTGAATTTATGTGATATCTTTTCGTTTCTCAGTGGTAGGGTATCTGCTTTCATTCACATCCCTGGTTCAATCTCCAGCATCACCAGGTGGGCCTGGTAATAATCCCTGGCTGAACTGCTGCCAGTCAGTGTAGGCAGTACTGAGCTAGATAGACCAACGGTCTGATTTTCTATAATGCAGCTTTCGATATTCCTGAAATCCCCAAAGAATAAAAACAATGGCGCTCTTTCTTTGAATTAACAAATGAAGCAAACATTAAGTGATCTGGATAATCAACTCTCATTATCACTGGGTGCAGCACACACACAATCCTACATATACGGGAGGAAATGTGCACACAGTGCAAAGGTGCATTCTTGGGTGTGGCTAACACATAATAATGGAACACCCAGATACTTTATTTTAAGTGCCTACTGTCCTGTAGAAATATCTCCATCCATTAACTCTGATCCTATACATGCTTATTCAGGAATGCCATGAAGTTCAACTGAGTTTACTCCCAAACAAGTGCAATAACATGAATCACCCAGTAAGTTTATTTCCCTAGTGCACAACTGAAAAGATGGAGGGGTTTAAGGGGGTTATGACTTCAAACATTACACAACAGCAAAACCACATTTGGCACCAGGAGTGTACCCTCACTGGGAAGCCCCAGCAAGGCCAAAGTCCCTGGCAACCCTACCTGCATAACACACACCAACAAGCACTGTTTCGGGATGAAACATTTTTGCCTCACCTTTCAATCTTAAGGGGTCAAGGCAGCTTGCATAAATATCATACATACACACACACACCACTAAAAATAATAATAATTACAGCTCCAACAGCACAACAGAGTAAATCAGAAAAAAACAAGTGCCCTTGACACACCCATCTATCAAGAGAATATCAGGAAGGAGGTACAGTCATCGACTATTTTAATAGCTTCTTGCTTGCTGGCTAAAGCGCAGCAAGTGAGGATGCCAAACGAACCTCTCGTTGTTTTCGCACACTGCATTTTTCGTGAGCTTGCATATCAAAGGGTGCATTAAAAGAAAAGAAAAGCTGTGTGATAGTTGTGGGCAATGGGTGTCTACTTGTGTGCCCTGCTGCGAGCTGAGGCCAACTCCGGAGCAGAAGCGAAAGGCAGGCTGGCGGCATTGCCCTCGCTCGAATTCTCCTTCTCCCAAGCGCCCTGGGCAACAGGTGACCCAGGCGGGAAAAGCCCTCTCCCCCCGGAGGGCGGGCGAGCACCCCGCGCAAATCCCCCTCGGGGCAGGCGCGGCGGGAGAGCGAGAAGTTTCGCCCCTTCCACGCGCCCAGATCCTGATTCAGATCCCGCTACGCGCTCGTGGACTGGAAAAGAAACCGAGCAGGGGCAAGCCTAGGCGAAAGGTAGGGCCGGCAGCACCGCCCACCTTGCCCCTCTGAGCTCCTTTCCGACCCCATACAGCGCGACTTCCCCGTGGCCAAGGACTCACCCCGCCGCAGCCGCCGTCTCGGACTCTCTGAACTCGGCGCCGACTACACACCTGGCCGGGGAGGCTCCCAGGCGGAGGACGGGACGGGACCGGGCGGGGACAGCGCGCCGAGGGCGGCACTCAGCCCGCCTCCGCCTCCTTCCGCAGCAGCCCGTTCCCGCCTTTGGGTCGCGTCCCAGCGCCGTCGTCGAGGAGTGGAGCGGGGCGGACGCCCTTGTAGGACAAATGACTTCCTAGGGAGGGAGGCGCAGCCGGGTTGGCGCGCTCAGAAGTCGCCCTGTCTGGCAAGAGAGAGACAGCGTCAGAGAAAGCGCTTGTCCCCTCGGGCTGTGTCCTGATAGCCGGCGCTGGCGACTGTGGCTACTTCTTCGGGGCCACTTCTCGGCGGAACAGGGCGCAACCCGTCCCGGCTCTCACCCCGCGATTTCCGCTGCGGCCTGAGGACTTTGACCGCCTGTGGCTCGCGCGGAGTACCTTTCTAACGTCTGCAAGGGAAAGATGCGTGTCTGTAATCACCGCGGTGCCTGACCGGAAGCCGTGATTGCCTCCGTTCCGCGGCGTGTATCCCTTGGGTTTAGTTTCGTGTTGTGTTGGGTTTGGAGTAGCAAAAAGAAAAAGAGTGAGAGGACTCTTAAAGACTTTAAACGTTGTATTATGCTGTAATAAAGTTGTTGCTTTTAATGTTTTCCACAGTAGCCTTTCTTCTGTTTGTAGGCTCGTTTTGATTTCAGACATTACGAAATAATACAGCGGCATCGGCACTTGTCTGGCATGCGGAGTATGTGGGTGGATGGTTACGAGGAGTTGCATGAAATTTATTGCTTAAAAAAACAAAAAACTCAAAGGATCCTGGGGAAGGGCTACAGTATGTCGTAACTGGAAGCTGCCCGGGAGAGTACGCAGCACACGCCCTCTGACGATTACTTAAGGGTGCTGGGAATTATAGCTCTGGGGGTGAACTAGGATTCTTTTCTGGGGATGCTTTAAATGTATGATGTGTATACATCCTGATTAATACTTTCCACTCCTGCCGCCTTGCAGCTCAAAATCGCCTTCTCCCATCGGTTTTCTCACAGGTGAGGGAGAAAGGGGACACTCCTAAAACATTTTGCTGCCTGAGGAGAAATAGCAAATGTCTCCCCCTCTCCCCCATCCCCGGTCAAGAAGCATAGTAGTTATTCAAGGCCAACTTAGCTATTTGGCTCCTGAAAACTTTACAAGCAGCCTCTCGCTGAGAGGAAGAAAAGGCAATAATATAAATAAGGAACAATTCGCTGCGCTTTTACTACACCCCAAACCAGCTGCCTCGGGCAGCTGTCCCATGCTGCTCAACAGAAGGCAAAGCGGTTCTTGTTTTTGAAATATGCAGTGGTAAATACAGAATGGACGGGTAGGTGGGCTGCTACTGTGTAATATGGGTAAGGTAAAGACCCACACATGGAGTGTTATTCCCTCCCTTGCACACTTCCTCCCACCCAGGCACAGTCTGCCAGACAAGGCAGAGCTGGAACCTGAGAGTTGCACTCTGTCTGTGCAGCAAGTACCGTAATATCTCCAGGTGAATACCATATTACTGTAATGTTCACAAGAGAAACACACCTGGCAGGTTGACATGCGTCTGTATGCTCACAAGCACACATGCCCTCAGTGGCCTGGTGGACTAATGCTAGATTCAGCAACAGCAGCATCATGGGGGGAGAGGGTACAAGTATGAGGGGAGGATTATTCTGTGTTTTGAAATCATGAGAGGGGTCCGTCTACAACCTACCGTCTTTGTGCATAGGGAGCAGAGTTGCTTTCAGCGAACAGAAGGAAACAGTTCTAACTTTAAGATGGCTTGCGGGAACACTTTTTATTTACAGTAGTACCTCAGGTTAAGAACTTAATTTGTTCTGGATGTCCGTCTGGGTTAGCGGAGTCTGTAACCTGAGGCATCTGTAACCTGAGGTACCACTGTACTGGGCTCAAAAAATCTAACACATTTTATGAAAGAAGAGAACTATCAAAGAGGGGGGTCACCCAGGCATCTCAAACCATTATTTTTAGCAATTTTCTTTTCCTATATGGTAGTAGATTTTTAAATAACTAGTATTAATGCAACATGACTGCATCTTATGACCCATAAATCAAATTTCATCTTATCAGTCTTTATTTCTCTGTTTTCCTGATTATTTCTGATCCATTTCCTTCTTGGCGTCTTTACCTCTGTTGCCTTTCCGCGTACAGTATATATTTTTATTATCCCTATTGTGCATTTGCAAATGAATTATTTACATCCCCCACAAATGTCATGTGACAGCAGCCATTCCAATAGGCGGCTGGCTGGGCTTCAATAATGCATTTGGCTGGCATGCATATTTGTGGTACGATAAGGTAAAAGCACATAAAGCATTGTTTAATGTTTGGATAAGATATAAGGATTTGTTAGAAAAGAAAACCCCAAGATGGTTGTCACCAATGGAGGCGAAGGCACAGAAAAAACTCAATATGGAGGCCAAATGGCCGAAATATTGGGAAATTCTGGAACAAGATGGAGACAGAATAAAATTGCAGAGCTTTGAAAAATTGAAAAACAAAGTGCGAGATTGGCTCCATTATTACCAAATAATGGAGGCATATAATTTGGACAAAAAAGTTGGTTTCCAGGTGGAAAAATCAAACTTGGAAACAGAATTGTTAGATCCAAAAATTAAGAATTTGTCAAGAATGTATAACTTGCTGTTGAAATGGAATACTCAGGATGAAATGGTGAAATCAGCTATGATTAAATGGGCACAAGATGTTGGACATAACATAATGATGGCTGACTGGGAACAGTTATGGACCACAGGTATGAAATTTACGGCATGTAATGCTCTAAGAGAAAACTTAATGAAAATGATTTATAGGTGGTACATGACACCAGTCAAGCTTGCAAAAATTTACCATTTGCCCGATAATAAATGCTGGAAATGTAATGAGACTGAAGGTACATTCTTTCACCTTTGGTGGACATGCCCAAGGATTAAGACCTTCTGGGAGATGATTTATAACGAAATGAAAAAGGTATTTAAATATACCTTCCTGAAGAAACCAGAGGCCTTTCTCCTGGGCATGGTCGGCCAATTGGTGCCAAAGAAGGATAGAACCCTTTTTATGTATGCATCAACAGCAGCAAGAATACTCTTCGCGAAGTATTGGAAAACACAAGATTTACCCACCCGGGAAGAATGGCAGATAAAGTTGATGGACTATATGGAAATGGCGGAAATGACTGGCAGAATCCGAGACCAGGGAGAAGAGTCGGTGGAAGAAGACTGGAAAAAGTTTAAAGACTATTTACAGAAATACTGTAAAATTAATGAATGTTAGAAAAATGTTGGAATGAAGTTATATGGCTTTAGTAGAAATGTTATAAGGAATTAAGTATAAACAGATTAATAGAGTATTAAAGGGAAAAATAAGGTTAGAATGTGTTAAGATAATTATAGGATAGAAAACAGAGGAAGATGGAAAGGAATTGCTGAAACAATTAACAGAAGTGGAATACAAAAAGGGAGGTGTGAGGAGGTCGTGGAAACAAGTGAATGAAAGATAAGATAATGAAATTGTTCGATGTGTTTTAAATGGGTCTTGTTTTTGTTTTGTTAGTTTTATGTGTTAGTGCTTTGTAGTGTTTTTGTATTGTATTGTATTGTCTTTTTTATGTTTTTTTTTTTGTAGTGTTGTGTTTAAACTGTTGGAAAATTCATAAATATTATTTTCCAATAGGCGGCTGGCTGCCTCTGTGAGCAAGATGAGAGCAGGCCCCATTCCATTAGCTTTGCTGGAAGGCCAGCTCCACTAGGTTCCCCTGCCCCCAACCCAGTGGCGTAGCGTGGGGGGTGCAGGGGGGGCCGGCCGCACTGGGCGCAACATCTGGGGGGGCGCGCTCGCACTCGCAGCTCTCTGCCCCTACCTGGCTCACTCTCTCTCACTGCAGTGCTGGCTGTGCGAATCCGATCCGAGCCGCTGGGTTGCCGCCTACTGTGGAGGGGGTGGGTGCCAGGCGTGTGGTGCGGAGAGAGAGCGAGGGACTATCTGGGGAGGGACAGTGCAGCGGCCGCCCAGCGCAGCGCTGAGCGCGGGAGAGAACCACACCAGACCAGGCAGCAGCAAGAAGAAGCTGGCAGCGGCGGCAGGTTAGGGGTTAGGGGGCGCAAATTACTTGCCTTGCCCCGGGTTAGGGGGCGCAAATTACTTGCCTTGCCCCGGGTTAGGGGGCGCAAATTACTTGCCTTGCCCCGGGTGCTGACAACCCACGCTACGCCGCTGCCCCAACCCACTTCTGAACTCTTTCCATTCCTAAGCTAGTACGTATAAGAACCACTATTTAAGAATTGGTGCCTGAGTTTGCTTTCCCTCTTCCTTTAGTGTTGTGTATTTTTGTAAGCCCACAGGAAGGGGCTGTCTTCCTTTATTCCACATAAGCTGCACTGAAAGGTTTTTGTGGTGAGGACTGAGAGGCTGCAAGGTAGACATGCTCTAAATAAATAAACCTTACAGATCTGGGATTGCTTTCTCCCACACGCGGCAGACACTAATTCCCATCATTTTACCATAACAGTAACTGTATCCCAAAAGATAAACGTTTTAGTTATCAACTGATCTGCAAAGAGTTTCACAATCTTGCCCTACATTTTTCTTAACAAAGCTTATTAAAATGTGATTTGTGTTGAGAAGATTTAAATAAGGCAATGTAAGGGTTGTTAAAGCTGACAACTATTTTACAAAAGGCATCAAGAGCTCCTTTCTACACAGGAATTGCTTGCGCTGAATTAAAGTAGCAAAATCAAAACCATGATTATATCATCCATCTCTGGCATTCATACTATTATTTCCAGTTTCTTTGTAGGGCTCCTTCCGGCTTTTCTCCAGGCATTTTAAATGCTCTTGTGAAATATTTTCTGGGAATCTCTCTTTAGTGGGGTAGCATAGTAGTTGCTGTGCCCTCCCTCGAAGGACAGAACAAGCAATGCAAACAGGAGATTTAGTTCAGCAAGCTAGAAATCCCCAAAGGGGCAGATTCCCCCACAGGATGGTTGTGGGTCCCCAAGAGTAATTTAATACTGGGGATGTGAGATCATCCACGTTCAAAATGATCAGGGAGATCTTGAGATGAAGAATAAAATCAAGGAAGCATCCAGAAAAGAGTGACTTCAACTACCATCACATAGATTGGCTACATATGTGTTCCAGTCATGACAAAGGGGTGAAATTTATTGAAACCCTAATAATTGCTCTAGTACAGTACATATGGGACGCAGGTGGAGCTGTGGTCTAAACCACAGAGCCTAGAACTTGCCAATCTGAAGGTCAGTGGTTCGAATCCCCACGACGGGGTGAGTGCCCGTTGCTCGGTCCCTGCTCTTGCCAACCTAGCAGTTCGAAAGCACGTCAAAGTGCAAGTAGATAAATAGGTACCGCTCTGGCAGGAAGGTAAACGGCATTTCCGTGCGCTGCTCTGGTTCACCAGAAGCAGCTTAGTCATGCTGGCAGCATGAAGCTGTCTGCGGACAAACGCCGGCTCCCTCAGCCAGTAAGATGAGCAGCGCAACCCCAGAGTCATCTGCGACGGGACTTAGCGGTCAGGTGTCCCTTTACCTTTTTATAGTACATATGGTCATGGAGCTGACCAGAGGGCAGCACCCTGGGCTTAATATTTGGTGGCGCCCAGAACCTGCTGCAGGCTATAAGTGTTGCTGAACCAATTGGGAGCAGTGACCATAGCGCTATTAAAGTAAACATACCTGTAAATGGCAAATTGCCAAGAAAATTCAACATGGTCACATTTGTCAAAAGAGAAAACTTCCCAAAAATGAGGGGATCAATAAAAAGGAAGCTGAAAGTCAAAGTCAATAAGGTTTTTTCACTCCAAAATGGCAGGGTGTTGTTGAAAAATACAATATTAGAAGCTCAACTGAAATGTATACTACAGGTCAGGAAAGGACCAAGAGGATGCCAGTGGGGTTAACAAGTAGTCAAATGAGCTATTAGAGGGAGAAGTCTTCCTTCAAAAACTGGAATTCTTGTCCAAATGAGAAGAGAACAAAAAGGAACACAAACTTTCGCAAAAGAACTGCAAGCAGGGGTGCGCATAAGGGATGAACAGCAAAACTTCTCTTACGCTCTTTTGGAATTGATATCTTTGCCTAATCCTAAAGCAAGCCCCATCTGAGCTCACCCTTGATACGACATGTACCAACTGCAAGTTGCACAACCTAACAACGAAAGTAACAATTTTACTGCAAATTTCCTGAAACCAAATGGTTTAATTAGCAAAAGGTTAGGTAAGGTTAGGGGAGATGTTATCCAGAAAACTCAAATGATGTACTTTGGATTAATGAAAGAACTATTTAGAGAGATTCGACATGATATGTGAAGGACAAAAATGAGGGTGGACTAAGTAGGATTTTTAGTTGGGTAATTGAGGTTTTCTCAATGGAGGTTCCAATATACTGAAAATGAAAGTTAAAAGTTATTAAGGAATTGATCAAGAATATTGTAACTGTGGGACGTGGGTGGCGCTGTGGGTTAAACCAGAGCCTAGGACTTGCCGATCAGAAGGTCGGCGGTTCGAATCCCTGCGACGGGGTGAGCTCCCGTTACTCGGTCCCTGCTCCTGCCAACCTAGCAGTTGAAAGCACATCAAAGTACAAGTAGATAAATAGGTACCGCTCCGGCGGGAAGGTAAACGGCATTTCCGTGCGCTGCTCTGGTTCGTCAGAAGCGGCTGAGTCATGCTGGCCACATGACCCAGAAGCTGTACGCCGGCTCCCTCAGCCAGTAAAGCGAGATGAGCGCCGCAACCCCAGAGTCGGTCACGACTGGACCTAATGGTCAGGGGTCCCTTTACCTTTACTATTGTAACTGTATAAATCTAAAGCAACTATATGACTTTCTAATTCACATGTGTAGCAGAAGATGTGACCTTGGACTCACACACTGTAAGCACAGGAAATTTGTTCATTTTTAAAATTACATTTGGATCGATTTCTTGTTTGTGTTGTCACTGCCCTGATCAGTAAGAAAGCTTTCACACTGCTGACCCTTTGCTGCCACCCTGTGGCTGTCGTGTTCCCAGCCTTTTAGAGACAGGAGTTGACACAATGCTTTTGCTCATTGCTTTAATGAATTACATTGCCATTGGTATGTCACATTACCCTTCTCTCCCCCCCCCCCACAAGCTTAAACAAGCTTAGCGTATTGAGTTCCTACAAAGTCTCACATCTAAGCCTGGGGTCACATGGAGACAGTGAACTTGGGCCTAGGGCTGTACAACTGCAGCATGCATGCAAAAACTGAATGCCTATCATTCCAAAAAACATCATTCACATGGAAAACTGGATGTCAGGGAGAAGAGGTCCAGCCTAGCCTTCTCCCCGACATGCTATTTCCCCATGTGCCAAAAACTGTTATATTCCTTTTGTACAAAGGAATGTTTGGTCACATGAGCACCCCCCCCCCCCCGCCTGCAATCTGAGGTGGTACAACCCAGGCAAAGGTTTACTACCCGTCTGAGATCATGGCCAAGGATAAATAATGCCCAGTATTTGGTTGAGGTATATGAGACTTTAGAATAACTGTATGGTCTTCTCTTTGTATATATTACAGAGATCAACCCGAGAGAGAGAATTCTCTTTGCTGATCTACTTTGGAACTTGGAAGACCTAAGCACAATCCTTTGTATTTTCCCAAACCTCTCAAATGTAGTCCACACCTTCTGAGCTGATTTTGTTGTTTGCTATGTTTTTCGCTGGGTAGAATATCAGCCAAACAGGTGCCTCCCTCCAGATCTGTCTCTACATTTCTTATAATGAGGCAATTACAAAGTGGACTGCAGGCACAATTGCCACTTCCCTATGTATGCTTTTCACTATACTGTTTGTTATTCCTGGAGCACACCGCATTCTTTAATTATGTGTATACGGTACGTGGAATGTGATTGCTTCACCGTGGATGGGAATAATCTCCTGTTACATCACAGATGTGTTGGGCATGGGGAGTAGAACTTAGCTCCTTTGTCGCCTGTGAAATCTGCAAGTCTACCTCCTGAGTAGACTGCATCATCTCCGAGCATTCCTATAACACGAGGCCAAAAAAGCATCTCTGTCTTTTCTCTTCCTATTTGCACCTTGTAGTAATGTTATTAATGAAAGGATAGAATGTAAAATATAATTGCAGACAGATATAAGAAAAAGGTGGTTTAAGCTTGATGTGGAAAACACCTTTGTCTTTTTGTCATCTAACAGTGTAAATCATTCTGTCCTTGGGATGGATAAAATGTGAGCTTTTGATTTCTTCTGGTACGTCCTCAGTGTGAAAGTGATCAGTCTAAACAATTGTTAAACAATTAAAAGAGTCTTGCATTATCCACACCTATCCTTGAACCTGCAGCTTTCCTTTGTGGTTGAAATTATGAGTAATATAATAAAGAAAAGTCTATTGGGCACCCAGAGCAGCACACAAGCCGTGCACCCGGGGGGGGGGTGTGATTCACCTGAGGGGGTGATCGGCACGGCGGCGATCCACCCAGGGAGGATTTTGTCACCCCCTCTAGGATGACACCCGGGGTGGACCGCCCCCACCACACACCCCTTCCTACGCCCCAGTCTGTGTGGGTAGCATGTGGAGTATAATAGCAGAGATGTGGATACATCAGAGCTTTGCAAACTAGGAACTTGAATAAAAACTAGAAGGAATCAGTGACCTAAGCCAATTCCAAAGGGAAGTGTGCAGCAGGGAGCCAGACTGTTCATAAAATGCTCTCTCTGCTCCCCAGTACGTGCTGCTTTGATGACCCACTGCTTCAGGTGCAAGGCAGAGTGGCGCAAGTTGGACACAGAGGACATTTGGGAAGTCATTAAAGATTAGGGAAGCCATGGGCAATGAAGTACACTGGACTCCTTGATGCATTGGCTTGGCCAACAATACAGGAAAACAATTGCCTGAACGTCTCCCAACAGAAGCTAGTTAGAAGAGGAGGGGAAAACACACTCTGGAGATGTGGACAAGATTTGGTTTAAGACAATCTAAAAGAAAAAAAGTGGCAGAAATTACATTCTATGTTTGGGATGAAGAGCATCTTGGGTAGCAATCACATGGATGAAGGCCAGGAGGATCCATGTTTCAGTTCCAGACGCAGTAGGGTTAATGTTTAAAATGTAGGACAAACTGAAATGCAAGTCTCCTTCCCAGATGCTCCCTGTAGGCACAAAACTCTGTTCTCCTCAGACCCACCTTTTCTCCTCCTCCTCCCATTTCTGGTTGGGGAGGGAATCTCTGAGAGAGGGTCTAGTCTCCCCAGAGGCAAGAGGACCTTTGCATTCACCGGCACTGAGGAACCCCAGGCAGACGACACAGGCGGCAGCAGTCAGTAAGTCTGGGGTGTTAATATAAAGAGCCGGTCTTCTTCCTTGCGGATCCACCTCATAAGTTTGTTGACAGCGCTGACAGCTGCTGCTTTGGTTCCCAGGGGGCTGAAGCATACGTAGAGCTCAAAGGCACAAGTTACCTGAAGAAAGGAAATGTTAAAGCTCCGTTACAACATGCCAACAGTGCAAGCCCACTCCTCTAGAAGAAGAATTGTTGCCGTGGTGGTTGCCAAGATTGAGGTTTTGGTATTTTTCACTGGTTCAGATGTTGTTGGTGAGAGAGGATGTTAATAAGAAATGAGAAGAAATCTGATGAAGAATTATTTGCTGCTTTAAACCTTGCATGCTCTTTTAACCACCACACTTACCATGCAATTTTTAAAGATTAAGTTAATGGACATTGGGAAATGTACCCAGAGGACACACCCGCAAAGAGCAAATGTACAAAAAACAAAGCATTTGTTGCAATACAAGCTAGCATCCATTTCTGATCTTGTAATTCTAAATTGGTGAACCCAGATAATAAGCTAGTGCATCCGGTTACAGCCCCAAGTTTTGCTTTTACTGTGATTTTTCTAGCAACTGCTGCTGAGGTGTAACTTACCCAAGCCAGGAGATTTTCATTAGATCCAGTGTAATAGATGTAGCTCAAAGGACGGGAAGAATTATGGGCCCGGCTGTGTAAGTACTGATACAATCCCAGAAGTCTCTCTTTTTCCTCTTCAGTGATGTAGGGAGCATCAATCTCTGGGCTGGAAAAAGAAATTTCCCCTTGGTTAAACCTCTCGTCATGAATGGAAATGAAAATGGACTACAGCAGAATAGCTTCTTTTCATAGGACAAAAGGAAAACTATTCAGAAATTCAGAAACAAGTTCAGAAAGAAAAAGATCTGGGGCAAAAGCCAGTGCTAAGGAACTAGCTAAATGCATTCCTGGTTATCAGATGAGCTGTCACTGAAACAGAATTCTTGCAGTTCAAAGTCTGGACTCACTTTTGATTCTAGAGGTAAAACCAGTAAGCCATGAAGTGTCGCAGCGATATGTTATGCATCCTATGAGCTCTGCAGTAGCTTGGTGCCCCAAAGCTAAACATGGAGGCCATCCTGACTGGTATTGACTACTGTGCCACAGAGAAGGGTGGACCAATCAGAACAAGGTTACCTGAAAGACCACCTGCCCTTGAATATTATTATTATCATAATCATTAATTTTTTTGATCACCTTCTACACAATCATCTCTAAGGCACAAAACCAGCAAACCCTCCCAAACAGCAAGTATATTTAAAGCAAAATTAAAACAATACAAAATAGGCACTTTCCCTGACCCATAAAATCGGGCCCTGTGCTGAATTCCTGTTTTTATAATACTGGGGATTTTTTTATTCTGTATCTCTGGGTTGTATCTTTGAGTAACTTTGAGTTAGTCTGTCCATTAATTTCAATGGGTCTACTCTGTGAATGACTAACATTGCCTACAACTGTTTTTACGATTCTGCCCTATTGTTTCTATGTTGCATTTCATATACCACTTAGATATCTTTTAACACTTAAGTCATTTAGAAATGCTTTTAAATTAATAGATAAATCCCACCCACCCTTGCCACTTAGCAAAGCATCAGATAATATTTATGAACTGAAAGAAAGATGCGGCCCAGAACAGATTCTCACCTGGTGAAGAGTCCTGAGCTCTTCGATTTGTAGATGAAGTGTCGGAGGTCTGGGATTCCCACCTGGGAGACAGTGTAGAAAGGAGTGCACAGCGCCTCCACAAGGGCATGATAAACACCGCGCTTCTTCAGCCGTTCCTGGAACCTGCGCTTGCAGTCAGACGCTGTGAAGAAGTCCTCACGGTCAGTGGAGATCAGAAGGAGACACAAATCCGTGTCCTGCGCCAAGTAGGAAATGTGAGCATGGAAGAAACCGCTGGAGTTGAACTTGGGCAGGCAGATGGGAGTCCAGGCTTCTCCTTCTCTAAATGAGGAGGATGAACTGATGAGGTTGAAGAGTAGGTGAAGGTCAATCGGATGCAGGAACTGGTCCTTTTTTCTCACCAGAGATACCAGCTGGTTCTTGGATAAGAGGATGGAGAAGACCAGGCTTTTAGCTTTGGCTTGCTGGAGGCAGGAGCTCACGGCATCCCTGACTCCAGCAGCCATAGGGAGGCAACGTGCAGCCCCCATCAGAAAGCTCGGGTCCCTCGCCATCAGGTCTAGCAAGTTGTCCGTGATGCGCTCGGAGCCTGCCAGCAGTCTCCTCAGGTCATAGTTCTGCTTCTGCTGGAAGATACGGCTGAGCTGGGTCCACGTCAAGAGACTAAGGATCTGGTAGTAGATATAAAGAAGCTCCTGAGCAATTTCTTGTTCTGACTGCCGTGTCTGAGCCACAGCCACCAGCACCAGGGGGCTCCTGCGCACAAACACCACCTTGTACCCATCTGCCAAGAAGGCAAGGATGGGGAGGGAGAAAGCGAGAAGAAGCACATCAGTTTCTTTAGAGCACAGTGGGAAGTCCTGAACACAAAGCAGCTATGGTTCTTTTGAGGCAACTCCTCTGAATCCATAGATCACTTGTGGGGGAATCCCTGGCCTGCATTTGGTCTTGGAGTCTGTTTTCCACAAGCCACTCCCACCTATACCACAGTCTGCAGCAAGCCCCTTTCAAGTTGTCACCTGATGCCATAATGATGTCAGATGATTGACAGGTGAGAAGTCCCAGCCGCCTATCAAAGTTGGCCCATGTCAAGTGGGGCAAGGAAGACTCCAGCCCATTGGCCAGACCTAGTTCCCTAACGTTATTATAGATGGTGGGAAGAAAATCAGTTTTCTTACAAAGCAAATTTCCTTGCAACAGTGTGATAAAAAGCCTACACTCTCCTGGAAACCCAGTGTTTAAAACCTAACAAAGAATAGGAAATACAGAACTCTATCGTGTATGCAGTTAGCAAGGTTGCCTTGCTATGGCATAAGGAAACCATCTTTACCAGGGGGTCAGATTTTAACTTCATAGAGTGACTTCCCATTCTTAAATATCTACTTCTCACCAGGTTGGTCAATTTGTATCTAAGCTCTACTACTTCAGATTGCAGGTGAGGGTTCGTGTGACTGACAGCTACTCTACTGAAAAAAGTTCCTATACGTAAAAGAAAAACCCTAGATGTCATGGTTCTCTCTGGTGTGTGTGTGTGTGCGTGTGTGAGCGTGTGTATTTAACATGCATGAATTTTTTGTGATCCCCATCAGCAATTTAAAATGATATGGTCCAAGCGTGGGTTTCCCTGCTCAATGAGAATTAGGGGTAAGAAAACAATGAAAGAAGGCAGGGATAGCATCTAAGTTAATTGCTAATGATTAGGGCAGTGATTGTCAGGATTTAAGGAAGCATACTTATAGGATAGGGACACGGGTGGCACTGTGGTCTAAACCACTGAGCCTAGGGCTTGCTGATCAGAGGGTCAGCAGTTCGAATCCCTGTGACGGGGTGAGCTACCGTTGCTCAGTCCCTGTTCCTGCCAACCCAGCAGTCCGAAAGCACGTCAAATGCTATTTTATGGATCTAGCAGAAATGATATTTTATGGATCTAGCAGAAATGCTATAAGAAGTTGGGTGTATATAAATAATCAACCGTTAATGGGAAATAAGGTTAAAGAATATGTTATTTATAATATGACAGAAAATAGAGAAAGATGGAAAGGATTTGCTGAAACAAGTACTAGAAGCGGGATACAAGAAGGGAGGTGTGAGGAAGTCGAAGAAACAAGGGAATGAAGGACAGAGTATGGAAAAGGAGGGATGTTTTTAAATTGTTTTCGTCTTGCTTTGTTCATGTGTTTAGTTCAATGGGTTTAGGGTGGGTTTGTATTGTTTATATATTGCATTGTTTTTCTCTTTCTTTTTTCTTTTTTCTCTTTTCTACTTTTTTGTAACTATTAAAAGCAATAAATATTATTTAAAAAAACAAAAACGAAAGCACGTCAAATGCAAGTAGATAAATAGGTACTGCTCCAGCGGGAAGGTAAACAGCGTTTCTGTGTGCTGCTCTGGTTCACCAGAAGCGGCTTAGTCATGCTGGCCACATGACCTGGAAGCTGTCTGCGGACAAACGCCGGCTCCCTCGGCCAGTAAAGTGAGAGGAGCAGTGCAACCCCAAAGTCATCCATGACTGGACCTAATAGTCAGGGGTCCCTTTACCTTTACTTATAGAATATTGCCTTTGACTGGTATCTACATGTAGATTCCCATCCCAGAGACTGCAGCACTGTCAACATGGTTATCAACATCTATAGCTAGCAGTCTGGAAAGGCTTTCTTGACCAAACATTGATTTAGATAATCATTTTTACTACACTTTGGCTTGGGACGTGCCTTTCAAAGAAATCTATAGCTTCCTTCTCTGGCTTAGTTTTGAAGCATTTTCTAAACGGAATGTGAAAAGGGCATATTGTTCTCTTCTGATTATTCTGTGTACAAGTTGGGACTGTCAATTGGATATTCGATGACATCTAATATTTCCTAAAGCTGCTGGGTTAGAAAGGAGCATAATTAAAACATGTCCCCATGCCACTCTGGCAGGGGGCTATCCTGGGGAAAGATCATCCGCACTCCTTGCTCCTGTTTCTCAGGTTCTTATCCAATTGGGAGGCCAAATGGAAAATGGTAAGATAGCGGTCTCTTGGGAAGAAACCCTGTCAGTGTGACTCCTAAGTACCTGCATGAATAGACCTGATGGAATTCTTCTGTGCTTCAAGGAAGGACACCAGAGCCATCATCACCCCCATGGTGCTGGACAGTGCCTCTTCAGACCCATAGCGGGAATACACCGGCTTGCCTGCCTCACTCAGAACAAAGACATGCTTCTGGTGCATGCGCCAGGCATCCATGGCCACGTCTTCCTCCTCCTTCCCAGACAGCACAGAGTCTCGGCGCGAGGCCTGTGGCGAGAGTTCCAACTTGTCTTCTTTGCTGTGCCTTATCTCTTCCTCCAAATCCAGGGCTATGCCAGTAAGCTGGGTGCTCAGTTCACTGAAATCCTTGCTGATCTCCTCCATCTTTGCCTGCTCACCTTGGAGCTCTTCGCTTTCCTCCGGGCTCTGGGGAGTCGCATCCTGATTCTCGGTGCTGGTCAGGTCTTCATAGGACTTGGCATGAACAAACATGGCTCCCTCCTGGCCTGCCCCTTGTAAACAATGCCAGAACAAATACTGAGTTACTCCCTGGAAGGAGCAGATAAAAAGCTACGACAATGGCATCATCAAAGAGTGAGTAGGAAAACTCATAAATGCCCACAAGACACATATGATGGCAAAAATCTCCCAACATTTTACTTAACCTTATGCCAGAGTTTTTGTTCCTGTGCTCCTCATCTAGTGGGTTACAAGCTGAAAACCGCAGATTGCAATGGTTGTGCCATGCTGTAAGGAAATATTCTTTGGTTAAATAGCATGCATGCTTCCTAATCCATAATGAATGCTCCTCCTTAGAAAGCACTCCAATTCTATAGCTTTCTTTAGAACACACAGGGCCTTTCATTTTAACATTTTGATGTGGTAACTGCACTGCGGGATAGCAGGAAATTGAGGTCCTTGTACCCGAAACCCTTTGACTCCCATCTAAGTATCTGATATTCATTATCTTCCATACTAAAGCAGAGCATGTGCATTCTTTAGGTACATTCACTATCTATCACAAAGGAACTGCTTCACTGAGCCTTTTGTAGTAGTTTTACAAAGAAAGAAATGAGAAAACAATTCTCCACAAGCAGCTGAAAAGTACATGCAGGTTAAAGATGTACTCCTAGGAGCACTTTCTTGGAGTAAGTCCCATCAATAAGTGGAATTTACATTACGAAGTAAGCATGTTTGGGATTGGCTACTTGTTGATTACAAAGCTGACCTCAGACAGGTTTATTCTCACCATACAGCCATGTTGAACCTGCAACAGGTCTATTGGTCTATATCCTGTTCTGTGCAGACAGAAGAAACACCTTGGTGCATCTGTAACAGCAAAACCAGATGCTTTCATCTGTCCCAGCTGCAACAAAACATGTCTCTCCCATATCGGTCTCCACAGTCACTGTAGGAACTGTAACTCAACAACGGTTTCACTTTACCCCCAGTGGTGCCTCTTCTCTCAAGACAGATGAATGACAACAACTGTTCTGGATTACCTCTTGCTTTCCAGCAGTGCAGAATTTAGTTAGCTCTGTTTTGTGTCCTCTCCTTGTTTTGATCAAGGGAATATGCCTAAGGAACAGGTCAACAGCTTCTGGTTTTGTCAGTATGACACAGTCTGTGTTTATGCCAGCCTCAGATGAGCGCTGTTGGCTGGAGATTTTTTTTTGTCAGTCCACAGAGTTGATCAGATAATGGTGCCTGACTATAAGTTCATAACAATTTTGGGAAGTGGGGTGGAGAGATCAGCAGGCAGTGAAGAGCCCAAATCACAGAAAAAATGTTTTTGTGTATATGATGTATACTTGATTGAAAATAGATTTGAATACGAATTTCCAATTTTAAACCAAATTCCGGCTCAGCTTAAAAAGTAGGAGACTTATAAACCACTTAATCAAAGAGGTCTCTAAGGGTGTGTTCCCATTACCCCCTTAGACTACAGGGGTCAGCAAACATTTTCAGCCGTGGCCCCTCAGACCTTGTGGGGGGGCAGACTATATTTTTCTGGGGTGGGGGGAAATGAACGAATTCCTATGCCCCACAAATATCCCAGATGTACATTTTAAATAAAAGGACACATTCTACTCATGTAAAAACACACTGATTCCCGGACCATCTGCAGGCCGGATTTAGAAGGCGATTGGGCCGGATCCAGCCCCCAGGTCTTAGTTTGCCTACCCATCCCTTAGATTAGAGCATAGTGATGTTGATTTTTCCCCTGGTGCATTTCACACCTCTTGCCTCCCTAGCTGTTCACATCAGCACAGCTTCCTTAGTGTCAATTTGTTTCTGTTCACACCAGGGAGCGGAATAGGTATTCGCAAGAGGTGTGAAGCTTGAGAAACAATGCATCGAAGAGTAGTATTTTATAACCAAGTACAGGATAACATGCATTTGGATAATTTCATGTGAACACAGATTAAAAACCCAGTACTGCAAAGGCAGTGAGTGCATAGGAAATACCAGGGGGAACACAGTATAAGCGGTGCACAAAGAAAATTGTAGATTAAACACAGCACCCTTTTGCATTGCCACTCCGCTGTAAGTGTGCCAACTGTGGAACTGACAAAAACAGATGTCGTGGTAGGGGAAAGCTCTAAAACGCTGGCCCCCCAAATAAAGGGGAGTGGAACAGAGAACAGCCCCAACTGCCTGGCAAAGATTGGATTGGGTGGTCCCTCTTCCTTTGCTTCACCCTCCCCAGCCCCCCCTGAATTGCTCTGCCCACACCTACCTGGTTCTGTTCCCTGCGTGAGACCTGGGGTAGGACTCTCTGACCTCTCAGCCTGCTTTCTGTCGCATGGGACCAATGAGCCATTGGGCACATCTCCATCCTTCTTGTGAACATCAGCAGCCATCCCTTGGAAGCTTGTGGGGACCTGCAAACAAGCAAACAAAAAAAGACCTGCTAGCTTTTATTCCCCAAAGCAGTGCAGATCTTATGCAGTTACCTAACCTGAGTGACAAAACAAGTGCACTGGAGCACCTCCATAGCATCGGATTTATATGAAGCAGGAAGTCAGCCTGGAAATGCTTCAGGTCTAATTACGCCATATTTATCCCATATAGAGTGAGCATTTTCTAACTGCGTAGTGCAGCGTTTGTTTTTTCTCAACACCTCCCTATGAGAAAAGTTACTATCATTTTCACTTTACAAATGGAGAAGGGAGGCTAAGATACAGCGGCTTGCCCAAAAACCACCCTCTGAATCCATGGCTAAGCAGATATTTGAACTCAACAATGCTCTCAAGACCTGGAAGTATGGCTCTGGCCAGCAAGCAGTGGGGACAGGTGTTTCAACAGCAACGGCACTAATACCACATGATTCAAATGTTTGGTAGGGATGGCTAGATCTGTTGATCCCACAGTAAAATGGTCAGTCTTTTCCTGCAATGTGTAGCAATCGAACAGGAAGCAGGGGCAGTGGTCCTTATTCACAGGACAATTAAAGTATCATATGTACAGAATAATGTTTCTATTTGAAACGGTGAAGCGCAGGAGGGTTCGGTAATGTACTCAGCGATATATCTCTCCTCCCTAATGAACAGTCTGCTTCTGCAAGAGACTCCTCATGTTAACACCGGCTCAATAAAAATGTGTCTTTTTCATATTGATTGGTTAAATGTCAACCATGTCCCATCGGTGTTTGCCTGTGGTTGTTAAAATCAAATGATAACGGAGGAGTCAAATCCTTATGAGATTAGGTGGACAAATCACAAAAAGACTGAAAAGCAAATGAAAGTGGGTTCTTTCATTTGCCTTTAGGTTTCACGGCTATTAAAGCACACGACTTCCATATTTTCAAACTTTTGACAGCGCACACAGAGTGGGAAAGACATTCTGATTATTTCAGTTAAAGCAGAATTGGTTACAAGCTGCATGCTTTTAGTCTTCAAACATCTAGGCACATAATGAAATAAATTAAATGGTAAGAGCCGGTAGCACTGAACACCCTTTTTCGTTCCATCCCAGATACCTTGCTATCCATAGCATGTTGAAGAATTCTACACACTGGGGAATTTTCACCTTCTGACGATGTAAAATAAGTGCCATGTATGAAGATGAGTGTTTATGTTAAGTTGGTTGGCAGCAGGGTGTTTATTTTATTTTAACATAGGTCCTTTGTAGTTACCGGTACTTATTTTCAATTACTGTCATCTACCACAAGACTTTGGGATGTGCTGAGCTAACTTGTTACAGTGCAACCTTAACCTATGTACTCTGAGATAAGTGATACAGAGTTCAATAGTTCTTACTCCTAGGTAAGCAAGTATAGGATTGGGTGGGGAAACCCAGCCAGATGGACGGGGTATAAATAATAAATTATTATTATTATAGGATTACAGCTTGAATGAACTCATGCTACCATCTGACACACTTTTTCTGGGTGTTAATTCCAATGAACACAGTGGAAATTATTTCTGAGTCAAGGTGCACAGGATCTGCAAGTGGTTAACAAAATAAATAAAGTTATTATAGATCAGTGCTGAACTGAATTTAATTTCAACTGCATTGCTTTTAAAAGAGGGGGGAAATTCCCACTAAACAAGATTAAAAAATAGGTAGAAATGGAAATCCAGAGCTAGCTTTGTACTTGACTGTTGGTATGAGTTAAGCTGGTCTGTTTCCTTACCACCTTGTCCCTTTCTCCTGCTCTCTCGTCCATCTTCCTGGAACAATAGTTAACTGACTTGAGCCATTACCCCACCTGCTTTTGTGACTGGTTTGTTTTCCCCCCTTGTGTAGCAATGTAAATTTTCAGCACAAATTTGTGCAATCCTATGCATATATTTGGAAGTAAGACCCAGCGATTTCAGCAGAATCTACTTCTGAATAAACATGCAAAGGTTTGGACTGCATGCTGTTTCAGAATTCTAGGTCTGAAAACCAATGGCGCATAGCCAGCTGTACGCTTTGAAATGATGCTTGGCCCGAGGAAACCCTGCTAAACAACAAAAACCAAAATACAACTAGCTTAAATACTAATAGGCTTTAATGAAAGATAACATATTAAAGAATTTGAGTAAAATACAATGAAAATTTAAGCATGAATTTTACTAAAATCTATCAAGGTTTAATATATTAAATGACATACAGAGAAAGATAAAATAATATACACAATATATATTAAAAACAAATACAGTGGTACCTCTGGTTACATACTTAATTCGTTCCGGAGGTCCGTTCTTAACCTGAAACTGTTCTTAACCTGAAGCACCACTTTAGCTAATGGGGCCTCCTGCTGCTGCCACGCCGCCAGAGTCCAATTTCTGTTCTTATCCTGAAGCAAAGTTCTTAACCTGAAGCACTATTTGTGGGTTAGCAGAGTGTGTAACCTGAAATGTATGTACCCTGAAACGTATGTAACCCGAGGTACCACTGTAGCTACATTAAAAAAATTATTGGCAAAACAGAGCAACACAAAATTCAGCAAATGAAAAGAGCAACTATTTAATAGGTGTTTGGTTCAGAATACATACTTAATCTGCATGTATTAGTACGGTGGAAAAGTCACAGGTTCTGCATTTTTTGTTAGAAATTGGGCTTTTGTGGTTTAACACAGGAATAGGGAACAAGACATAGGTTAGCAACATCTGGTTCCCTATTCCTGTATTAGACAAGAGAACTCCATTCTTACAAAAAAAGAAAAGAAAAGAAAAAGCAGAACCAGGGACTCCCATCAACCCTGGCTATTAACCATGCTAGCGATGGCTGTTGGGAGATGGAGTGCAACATCATCTAGAGGTCAGAGGTTCCCCTCTGGTCTATCAGATAAATCATATGACAGATGTTTGTCTCTTTTTAGAGAGGAAGTATTATTCCATACAATAACTGGATGATTTGCAAGAAGCATAGTGAAGAGATACCAGGAGCTAGGAATTCCTCCAATGTCCCTAGGTGTGTTTTACCTACATTCTGCAATTAGGTCCCACGACACACCCTTCAGAGGGTGGTTTTGGACGGCCTGCAGCTTAATTTATTTATTAATAAAAATATTTATATACCACTGTATCATAAAGATACACATAAAGATCACAGCAATTTACAATATAAAAACATACAACCAAACAATAAAATTTACTGATGAGCTGAAGTATCTTCAGGAGACCACTAATTAAGATAATTGTAGCTTATGATTATTCCTTAACAACCTTGAAGAGCTTGCAAGTTTGAGATTCTATAAACTGTAATTAATCAAGCCCTAACATTTTATCAGGCCAACTAACTCCTTATTTAGAAATTACCAAAATGTTTATTTCAACAGGACAGAAATGAGAGGAAACAATCCCTGTCTCTATTCCAAGACGTTTGGGTCACCCCAAATTGTATCCCCAGCTGCATCAAACTTTTTCTCTTCACATAAAAGAAACTCACTGTCTTATGTAGCACAAAGTAAATGGTCCCCAACTGGCCAGACTTGGGGTGGTGGTGAGAACCTGCCCATCCATCCAGATTTTGTTATCAACCTGGGCAAGCTAAGACACACACCCAATTTTATTCCATTTTGCCTCCCAAGGTTCTCAGTGCAGCACACATGATATTCTCTCCTCTTTAATCCTCATCACTACCCTGGGAGGTTGGTTAAGCTGAGAGATGGTGACTGGCCCAAGGTCACCCAGTGAGTATGTGGTTGACTGTGGCTGAACTCACAAACCCAGTGAGTTTGTGGTTTAAACTGGACCTCCCTGGTTCTAGTCTGACACTCCAACTACACCACACTGGCTTTACTTTTTCCTGGGAGAGCTGCCATACACCCACAAAGACCTGGCAGACCTGAGTTCTGTTCTTACCATTGCTACAGAGCAGCGTTCGAAATCTGCCAGGTGCATTTTGCACCTGGCTATAGGTCACTTGCGATCAAGTGAAGATACCCAGGGGCCAGGATGGAGCCTGATGTCTTCACCATCTGGAGGTGCATGCCTGGGGATCCTTGGACCTGGTTTGTTTTCACACACTGGCAACACATCCTGTAGAATTCGATCCATGATATTTTATCTGCACAATTGGAATGAATTACAGGAACCAAAAAGTCGTACAGTGATACCTCAGGTTAAGTACTTAATTCGTTCCGGAGGTCCGTTCTTAACCTGAAACTGTTCGTAACCTGAAGCACCACTTTAGCTAATGGGGCCTCCCGCTGCCACTGCACCGCCGGAGCACGATTTCTGTTCTCATCCTGAAGCAAAGTTCTTAACCTGAAGCACTATTTCTGGGTTAGCGGAATCTGTAACCTGAAGTGTGTGTAACCTGAGGTACCACTGTAATGAAAAATACAACTTTTGAGCCGCCTGGTCCCAAAATGGCAACTAGGCATTCCGTTTTGGCAACTGTAACCCTGGTTTAAGGAGCCATTTGGTGCTGAGCATATATATCAGAGTTTCTCACACTGCTACAGAGTACAGACTGAGTGTGTGGACTTGGACAAGCTACTCTTCTTTCAGGCTCAGTCGTTTCCCTATGCAATGACAATAATGGCCATTTATAGCAATAAAAGGTATCAGCATGATAATGGTTATAAAGTGCTTTTGCAGCTGTAAAGTGTAACATAGGCATTTTGATATCAGTATTACAGCCTTTTGCTCTAGGATGAGGAGGCACACAAGGCCACAAGTTTGACCTGCTGCTACTTGGTAGAGTTAATTGTTCTGCAGACAGACATTCAGTCCAGCACATTGCTCTAAATCAAATAATTATTTATGCTTTTGTACAACTTCTAAGCCACCCTGAGAGCACCAGCACACAATTTAAGTAGTGGGGACATAGCCAGCCCTTCTCAAGAAATGTCCCTGACTTTTACTTTTGCTACATTTCCTCCTGGGCTCTCTCTCTCTCTGTTGGAGAAGAATCTCCTAGGGAGCACAGTGTGATCCCAAACCACTCTGGTTTCTTTGCTCCTGGTTTCCTGAGGAACCTTATCGTCGTTGGCTTTGGTAGTACAGCAGACGGATTTGTACAAAATCCAGTTTGGAAGAATTTCAGTTTCCCCGATTCCACAGCGGGCCATTTATGTTGCTCAAATAACGTGGAATATATGCAAGGCTGAAGAAAGAAATCCACAGGCCCAGCCCCTGTATGTGCCTTCCTGTTTGGTCTAGCAGCACACAAAGGATACTTACAGCTTTGACAGGAACAGCCTGCGGAGGAGTGGAAAGCGCCAGTGAGTGTCTGCTTCTGCAGCTGCCTTGCCGGTGATGTCTAAGCAGAAAGGGAAGAGCGTGAGCCTCCAGGGGAAGAGGAGAGGGGGTTCTGCATGCTGCTATCTCCTCTGGGGACTCTGAAGCTGCACAGTCACAGGCATGCTTCCCAGTCTAGCCAGCTGAGTCTGCCCTCGCCAGCTATAGCCAGGAAGGTACAGTGCACTACCTACTTTTCCTTTCAAAGGTCACTTTCTGGGCCACAAGTCCCAGTGCATCTTGGGGAATGTAGTTCCAAACTCTGCAGTTACGGTGTTTCAGTGGACAAAATATGATCTCCACAGAAAATGGAAGAGACTTCTGGTTGATGCACATCTGCCTAGATGTGAAAATCTGTGAAGATTTAAGCTTTCTCTCAACATAGGAAACCTTGGTGTCTGTGTTTGATGATAAAAATAGGAGTGATTTAAGTATCACTTAGTTCAAAGCACTCTACATGCATTCTATCTTGAATCCTTATGACAGCCTCGTAAGGTCAGCTGACACTATTAATCTCATGATGAAGATGGGGAAATGGAGAGGAAGTCCTGTTTCAAACTATTAAATCCTGTAAAATGTTCTGTTGTAATGTTTTTATTAAGTTACATCACATTCTTAAATGTTAAGGAGGAAAAAAAGCCATAACAAACATGTGGCATGTTTTTTCAGAAGTCTCGCTGGGTTTTATGCCCAAATAAATATGTTTGTGATCACAGCCATGCTGCCACATTACTTAGAACTGAATTCTCCTGTGTTCATTCAGATTTACTCCTAGAGAAGCATGTATGATCGAGTCTGCTACAAAAATAAGTTGAAGGGCTTTGAACTGTATGCATTAAGATCTGTAAATCAGAATGTTCACATTCAGCCAGTGTACTGTAGTGGTTTGAGTTCTGGACAAGGACCTGGAAGACCATGGTTCAAAACTCCACTCAGTCATGAAGCTCACTGGCCGACCTTGGGTTCTCAACCTCACAGGGTTGTTGTGATTAAATGACAAGAACCATGTATAGCACCTTAAGCTCCTTGGGGGAAAAGGTGTGATATAAATGCAATACAGTGGTACCTCGCAAGACGAATGCCTCGCAAGACGAAAGAGTTTTTCGTTTTTTTGAGTTGCTTCACAAGACGAATTTCCCTATGGGCTTGCTTCGCAAGATGAAAAACGAAAACGTCTTGCAAGTTTGTTTCCTTTTTCTTAAAACCGTTAATACCCAGGGTGCATTGCTTGAAGAGGTGCAGTTGCGACTTGACTTCGAGGAGCAACTCATAGCATGTGGTGTGGTAGCCTTTTTTGAGGTTTTTGAAGACTTTGGTGATTTTTGAAGCTTTTCCAAAACTTCTTTTGCAGCCATTTGGTAAGTTAAACTTTTAAAACTTTTTTGGGGGTTTTTGGATTTGGGGTTGGGGTGTTTGGAATTCAAGGATTTGGTGTTGGGGAGGGGTTTGCAAGAATCTGGAAGCTTGTGTGTTTTCTGGGAGGTTTGGTGCTTTTGAATTTTTGGATGTGAAGCACTGTTTTTTGGGGGTTTTTTGGGTTTGCGAAGGTAGGAGCTGTGCTGCCATGGAGCCCAAGAACAGTATGTGTGACTTTAAAGAGCGAGCACTTAATAAACTCTTTTTGTACCAAATTTGGCTTGGTTTGGACTTTTTTTGACCATATGAACGCATTAATTGATTTTCAGTGCATTCCTATGGGAAACCGTGCTTCGCAAGACGAAAAATTCGCAAGACAAAAAAACTCGCAGAACGAATTAATTTCGTCTTGCGAGGCACCACTGTAAATAAATAAATTTAGTTCAGTTAACTCAACCTTGGTAGTCCTTACAACTTCCATAATCACAGTTCACACAACTTTTCAGTTCAATCTGCTGCAGGTTTATACAGAGGTAAACCGCATCCAATACAATGGGACTTACTCCCAAGTAAGTATGTGTGGAATGGCAGTCATAGCTACTTCCTTGCACCAGTTCCAAATTATGATCTGTGAAATAACCTCCACAGGTACAAAGCTCTTGAAGGAGCAGCATGTTGCTCTTGAAGGATCCCCACGCCCCAATAAACCTATTGTGTTTGTCCTTAAAGCACTATTTTGGAAATCACAGTAATTAAGCACTTTAGGGTTGGTGCAGAAAAAAACTGGTGAAGGTAGGCAAGATTCTATCAATTGAAGATACAGAATTGCAACATCTGATGTGAAAATGCTTAAGAACTTAAGGATCAGACCAAAGGCCCATTTAGTTTAGAATCCCTTTCCCTTCAGTGGCCAACTAGATGCACCTGGAAAGCACAAAAGCAGGCAATAGGCCTCTCTCAGTTTCTCCCCCAGAAACTGGCATTTGGAGGTCTGCTGCCATTAAGTGGTTTAAAAGAATGAACGTAACATTTTATGAACATGCCACTAGTACCACATTCTCGAACTTGGAAACTGGTGACAATGCTTCCTTACCTCTGCTTGACAAAATAGTTCAGAATAGTTAATTACATTGAGAATATGAATGTCTTGTCAAACCCACATTTAAGAAAGACTAGGTGTACACCTTTCAAGAGAGACAGGTAAGGTGTGAAATGCTTATTGAGGAGCCTAAAGTGGAGGGAAAAGGAAACATAGTTCTACTGTTATAGCCATTTCCATCACCTCTGTGATGAAAGGGCAGGGCTTGGCCTACTGGTTTCTGGGGAGATGTGTGTGCCTTCCACCCCACAACTTTACACATTCAAGCCTCCATCAGCACAATGAAACCAAAGGACAGGGATGGGTTTACTAGGCCTTCTCCTGCCCAATGCTTGATGAGGCTGAAGGCCTCCTCCACTTCCTGTGTCTTAGTGCCGCCTTCCCTTCTGGTTTGCAAATCTAACTGCATTCTGCTAACTATGCTTACTTGCACAACCCAGACCCATCTCCAAGTCATGGTAGTGTGTGACTAATACACAAACCCTCCACAAGTGTTATCAAGTGTTATTTTGTTACTCTCCACCCCCTTCTTCCAAGGTACCTGAGACAGTTTACAATGTTTAAATACCTAAACAAATAAATTATATAAAATGTAAGGTAGCACTGTAACAATTAAAGAACCAAATACTGACTGCAACTTCATTAAGAATGCCTTAGTTTATCAATTTTATTGAAAAAATAAAAGGTGAAAGAAGAGTCTTGAGGTCAGCCTCCAAACGTATTCAATGAGAAGCCTTGTCCAAACAACACGTGGAATAACAGCAAAAGTGTTTCAGATCGTGTGTAGAATGCCCGCCCAAACTTCGATATATTATGATAACTTTATCAGAGAGCTTCACATAAAATCCTGCTATTCTTCAAAATAAATCTGCTTCAGCCCTTCTTCTATACGACTGGAATGCTAATACAACCGCAGTACTGACCAACTTCATCAACAGCAAAAATCAACAGCACAAATCTTGTCGCTGCCGTCATCGTTCTTACAGGCTTAACCCATGAATATAAAGCTGCAAGTCCCAGTATTACACATCGACGCTAGAGAAAAGGAGGAAGTGGGTTGCGGAGCATCCTGGGAAATGTAGTTATAAGACATACATCCATCCGCACTGAGCAAGTGAGTTCTTTTTCTTTATTTCCTCTTTCCAAGCAGAGCATTTAGGGCGTATAGGAGCATTAAAAAAATACAAATATTAGAATTACAATTCAGTTGTCTGATGATTGATTTCCCGAGTCCTTCTGTAGCTATCTTTTTCTTATTCCATGGGGCGTAAGTGAGAGCTGTCCACACAAAACAAGTGGGACCGGACCTGCAACAAAATGTTTATTACATTTACTATTTACATATTCTAGTTCAGAGTGATCTTGTTCGCGGTTCAACCCAGCCTTCGTCCACGAAACTCGCATTGCATTTCCCCACCCCTGCAATCGATCAGCGTCCCGCAGCTGCTGATGCTCAGTCCTCACTAGGTTGACATCTTATTTCCCCCAGGGTTTTCTTTTGCCTTTTTTTGTGTGTGTACTTTTTCAAACCTTGGGATTACTCCGAGTTCCCTCTTGTATGTGGCTGTTGTCTGGCAGCAGCACGCAGATAACAAAATTGGAATACAGAATAAAGAAATCCAGGACTTTGGCGTAGCTGTGATTTGGTAGCAGCAGCAGCACTTTCTCCACCTCCAGCACCCGACAGCAAATCACGCCTTTTCTAACTTAGAGCTATTATTATTATTATTAAGTTTTAAGACAGTTAAAGGTTCATTTCTTTTTGTTGATGAAATTTGTATACCACTGACTGCAAGAAAAACCTTTAAAGCGGTTCCCATGCCAGTGCATTGTTTCCAAATTGAAGAGCGCGCAACTTATACCAGTTTTAGTGCAGCTCCCAACTAATATTTTCAGTGAAAGGCGGGCTGACGTTGCTCTAGCTTTCTTGCAACAAAGGGCTACCTACGTTAATAAGCCCCACCCAGCATCCTACTGCATATAAGAAAACGTATGCTTCATTGACTTGACTGCACCCGTTGGGCTTTAAAGTTTGAAAGCACTCGACGAAAAAAAGAAAATAACAAGAAAATTCCGCAAGAAAGCTTGCTTTTTTAAAAATTTTGGCTGCCACGCGCAGCCCAACCCCAGCGACGCTAAAATCCTGGATTTCTCCATTGTTTTCTTTGGGCAGCTCCCACTTCCGCCTCTTGGAGAGACCCCCAAAAGATGGCTTCCGAAGCTATCTGGGAACCGCTCTATCCGCCTTAAGTCTATGGTTAGCCGTATAGGCCGCTGCGCGCGTGCCCCGGGATGGCTGGGTGCTCTTTGCAAGGTCACATGGTTGAGCGCACCGGAATTTCCGGTTTCCTCTGGTTCGGCGTTGCGGCTTCGCTGTGGAGGCCCAGAGTGGCCGAGCTGCCCGCCTTGCTTGTGGTGGGTATCTCCCCTTCGCGCTCCCGCTCTTTCTCTGGCACGGAAGGCTCCGCCTGCCTCGCTGGGTATGTGCGGCCGACTCCAGTCCGCCTTGGGTCGTGAGGGAGGCGGGTAGGGAAAGGGTCCCCCCACCTTTTGTCCCTCTTGGAGCAGCGAGACCGCACGCGGGAAACGCGCCTGGCGCTGACAGGGCCGCGCGGGACAGGGCGGCGGGGAGGGGAGCCTCTTGCCAGGGATACCGGTGACTCGGACGCATCCTCAGTTCGTGGCATTTGCTGGGTGGGGGGCAAGAAGAGGGGGGCGTTTGGGCCGTAGAAATGCTCTCCCGGAAGAGGGGGGCCTGGAGGGGTATCCGCTTGTTAACAGTGAAGGAGGTAGACCCAAGTTCTGCACCCGGCGACGGCGAGGACTCTTGGTTTATTATGTATTTTGTGTCCTTTTTCTGTAGTTTTATGTTGTGAACCGCCCTGTGATCTTCGGGTGAAGGGCGGTATACACATTTAATTGACAAATACGTAAATAATTGGGGGGTGCGATGGGTTTCAAGCTTGCTGTGAGAACGCCTTTGGAAGGTTCCCCTTCAGTTACTGGTATCTTCAGTTGACAGGGTTGTTCAGAGGCCTCTCTTCCTTGGCACTTGGGCGAGCTGCTGCCAGTGTAGGCTAAGCTGGAGGATGTACCATTGGATTGGCTTGTGTAGTAAGATTTCCTGTGCTGTTAAACTCTGTCAAGGAGATGTGGGGCGCTTGCAGATTTGTGATCTAGAAGTATGATTGGAACTGAAGGTGCAGAAACAAAAACAAAACCCCTGGCTCTTGTGCAAGCATCTGGGGAGGAAATGAAAAGTTAGTAAATTTAAATGATCTCAGGGAGGTGTTTTTATTTTTAAAAATGTGTTCATTGTTTTATATAGTTAATTGTGAAAACAACAGATATCACCAGCTGTCTTAGAAGGGGGCATCCCACCTTCCCATGTCTCACACGCCAGAATGCTAGCAGTAACACACACACACATATGCATTGCAGGGTGTTGGACTGTATGACCCCCAGAGGTCCCTTCCAGCTCTACAGTTCTATAATTCTATGATAATCTAAAAAGCTAGTGCTCTTCCCTTTAAAAAATATTTTAATTTTATGTGAAGTTGTGCAGATGTAATCACATCATTTTTACATCTCATCCCTAACCGGCCTGTTGGGAGGAAGAGTGGGATAGAAATTTAATAAGTTAAATAAAAATGTCTGCTTGGAAGCTACTTCTGTTGAACTCCATTGTATCTACCCCCAAGATAGTAGAATTAGGAGTGTGGCCTTAATTAATTGGCTATGAGTAATAACTGTAGTTTTGGAATCAAAGCAAATGCAGTCACACTTTGTTCCAGTGACATGTTGCTGCAGGCAACACATAAATGAATGACAGATTCTAATTATGCAAACCATCAATAACCCTTTACCTCTCCCAGAGCTCCTTAGAGTATGAGTGGGATAAGAAATAAAATAAATAAAAACTATTTGGCATTTCCCCCATTATATTTACTGAATATCTGGAAAGACTTGTTGATGGATATAGAGCATATTCTTGTTTTTATTAGTTTTAATATGGTAGACTTTTTATTCAGAACACACTCTATTTGAGCATTGGCTTGGGAACACCTAATTCTGTAGCCATAGTTTAATTTTGTTACAGCTACACTTATATGCTGCTAGAAGACACCCATTCCAAACTGGCTTTAAGCAATTTAATATAATAAATACCTGAAAATGCAAATAAACAAAAGAACCAGTTTTAAAACAAGCATTAATTAATCATCAGCATCAAAAACACCCAAAATAAGGAAATCAATATATTGAACACTTTTTAAAGTATAATTATTATTTTAAAATAAAAGTTATATTTTAAAATGCATCACATTGAGTTCTTGGAAAACAAAGGACATACCTCTACAAATAGTTTGTCTGCCATTAAAAATTGTTGTTTTTTAAAAAAGTTGTGTACAGTAACCTTCAGGGAAAAAATGGAATATCCTTGGATTGAAATATTCACCTAGTTTCTCTTGTGCTGCCATTTCTAATCGCTGCTTTCTGTCCTTTCATTGTTGTGCAGAAAATATCCTGTTTGTCCTGTGTAAACTATAGCAGTTCATTGTTGCAAGTGATGGAAAGTTGTTTGCCATTGTCAGAAAATGTAGTAATTGGTTGTTGCTAGGATAACATGCAGTTAGTTATCAGTTCAGTAGTTATTCTTATAATGCTCAAATCAATGCAAGTCATAAGGTTATTTGTGACTTTCTTTCAATACGAACTGTTCACAGGCTAGTTGAGGCACAGAACATGTATAGGAAGTGACATATAAAGAGAGGCTTTGTTTATCCTGCTGCTCAGTCTTTTCTTTCCAGACTGCACCACCTTAACACTCAGCTGTGCTGTTTTGCAATTTATCTTTGTTAATTCTACCTATAATTCAGGTAGAAATGTATACTAAATATGTTTTTTCCCCAGTGCACTTGTGTTCAAGGTATCTAGAACTCAGCACATTTTTGCTTTAGTTTACTAGATTATCATATTTACTTCCCCATCTATAAAAAAACAAGTTTCCATGCAGAATTAATGCTAGCACAGGTTTTTTTTTTACTTATCAGTATCAGATTAATAATATTTATTCCCTGCACTGGAATATGTATTGTATTAAGTGAAAACCCGCCCATTGGTTGTGGAATTCATATTTATAGATTTATTTTTAAAGCCAAGCCCTAGAATTTATGCTGGAAACAAAAGTATGTTTGATATAAACATTGGAAACAGCCCAATTGGACAATGTGGCATAGTGCTGGCCACATATTTGCCCATTTTTGAGTCATATTATTCATTTGCAGAGTTCTTCTGAGGAAGACATAATGCAACTAGTATCCTGCTTGTTCCCGTATAATTAATAGTGGTGGATCTGATCTTTCTTCTTCTTCTTTCACCTTCAACATATTGTACATCAATTTAAATTGGGATGCATACAGAATTTTGTTCTTTATAGAGTGGGTGTTTAAGGCAAATTGTGGTGGAGTTCAGGAAGTGCTGTACGTTTGCCAATATCCAGAATAAAGAGCATCTTGCTAGTGTTTTTGGCAAAACACAGGTGATTTATTTGTGGGCAGTTAGGATGGACTTGAAGTGCTCTGAATTTCAGGTATGCTAGATGTGTGTAAAGTTCAGTGAAGATTAGATAAGAACTCCTCTCTCTGATGTGCAATGTGCTTTGCTGGGCCTCCTTCCTTACTCTTACTTCCTCTTTTTCTGCTCTTTCCACTCTCCATATCTCATCTCCTTTGACACTTCTGAATAAATTATGGAGCAACTTCACACAATAAATTAGCACCTGTTGCTTTTCTTTGGATATGTCCCATGTTGTGGTATTGATGCTATGTTTTAAATTGCTCTAATCAGAATGGGCTTATTTTATAATTCTCATTGAGTTAATGCTGTCTGTAGATGTGCAGGATTCACTGAGATGTTGAAAGACCTGATGAACGTTCTAGACTGTCATTGATTCAACCACTCTTGTGAAACATAGGACCTTGCAAACCTCTTAGTGATGGGGAAATGTTTTGATTTAGAATAGTTAAATCTCACAGTTTGCAGTGGAAATTCGCACTGTCTTTCAGTTGTACAGTGGTCAACTGCTTAGCTTTTGACGCTTACCTTGTAGGTTCAAATCATTCAAGAAGTTGAACTGGGTAATATTTGCTGGTTTAAAAGATAAAATTCATTAGCCAGAAGAATGCTAATTTAGTTGGCTTTTTATCATATTTGTATCTTGTAGAAAACAAAGCTGCAGTTTGACAAAAACAAGAACTCTTTCTTCTGTTTGTCTTATCACAGACAAAATGTGGGGAAACCCTCGACCAGCCAACAGAATGGGTCCTTTTCGGTAAGTGTTTAACATGAAATAAGTTTTTGGATTTATATTTGTACTGCATTAGGCTAGATACCATGTAATAAGATGACACAAAATCTCTGCTTCATAATTGGTAACCACTTGTGACAACCCACTTGCACAGCATCTTTACAGGGCTTGCCCTTCCCCTCCATCAGCTCCTCCCCAAGGTTTCCTAGTGCTGCTTTTTATGTAGTCAAAATAACATCTCGAGTACACACGAGGGAGGTACCATTAGTTCTGGGGGAACCATGCTCAATGGTCATGGAATGCTGATGAGAGGAAGAGGATAGAATGGAGTATCTTGGAAGCAGATGTAGCTGGTGCATATAACTCAGTGTACACTTGGAAGGTATGGACATTTCCCTTGTCAAATTGACAGTTATATTAACAAATGCCGACAGGAATTATTGAATGTTGTTTTGGCAGAAAGTAGGTTCCAGAAAATAGATTCCACTCGATGTTGGGACACTGTAAGGTCATGGAAGAGTGTTTATGCTCGTGTTTAAATGTGCAGGACATGAACTTGACCCTCATGGCCAAAGCTACTTTGCTAGGCTACTAGAACTGTACGTTATGCCTTGTGTTATTGTAGGGCCTTGGAGTGTCTAGGATAATGCTCCTGGAAACTTTATGGCATGCATGCCAGTGAAAAATCTTGAGAGAAACAGCTATACTGACAGAACCACATTGATAGGTTTGGGGAAATGTCTTCAAAGAGTAATGGATAGTAGCCATCAGCAGACGACAGAGATGCTTTGCTTTTATGCATGGGTCTGCCTAATAAATACGCATGAGACATGTTAGCTGGGTATGCAGTTGTTATGGTGCAGATGAAGGAGCACATGAGGAAGGTGCAATATGCACTACTGCAAATTGAGATCAAAGTAAAACAATGGTGCGAGCTGAGAAAGTATATAAAATCTCATAATTGTCTCCCCTTCTTGATAGTACGTTAGTACAACTAACACATGGACTGGGCAGTGTCATTCAAATACAGTATTGAGCTTGTCCACAAAGGCCTTGTTTTATGAATATAGCAGCATGAGCATAGTTGCTCGACTGCTTAAGATAGTGATAAAACCAGATTTAATGGAAATTCTTTATTTGGAGGAGCATCAAGGACAAATGCGGTGGCTTCCTTAATGGAGAATTCCAAATGCCCCAGCTGTATGTACTGTGAGACTATGTAGATTGTTACCTTCAATGACTCATTAATATTTCAGGTATTCCATGTTGAGTTCAACTGGGAATTGTGGTGAAATGGGAGTACGCAAGTTTACTTGTCACGCCTGTCGTATACTACCTCCTCTTAAACTACCAAACATCAATATCTTCTGCGGATCTTACTGTTGAACAGCTCTGTAAAAGGTTTAGAGAAGAACATGCTGATGTGTAGATTACAAACTCGAAGGACATTATGAATAACACTGTCTTTGTTTCTACAGTGGGAGCCAAGAAGAAAGGTTTGCTCCCGGGTGGAACAGGGATTACTCTCCTCCTCCCCTTGATAGTCTTGCTCAAGAAAGACACTCTGGCAACTTCTCTGGCAGAGAATCACTTCCTTTTGATATCCAGGGACACCCAGGCATCCTCAATCCTCAGTTTGCCAACAGAGAGGAACCTACTTTCAGCTTTGGAGGTAGAGATGGACCACATAGTGACTTCAGAGGTGGGGAGGGTCATTTGCATGGTTTTGGAGGCAGAGATTACCCACCTGATTTTCAGAGTAGAGATGAGTCACACTTGGACTTCAGGGGCAGGGTGCCACTTCTTCCAGATTTTAGAGGCAGGGAGATGTATCAAGGAGATTTCCAGGATAGGGAGGGACAGTCTATGGATTATAGTGGAGGAGACATTCCTCCAATGGATTACAGGAATAGGGATTCTTTCCGTATGAACTACAGGGATAGGGAAGCTCATAATATGAGCTATAGAGGCAGAGATGACGCTCCATCTGATTTTCGTGCAAGGGGAACATTTGATTTAGACTTCAGAAACCGAGATGGATCTCACCCACACTTTAGGGCAAGGGACATGTCTGAACAGGATTATAGGGGCAGGGAGCAGCCATATTCAGAGTTTAGGAAAAGAGAAATGCCTGATATGGACTTGAGGAGCGTGGGTGCAGCTGACCTAGACTTCAGAGACAGAGATGTACCCCATTCAAATTTCAGAAATAGGCCAAAATCTCAGACTGATCAGGATTTTAGGGGTAGGGATGTGCCACCTCCTGTGGATTTTGCAGACAGAGATGTGCCCTCGGTGGACCCAAACCTTGTGGACTACCAGCATAGCCTTTCTACAGTGCCGCCAACAGATAGAGAATGTGAGGTAGATGAGGCTGGACTTGCTGCTAGGGAGCGGTCTTCCTTTAGTGTTCAAAGCAAGGAGTTTCCACATTCAGAACCAAGAGCCAGAGAAGAAGAATCTCAAAGACAGAAGCCCGAGACTGACTCTTCACTAGACTTCCAAAGTAGCTGTGGTCCTCTTACCACTCTTCAGGACCAAGATAAGCCTTCTCAGGCCTTTGTTAGCAATCAGGAGTTCCCTGCGGGTGAACAGCAAGTATCTGAACCATCTGCTCTTGGACTTAAGGAAAAAAGTGACCTGGATTTCCTTGGAAGGCAGGATACAGACTATAGGGGCATTGAGTATCGAGATGTAGATCATCGGCTGCCAGGAAGTCAGATGTTTGACTATGAACATGGCAAGTCTTTTGCAGAGGGCAAGTCTTCTAAAGATTCTCAGCCAGATCTTCAGGTATGTGATCCGTTGGAAAACGTGTATCTATAATCATGTGTAAACATATTTATGAAAGCTTTGGAAGAATATGTTAATTACAGCCTCCCCTCCTTTGTCTATTTAAAACCTAGTTAAGCTACTGTAAGGTAATATTGCAATGATATTTTATAATGTTGAAACTTTCTCAAATCTAGTAGTCTTTCTTTGCTTACTAATAATTCAAATTCCACATTCCTGACTGACAGGGGACTCCAAACAATTTACATGTGAAGCTGGTTGTGCTTCAACATCGTGAACGTTTTATATAAAAACAATACTGTGTTATTTACTTTAAATCATTATAAACTGTTTAGTAAAATGATAGGTCTTCATTCTTGTCGTTAAAGTTTCCTTGAACTTTTTCTTTAAGGACCAGGATTATAGAACCGGCCTCAAAGATATAAAACCAAGCAAGCTGATTCGACTAGGAAAAGTGCCTCAAACTGCAACAAAAGATGATGTAAGTATTTATTTTGCTTCTTGATACTTAATTAGAACAGCCAGTATTGCACAGTAACAGTTTTCTTCATATGTTGTATTATTTTTATTGTTGTTGATTAAATTTATATGCTGTCCTTCATCCAAAGATCATTAGGCAGTTGACAACATAAAAGCACAAAATGCACAACATAATAGTGAAAACAATAACACCCCCAACACACGCATTTAAAGGCCATATATAGTTTAACAGCCAAAGGCCTATTTGAAGAGGATTGTGTTTGCCTGGCACCTAAATGTATGTAATCTGGGCGCCAGGCAAGCCTCCCTGGGAAGAGCATTCCATGTGGGGAGCCTCTGTGTAAATGGCCTATTCTCGTGTTGCTGCCCTCTGGACCTCTCATGGAGGAGACACACCGATAAGGGCCTCAGATGATGATTGCAGGGTCCGGGTCAGTTCATAGGGGGAGAGGCGGCCATTGAGGATCTGAGGCATTTAAGGCTATATAGATCAAAACTCGCACTTTGAATTGGATCTGGAAATTAATTGGCAGCCAGTGCTGTTGGGCCAGGATTGGTGTTATGCACTCAAACTGTCTTGCACCAGTGAGCAACCTGGTCATTGAATTCTGCACCAGCTGAAGTTTCCAAACTGTCTTCAGAGGCAGCCCTGTGATAGAACAGAATGTTCCTTTTTAAAAAATGTTATCGTGTAGGGTTTTTGGTTTTTTAAAACTTAACCTGAAACTTTGTTTGCTTCTGTAGATTCTTAATGCTTTCCAAGCGTGTGTTGGGACACCAGTGAAGAATATGCGCCTGAAAGATTATACTACAGGTGAGAATTTATTCAGTGTCTGTTGGGTGGATTTACAGTTCACCTTGCAATTATGGCTTCCTTTTCTAACATCCTCACTACTATTGATTAAATGGCCTTTGGGTCATCTAGTCTTCCCTTGCCTTCTTCAGGATTGAGCCCAGGCTTAGCAGAGGTGATTTACAGCTGACTTGCTAATTCTACGTTAGCCATGGAAAAAACCCCAAAAACACTCCTAAGGAAGCCTTCTGGAGATGACAGTGGATTGTTTCTAGTGGATGTTCTTTATTAAATCTTCTCGTTGGGCAAGATTACTTGCCCTGTAACATCCTAGGTACAAATAGTCTTCTCTTGAGATGTTGTGGCACCTAATTCCAGTCTCTTCAAGTCCTGATAGCTCTAAATAGCTCAGTGGAAACGTTTCTATACTTATATGCTTCCCAAGTTTCTATACGTTGGGTTGGACTTCTCATTTCAGAGGATGGCTTCATTAAAATCTCCTGGCCTCAATCCGTAAGTTCCTGACTTGTCCAAATGAAGTTTGGTTAGGGAATAATTAGCAGTTTTCTTGGTGGGGTTTGGGGAGGCAAAGAAAGAAGGACAAGGTTAAACATGAAGGTAGGGAATGTGAGACATTAATATTATAGTTCCAGAAGGGGTGAGAGATGCAGGAGGAAAAATGGGGAGATGTTCTGAAACTTTTCCTTTTCCTTTTCCTGCTCCAGTCTGATTGTAACAGAAATCTCTATGAGGATTTAAAATCTGGAGCTTCTTTAAAGCAAACAGTCCTGTAACCTACTACTGCGTGCTACATCCTTAGTACACGTATTTTCTGGGTCGCTGTGATGTGGGAATCAAATAGTTTCCTTATATACCCTCAGTCTGGGTACGGGCACTGAAAATATCCACAAAGTTGCAAATTTTTCTTTTCAGAAGTTGTTCTTGGAGTACCTCCAAACTGCTTTCAATATCCTGAGTACAGAATCTGTTTGGAGACTTTGCATCAGTTTAAAGGGAAGCAAAATTCAAACTGCTTTTTGAACTTGGTGTATAAAGAGCAGTGTCTTTGTGCTATTAGGGCTGCTTCTGTGAAGGAAACTTGGGGGGCTGTGAGGAGACGTAACAGCAGGCCATCATTGGCGCACTGAACATGTACCTTAGCATCATGCAGTTCCTCCTTCGCTTGCACATGGAGATCAGAAGCTTCTGATCACCGTTTTAGGCAAAGCACAATTTGCAGTTTGTCTGAACCCAGCAAATGAAGCTTTCTGCAAAATGCCTGTAAGCCAGGTTTGCAAACTATGAGTTGAACATCGCTTGCAGTAAATCCATAGTTTAATGTTTGGGCAAAACTGCAAATAGTGGTTTGATGCAGATCATGGCTGGAAGTTCCTTATTTTCTCATGTGGGGATAGGAAGCAGAGCGAAAGCTTAAGGCTTGTTTTTGTGATGCCAAACCATGGGTGAAATTCAATATAGCACTTAGGCAAACATTCTGTCCTCCACCTCTCCTCCCTGTGTCTCCTAAATCTGTTCTATGGGTTTCCCCAGGCCTCTGGAGCAGATTTGATGCTGGCATGGGGTGCGTGTAGGGAGAAAGATCCATTCTGCAAGCAGAAGTTCGCATAATTATTTAGCTGAAAACCACCCCATGTTCTGCTGTTAAGTCTGAGTAGTTTAAGTAAGTCTGTTCTGCTGGATACAAACATTTGTCAATATATGGAGATTCTCCCTACAATGTTCTTAATCGCAACGACAAAGAGGCCATACAGCGTAATAACCCCTAACTGGGAGGGAAATAATATGATCCGTGCTTCTCTGCTTCCTTTATGTATTGCTGTTTACAACATGATTCTGTTCAGATTTATGATTTTTAAAAAATATAATAATTAAAGAAATATTTACTATAAAGTATTTATTTGGAAATGATAATTTCACATCCTTCTGTATTTCTACTCCCAGAGAGGTTGACTGCTAGTAGTAAATAATTAAAAACAATACAGCATCATATTGAAAAACTAGAATTAAAGCATAGGTGTGTGCAGTTTTGTTTTACTTTCGGTGTCAACTGATTTCTTTTTGAAATGTTTGAAGCAAACCATTTGAGCTGAAAAACAAATCCTTGGAATTGAATCCCAGTGTTTATGTTTCTGACAAGTATGTTGGGAAATAGAGAATTGGGATAAAGTAGGGTTGAGTTCCGTTTCATGAGTAACTACACTGAATGAAAAGTTCATTAAATGATTAGTAAAATAGAATTTAGAGGAGAGAAATTTATTTTAGCACTCTGGTATGTATAAGCAGGCATAACATATGTGTTTGATTTGTATTAAGGTGTAACTTCTCTTTGGATTATGACGTGTGTGGGGGGGGGGATTACAAATGTGCCTGGTGTGGTTTGATTTCCAACAGTCCTCAGCACTGCTTGAGAAGCTGTACCCAAACTAGGGAGCTGAGAAATCCTGTCAACCATTTACAGAGCTTTCAGCCAAAACTAAATTGAATGCCATGTTCTGTGTGCTGCTGCAATACAGCAGAAAAAAATAATATATAGAGGGGATTCTGGGTGCAGAGAAAGTTCTGTATTCTACAGGCATCTAGGTTTTCTGGGAAGAAAATTCTATTTTAAGCCACCTTATATATTTGTCAGAGCAATAAATCTAAATATTTTGAAAATGATAGGATGTAGAAAGGGATGAAAATCTTTGAATTATGTTCATATTTTGATAGTCAAATGTGTTCTTGAATTACAAGCAACTGAAAGCACTTTGAGATACATATTTTGCAACTATGATTTGATGTTTGTACTGATGCTTGGGGCGGTTTCTCAGGAGGTAAGCCCTGAAGGGCTGGCATGGGGGTAGAGCTTGTGCAGGAGATCATAAAAAGTTCTCTATCTATCACAATCTGTGTAGGTTGAGAACTTCTCATGTTAGCTGCCTTGTTAAAAATATATATATGAAAAGGTGGGGTATAAATTTAACAAATAAGGTTTGGTGAATACTTTAGGTTATAGTGAGTATTACAGGTTATAGCTGTTCGATGAAAGATCTTCATTCAGTCCTTCTCTTACCCGTTTTTGCCATAACTGAATTCTGCCCCTCATCTTTGGCTGCCCTGATATTTCTCTAAATCAATTAGAAAATAGTTACATGTGGAACTGAGTTTCCTCTGTGTAATGCATGCTAAAGTTCTGGTAGGCAGGGAGTTTGCAGCTTGTTGAAAACATGGCATATTTAGTTCATATTTTACGTAGCCTCCTTAGGCAGGTATGCTACGTTGATGTGACCAGATAGCAACTGTAAGTCTCCATGTGAAAAGTGAGCAAGTATGGCCTGAATCTATCCTCTCTGATAACGTGACATAAGATATTTGTTCTTACTTCTCTTAAGGATGCACGCTTCACCTAGCCACATCATACATGATCAATTTCATGCTCTTGTTTCTGGGATTTGACTAGTTATAATTCAGTCTGTGTTCTGCCATATATTTTGGCAGCCTAGATCTGACAGGATGTTGAAGCAAGCTAGAGGATTTGAGCATGATGGTAGACGGTTGATGATTTGAAGCTCAAAGAGAAGAAGAGATCTGTACAGTCATATGCTTCAGGCTAAGCATTTTAGGGTTGCTCTCCGTGGTGACCCAGAAGTAACGGAATGTGTTACTTCCAGGTTTCGCCGCATGCGCAGACGCTCAAAATGACATCACACACATGCGTGGAAGCAGTGAATCACGACCCGTGCACTCGCAGGCGCGGGTTGTGTTCGTTTCAGGGTGCGAACGGGGCTCCGAAACGGATCCGTTTGCATCCAGAGGTACCACTGTGTATGAGTAATTTGGGGGAGAGGTGGGATGGTTTTTCAGTTTGTGCCTTGGTGCATTGAAGCATCTCATTTCCCCTATTTTGGGTATGTACATCACAGGAAGAGAGAACTTAATGTCATTTTTATGGCAGGCAGCTTGAAATTGGACATATGGCCTTTTGTTTCATATGAGCCAAGAAATATTTTAAGGAGTAGGTTGTCTCTAATAATGCTGACCAGTGTCATCATATCCAGTGAATGAGCTTGTGAGCAAGTCACTTTGTTTTCTAGCCAGCATTGTGATTGCTTGTTAACTCCCAAGAACGATGTGATCATCAAGTCTAAAACTAAATAAATTATTGAATAAAAGTTTATTTTTTAAAAAAGCCAAACTCCCAGTGTTGCCACTTGTCTGAAATATAATTAAGACAGAGCCATATTCCATTTGTTTCATCAAACCACAGTTCCATGGTTTCAATTTCATAGAAATTACATGTGATGTAATTTCTGCATACAAAATTTCATGTTCTATTTTTTAAATAAGAGATTAAACCACAGTTTCTTTCTGTTTGTTTGTTGATATCATGGATAATTGTGGCTTAAATAAGCCAGGTTCTATGAATGCAAGCCAAGGGACTAGGAGGGAGTGTGCAGTCATGTGATCAATTCTCTGACCAATAACCATTATGTCTGAACTGAATCCTTATCTCTCAATTTATTAAAAATGATATGGTCAAGTGTAAGCTAATGTATGGAGGCCATTTCCAGCAATCTGCTATGCCTATAATGCATAGACCAATCTGAACCTTTATGTAAAATACCCATATGCTCAAATACCAGTGATGACTGTGATAAATATGTGTTTAGAAAGATATGTAAGATGATAGTCACCATTAGAGAAATTCATACCGCTGTACAGTTAACATAACACTTTTTTGAGGTTTCCCCCTGCCATGAACTTCTGAGCACAAACTAAGCAAGTTGTTGTTGTTGACAACAACTTGTTGTTTTAAAATATAGCTAGTATGGAGTGGGGAAGAGACCAAATAGGGAACATATGGATATTGTGGAGTTTAACCCTAGGCCCCTACCATGATTCAAAACATTTGTATGACGTTGTTGGGAGTGGTCATTAGGAGATTTGGAGCAATGAATTAGTTCTCTGATGTGTTGTAGTCTAGTACCTGACATAGACTGATCTGAATGCAGTGGTGGGCCAGGTGAGGGCCCGTAACCTGAAGCTGAATTTTGACAAGATTGAGGCACTGTGCAGAGGTGGTTCCTGGGTCTGGGAATTGAGGCTGATGTTGCGCTTACCCTAAAAAGGGGCAGATACATAGTCTGGGTGTGCTCTTGGTTACTGGTGGCTCAACTAACCTCTGTGGTAAGGAGCACCCTTCACCATCTTAGGTTGATGCTCCAGTTACAATGGGTTCTGAATGGGGATAAACTACTGGCTGTGATCCATGTGTTTGTAACCTCTAGGTTGGATTGCTATTATGCAATCTCTGTGGGTTGCTGTTAGGTTTGGTTCAAAATCTGCAGCTAGCGAAGAATGGTTTTTACACTGCTGAGTGGAGTCTCCTGTTTCACCCACAGCATCTATGTGGAAAGAACTGCACTGGCTGCTGATCAGTTACTGAACCAAATTTAAGCTGTTAGTGTTGGCCTTTATAGCCCTGAGTAGCTCAAGACATGGATATCCCCAATAGACTGACCCAGTCATTACTGTCTGCCGAAGGGGCCCTCCTTACTGTGGCTCAACCTACAAATATCTATTTGGTGGGCACCTGGAGAAGGGCCTTTTCTGTTGTGGCACCTACCTTGTAGAATGTTTTTTCTGTTCAGATTTGGTGGGCACTAAAGGTGGCATGTTTCCTGCCATGAACTTTTCCTGATTGCTAGTGTTGTTTCCTGTTGCTGTTGGCTACTGTGACGTTGTTATGAAAACTTGTTGTTTTTATTTACTGTGATGTTTTTACTGTGACTTACTGGAGTTTTTTAAGGTTTTGTGTGTTATGATTTGAACCGCTTTGGTATTTTTGAAAAGTGAAACCTAGTCTAAAAATCCTGTTAATAAGCAAATAAATTTTAAAAAATGCTTAAACCAAAATCCAAATAGGCAGTTCATAGAAAGTTTGAGGCAATTGTCATCTTCATCCTGCTTTGAATTGCTGAGAAATCTGTTCGGGGTGCTGTGTGGATAGTGCTGAATTTGTATGGCAGAGAATGAGCTTGAAAATCACTGCTTGGTCACAAAGCTTACCAAGTGGCGTTGGACAGGCTGTGAGAAGCCAACCTAACATATACTTCAGGGTTATTGGGATAAAAGAAAACTATTTCCATATTTCAGTGTAAATTAAAATATAAACTCATTAAAATTGCATGCAACTCTTGCTGGCCTTGTGAGAGGTATAATAAATAAACATTTGATTTTTATTAAGATCTTAAAGTGGGAGATTGTCTCAGTACATGGAAGTAAAAATAGATTTAATGACAGAAGGCATTATCTATCGTTTGTGTAGAATATGATTAATTTCATCCTTATTGTTTCTAATAGAAAGTCACAATAGTTAGTCTTGTGGTAAAAATGTGTCACAAATTTTATTTCCGATTGGGAATTTATAGATCTGTACAATCCTTTCCCTAGTATCTTTACCTGATGGCAGCTGTATTGCTGGGGTGTGTGGAGGCAGAGGAAAATCTGCTGCTTGCAAATGTATTTCACTAGAATGCAAATTTTCACACTATAAGTAGGTAGACAGATAGCATGAGACTGTTTTTAGAGGTTTTGTTTTCAATCAAGCAGCATATAAATTCTGTTAAATAAAAATAAAATAAAATGTAGTTTTGCCTTCAAGAAACCTTTATAAAGCTGCTTAATTCAGCAGCTCATCTTCCAGATACATAGGCATGGGCATTACTCAATCTGCTGGTCCGCGCCCCCCCCCCCCAGGAAATAGATAAAATCTAACACCGTTAGCCAAAATTTAAGTTATTAGTGACATGGAGATACTGCTGAATATGACATCTCCTTTAAATAATCTGCCCTCTTTGTCCTTCAGTTGTGTAGCAAGTCATGTCATGACATACTCTTGCTGTAAATTTGCTTAACAGCCGCCACCAATAATATTGGTTAGGGATGGACACACAACATACAATGTGATGACATCACAATATGGATAAATGTTGTTGTACATTATGAAATGCTGCTTAAAAAAATAATAACAATAATAACAACAAATTATTAACAACCCAAAAGTGCAGTAGCAGGGTATTACATCATGGTATATAGAAAGCAAAAGAAGCAATAAATAGTAAGAAAAGGAAATGGTAAGAAACTAATATAACTCAAGTCATCCATATGTCCTGAGCTGATGTAGATGGTGAATCTTGATCATCAAGGTCCAAAGCATAAGAAAGAAAATCCCACTAGATGGCATAGAAATGTTCTGGATCCTCCAACCCCCAGGAAACTTGTAATTGATGTGTTCTTCCTTTCCCCCCACCTTAGCCAAATTCCATAGGTTCTTATATCACACATCCCTATGCTACCTGTAAAAAGTTCAGCGCTGAGTGATAAGGAGACCGAAGCATTGCAAACTAGTTTTAGGACACAGCATCTTTCCAGTGATTTCATGGCAGAGGAAGGTGGATATCTCCTGATAGACAAAGATGATGTGTGTGTGTGTGTATGTCACATAGAGTTTCTGGTATTTGTTTGCTTGTTTTCTTTAAAGAAAAAACAAAAACAAAACCTATTCATACTCCTGTGCCAGTTACTTATCTGTGCTACACAAGGCCTTCTGTTGCCTTAATTTGTTCTATCTGCAGTACCAGATCGGACAGAGTTAGTACATAATGTTTATGTTTTGTATTATTTGTGAAAAGAACTGAAGCATCTGAGTAGATGAAGCAGTCAAAACAAAATGTTTTATTTTTGTTTCATTGTGAATTATTCCATTGCAAACCAGTTCTTGCAGTTTCAGCCTTGGAAACTTTGCACACTGTTCCCTGCTTAAAGTGACACATCTTCCCTTGAGTAAGCCTTGGTATTAATTTAGATGGTTATGAATCCTTGATAATTTTGAGGTAAGGACATCTTTATGTACCCTTCTGGCCTCCGTTTCAGGCAGATGGGTGCATTGCTTCTTGAAATAACTTTCATCACTAGAAAATACTATTCTATTAGTGGAATATGGTTAACTAACCATTTTACAATATGGTTAAAGAGATTACAAATGGACCCCCCCCCCCCAATAATTGCTTGTCCTTTAACTTGGACTACCTGTGAAGAAAGGAACAATAACATTTTAGAGTAGTCTTGTTAATTTTCTTGCAGTGTTTTAGAACTGCATTAGATCAGTTTAAAAATCAAAAGGGTTAAAAAAATGATCTTCACTTGGGGTGAAAAAGTTTCTGAGACTAATACTATTACTGTAGTAAAAAATTAACAAAAACTTAAGCACTTTGACTTCTTGGTTTCACAAGGGTTGAAATGATGCCATTGAAACCAGACTCTGCTGCCTGGACTTTTGAAATGGGTGTTATGCTTTTTTAATAAGTGTAACTCTGTAGTGTTCAGTATCTCCTTAATTTCTAGGAGAATGAGCCCTTTACACTTTTGTTGGCTTTTTAATGGAAACCCACATTGCCTACGGAATTTTACAATGTTTAAGACCAGTTTTTAAAAGCACAACTATTGCCTTTGTTTTGTTTTATGGGGAGCATAGGGTGGCGGTAAATGGGTGTGTGCTGAAGGGAAGGGGAAACTGGGTACTGAAATTGTGGCTTTCTGGCACTAACGCAAATCCCGTCTGTATTTAAATGCTGTCCCCAGGTTACGACTATGGCTATATCTGCGTGGAGTTTTCCCTCTTGGAAGAGGCCATCGCCTGCATGGAAGCCAACCAGGTTGCTTTACACTTCGGTCGAAAATGCTGCTAGAAGAATATTTTTGTGGGGAGGGTTGACACCTAGTGATTTTTTAAAAAATAAAGATTCAGAGAAAGTCTTCCCCCCCAAAAAACTGTACAGCGTAACAGCCAATATGCTGATGTATTGCAGAAATCTGGAGAGGCTTAATGTTCCACAGAAAGAACTTAAGTTCATTTTTTTCCTAAATAGTCTGCCTCTCAAGTTGTGCCTGGTTCGCAGGCTTGATAGTTTTCAAGTGTGGTAGTTAAGGAAAGGTTTCCAGTTCTGGTGGTTGTTCTTATGAGCTTGTATATGTGGTAGATTTCAAGTGACAGTAGCTAAACTGCTAATGTCAGATGTTTCACTTTCTTGATTGTACAGTAAAATGAAAATCTGTACTTCCTCTAAGCAAAATAGTTATGTTTGAATATGCTCTTGGGAGTGCAGACTCACACACACCCCTCTACGTGTATTCATGGGCTAGACCACTAATATGCAGCTCTGAGTGAAAAATCCAATTTGCATGCCTCATTTGTCTATGTTTTTTCATCTGGTTGGAGGGGCGGGCTTTGTCTGTTTCCTTGAGTATTCATATTTATATTTTTATGCAAGTTGGAGCTGCATAAGAGAAGTCTGGCCTGTTCCAGCTGCACCTGGTTAATCTGAATGTCTTAACATTTTCTTAGAAATAGAAAGTCGCTAGCATAGCTCCAAATTATATCTTTGGCTAGGTATATATGTATAGTGCTATAAGTAAAAAGTAGTCAATTATAGCAGAAAATGGATCTTACAATAATACCCATGGCTTGGAAATTTTAGAAAATAAGCTCTATGTTTCCCCCCACTTTTAAGAAATTGATCAAATTCTCAGCTATTTTTACATAGTAAATTCTTACTTGTTGTTACTCAGTTCTTCATATCCAGCTTGAGAAATGTCTTCCAGTTTCTGGCTCCTACGATTCTAGAAGTGATTTTCTCACAAAAATAATGTAAGCTGGAAACACTGTGTCCTTGGTAATCTCAGTGAACAGATTGATGCTAAATGTGATGATTTATACCCAGTAATTTGAGAAATGAAATTTAGGAATCCTCGCCACGAATCTGTTCTCATAACATAATTATCAGATATAATGACCAGAGTGTTTTCCTGTTCCAACAGCTGTCAGGTACCTGTTTATACATATTAAAGTAAAGCAGCCATTTGAATGTTGTAGTTATTTTCTGACAGCATCCTATTTTTGTACAATCTATGGATTGTCCTTCTAGATATTGTCATTGCCCATCCTTTTTTTGTTTACTGTCCCCCTGTAGCTCAAAAACTCAGGGCTGTACTATATATAAGCCTGATTATAACTCAGAATATGAATTTGCTTTCCTTCTTCAAAATTGGCTTAACCAATAAGGAAGATGATACTTCATTATTATTGACCATTTATAAGTCACTTTGTACAATAAAAAGTCTCAAAGTGACTTGGCAATGTAAAACATAACATACATAAGCTCTGTAGTTCTTGGTAGGGGGGTTGTTTCTTAACTCTTTCAGATGTTCCATAAATTCTCAATCACGACTGAATTTGAAATATTACTTTGGAATAAGAATTCCTTATACCTTTAGCAGCATTTCATAGCTGCTGTTCCAGTAGTTTGTCTGCAGCTTTATTCTCTTCTTCTTATTTGCATTTATACCATTACATAGTTCATCCTATTCTGGACAGATAACAGAAGATAACTACCCCAAAAGAGGAAGTGATGGCAACAAATTTGGATGACATTAGAAAAAGATTAGACAAATTCAAGGAGGATAAGGCTATCAATAGTTACTAGATACAATGGCTGTGTTAACCCAACTACCTGAGGCAATATACCTCTGAATGCCAGTTAGTGAAAGTGATAAGTGGGGAAAGTGCTGTTTGGATCAGGTTCGACTTGCAGGCTTCCCACAGAGATCTGATTAGCTGTCTTGGTAGCATAGTTTAGATTTGTGTTAAATATGATTGGCATTTACCACAGTGCTGCCCACCAACAAGGTTGTATTTTCAAAACCTACATGTCTCTTTCACCAGTGGCCTGGAAACAGTTTCCCTGTTTCTTCTTCATCTCACTTAAGCTGCAGCAACCTCAGATGTTGTTTCCAGTAGCCGTACAGCCACAAACAGGTTTCCCACCATTAAAGCTTCTTACTCCGCAGAGAGTCCCAAATTAATCTGAGCAGTGGCTCTTGTGTACACATGGCTCAAAAAAGCACTGGCACAAGGGTAACCGTCAAACATAAGCAGAGGGCATACTGCAGAGCCCCTTCTCTTCCTTTGGATCAACTTTTGATTTATAATGTTTGGATGCTTTCTGACTCAGGATTGACCAGGTTCAGCTTCTGCCTGTTCATGAACTGTAGAGTTTGTGTGTGTGGGTGTGTGCTCTATATCAGGGCAGAATTTCTCTTTGACGTATTGTACATGAAGACCCCTCACTCTCAAAAAGCTACTTTTTGTAGGAAGTATGCCTGATGTACTGTCTTCTGCCAGTTTGGACTGCTGTAGCCAAGCCAGTTAAAATATGTGGGGGGTTTTAATGTACCGGAAAAGTTTTAGAACCTCTCCTATTCAGATACAGAGAAAAGCCCAGAAATTTATTCAGTGTCTGGCCATATCGGTGAAGGCACCCAGGCGACAGGAGCAGGGGGCTACTAAGCAGGATCTGTTGATGATGATGAAATCCACAGGGTTACTGTTGTCCTTGTCACCAGAGGGATTTATTTGGCATTCCAGGCACTCTTGTTGCTGCAAGTGCATTGCCATTTAATTCAGGGTAGAGAAATGAGTAAAGCAAACGATAATTGAATGTGTCTCCTGTTCTCACTGATAGAACACCCACTGTGTGATATTTGTAAAATTTTAATACCATGACTTTCATGGTGGTCTGTTGTCAGTTGTCTTGCCATTTGGTTTTGACATCACTTTCTCTGCTAGTATGTTGCTGCTGTCCATTTGGGGTGAGATGCCTTTTTAGGTAGGGAAGAGGTGGATAAAGTAATGTGTCTTATCTAGTTTGCATCGCCTGCATACACAAAGCTGAATTGTTATCTCACTACCAAAATGACTTCAGAGTTAATGAACTGGCTCCTTCTTCAGACAACAGCCTTGAAAAGGAAAGAATTTAGCATTTCTTCTTAATAGAAAATTACTGAGTATGCCTTTTTTTTAATTGAAGAATTCAATTATTTCAAAAGGTTATTTCATTTTGAGGACATGTTTAGCTCCCTGTGTGGGATGGAGGGAGCAACCTGTATTACTTTTCAAAATCTCAGCTATCCAGGGTATTCATGCGCTTTTATTCTTTATAGTCACCAGGAGCCGAGGAAGATTAAAATGCTGCCAGTTCTGCCTTGTCTTGGTTCCTATTCTAAAATAGCCAATGTCTGTCATTTATTTTAAGCATAGATTACCTGTGATTGAAAACTGAAGAATATTTGTATTAGATGATGGCATTAGTATAGTTGTCGTGATACTGTTGCCAGTCAGTGAAACAACTGAGCTGACACAAGGTTGTGTTACAAGGTTTATTTGCTATGCCTGAGTTGGGTGATCCATTTCAAGTTAGTTATAGCCCTTGTAATACAAAGGATATAAATTCCATAAACCAAATTGATAAGTGTGTTCAATTTCTCACAGTTGTTAAGTAGCTGTAAGCACAGGCAGATCTTTCTCTTACCATTTTCTGGATCATTGATAAATCATTAGAATGAGCTGGATAAGGAACTGTAGAAGAACCACAAAATATGTTCTCTTATCTTTCCTGTGAGGCCTGATTCATGTTAAGTTTGAAGCCCTTTGCCAACAGTGGTTCTTAACTGTGGTCCATGAACCACTGATGGTGTGCGGGCAATTTAAGTCAATTTAGAGCATTGACTTAAGGATGAAACATTGAGGCCAGCAGCTCATCTATGATACGTTTGACCAGTTGTGACATAAAAGGAAGTGAACTTTATTGGGAAGAAAGGTTGGTGAAGTTTGTGGCTGCAATTCTTGCAGTTCTTCTTTTGTTATGTGCAGTCTGTGGCACATTCACTTGTTAGCTGCAGTATCCAGCAGCGGTTTTGCACTAGCAGAAAGCACATGATTGTGTATAGTGGGGTACATTATCTTTTTGGGATTGATCCTGCCAGCTCCACTCCATGCCTTCTATGCTGCTCCTAAAGGTTGGGGAACTCTCTTGAAAACGTGGGATATGGCATGGAAGGCTGTCGTGGGGAGGAGGAAATACTAAAAACTGGATGGCTCAACTTGCATGAGCAGAAGCGCTTTCCACTAGTACAAGGCACCATAAGTTACAGCCCAATATCTTTTTCCAGTAAAGAGCTTCATTTGTGTGCATCTGAGGTCTCAGACTGAGCATTTATTTGGGTATCCTTGTGATATCTATGGACCTACTGTGGAAAACAGTGTGAGACGACAAGTTGCTCCTGCAGCTAATTTTGTTGGCACCAAGTGGCTAGGATTTCTCAATGGGAACTCCATTGTGCAGACAATCCCCAGCCATAGCAGGGCTAAGTGGTTCACCTGATGCCATGGTGATGAGGTATGATTGACAGGTGGGCAGCCTCATCCACTGGTAAAAATGGTCTTCAGGATGGGATCTCAGAATGCAGCTTGTCCCGTCTTACAACATCTCCATTAGCTACCATGTAAGCACAGCCCCTGACATCATCTGAAGATGGCCCATTCTTCCACCCCCACCAGTTCCTTTCTTGCTTTTTGTTCCTTCCCCAGTGGCAGTTAGGATTAGGAATTCTAATCTGAGATAGCCATGGTGAAAATTGAAGCAGGGCAGTGGTTATTCTGGGCTAGTTAATCCAAAACAGTTTTTTCTCAGGCTCTGTCAGTTATTTGCTCCGGCTCGCTCACTACTATCATGTACCTTCCTTCTTAAATAACAGATTTACTCCTGAGGGAGTGCACCCTCCACAAGGAAAAGATAGGACCTTGAGGGCTTTAGTTAATACAGTGGTACCTCAGGTTAAGAACTTAATTCGTTCTGGAGGTCTGTTCTTAACCTGAAACTGTTCTTAACCTGAGGTACCACTTTAGCTAATGGGGTCTCCCGCTGCCGCTCCACCACCGAAGCATGATTTCTGTTCTCATCCTGAGGCAAAGTTATTAATCCAAGGTACTATTTCTGGGTTAGCGGAGTCTGTAACCTGAAGTGTCTGTAACCCGAGGTACCACTGTACAATCAACCTGAATTGAGCTGAGAAACAAGTTTGTAACGGGGGGCGGGACTAAGACCAGGATATTTTAAGTGTCATACTCTCCTGCCTGAGTGTTAAAGACACAGTGAAAAGCACTTGTCTGTATATCCCACTGCTATCAGAGGTACGGTAGGTGAGCAGCGGAGATAGGGCCTTCTTTCTGGTAGTGCCTAGATGGTTGAATGCTGTCCCTGGTGAAAGCTCTGGACTCCTTCCCTACAGGTCCACAGCTAAGGCCATTTCCCCCCCACTAACCTTTTAATCTTTGACTATTGTGTCCTATTAATGTGGCTACTTATATTCTTTTATATTTTGCGGTGGTTTCATTGTTTTAAAGCTACCTTTTGACAGTGTTGTATATAGCATGGAAAAACAGGACATAAATATAATTGAATTTTTAAAAAATGTCACTAGGGTCAAATACGTGAGAAGTTGGCATAATACAAGTTGGACAATGTTAGGAGAATTGCATGAGAAAAATATTTGCCTTTTGCTTTCATCTATGTGTAAATACTTTGGCGATCGTATCTTTGCATAATTGGATTGCGTGTGCTGGCAATATTGTGTTGCATATTTTGCCTCTGTACAAAGGGCGAGTCGTTTGATTAACCAAGAGATTACAACAGTCCTTTCCATGTAGCTTTTACACTTCTGTCTTCTTTAGTCACTCTTGTTATTCTTTCGGCAGTCGTTTTTGTAAAGCAAAATCTCATATCAATATAGGATCCTGCTGAGATTGCACTAAAAAGGCTTTCTGTCCTCTTCCTCTGGTTAGGGGAACCTCTTATTGCTGTGGGATTTGGAAGAGGTGTCCACGCTGTACAGTGGTACCTCGGGTTAAGTACTTAATTTGTTCTGGAGGTCTGTTCTTAACCTGAAACTGTTCTTAACCTGAAGCACCACTTTAGCTAATGGGGCCTCTTGCTGCTGCTGCGCCACCGGTGCACGATTTCTGTTCTCATCCTGAAGCAAAGTTCTTAACCCGAGGTACTATTTCTGGGTTAGCGGAGTCTGTAACCTGATGCGTATGTAACCTGAAGAGTACGTAACCTGAGGTACCACTGTAGTAATATGACCACTAAATAGTGACCATATTCATCTGTAATGCTAAAACAAAAACACAAACTAATACAGTAGCCCCCTCCGACAACACAGTTAAAAGGACATTGAATGTTAACCAGCCAAAGGCCTGTTTAAAGAGAAATGTTTTTGCCTGGCATCTAAAAATATATAATGAAGGTGCCAGGCGAGCCTCCTTGAGGAGAGCATTCCACAAACTGGAAAGCCACTGCAGAAAAGGTCTGTTCTTGTGCTGCCACTCTCTGGACCTCTCCACTCTCGTGGAAGAGGCACATGAAGAAGGGCATCAGATGATGATCACAGGGTCTGGGTCAGTTTATATGAGGAGAGGCTGTCCTTGAGGTATTGCAGTCCTCAGACATTGAGCCAGTGTGGTGTAGTGGTTAAGAGCAGTAGTCTCGTAATCTGGGGAACCGGGTTCGCGTCTCCGCTCCTCCACATGCAGCTGCTGGGTGACCTTGGGCCAGTCACACTTCTTTGAAGTCTCTCAGCCCCACTCACCTCACAGAGTGTTTGTTGTGGGGGAGGAAGGGAAAGGAGATTGTTAGCCGCTTTGAGACTCCTTAGGGTAGTGATAAAGCGGGATATCAAATCCAAACTACTCCTCCTCCTCCTCCTCCTCCTCCTTCTTCTTCTTCTTCTTCTTCTTCTTCTTCTTCTTCTTCTTCTTCTCCTCCTCCTCCTCCTCCTCCTCCTCCTCAGACATTTAAGGCTTTATAGGTCAAAACCAGCACTTTGAATTGGGCCCATAAACTAATTGGCAGCCAATGCAGTTGGGCCAGGATTGTCGCAATATGCTCAAATGGACTTGCCCTCGTGAGCACCCTGGCCACTGAATTCTGCACCAGCTGGACTTTCTGAACAGTCTTCAGAGGCAGCTCCTTGTATAAAACATTGTAGTAATCTCTTTGAAACACAGCATTTTGGCGAGGGGGAGGAATGAGTTGTGCATTGGGTAGTGGCATGGTGGTGAGTGTGTGCTGTTTGTGTGGTTTGTATGTGTGTAGCATGTTCTCTGTATACATTGACCATGCCAGTCACTGGTATGTGACCCTTAGAGGGGTGGCCTATGTCAGTGTGGTCACTGGGCTGAAGAAGGTTCACAAACCCTGACTGATAGGCATCACCGTGCAACCCGGTTATCTATGCCGTTCTCTGAACCTGCCACCCTAAGTAGGAGTGGAACCATGGTAAAATACTATCCCCAACTCTGGAGACACTCTAGTCCAGGCTTTCTCAACCTTGGATCCCCAGATGTTGTTGGACTACAACTCCAATCATTCCTAGCCAGGAGGACCAATGGTCAAGGATGGTGGGAGTTGTAGTCCACTAACATCTGGGGACCCAAGGTTGAGAAAGGCTGCTCTAGTCAGATGCCATGGTCAATGCTATCAAAAGCCACTGAGAGATCAAGCAAGAACAAGAGGGTTGTGCTTCCCTTATACCTCTCCCACCAGAAGTGGTATTTCTGACTAAGGGACAATTCTCAACTTGCTCAGAGTCCAAGTAAGGGTTTGTAGGAAAAGTCACACTACTGCCCCCTTCAGGGCATTAGGCACCACCCTCTGGCTCAAAGAAACATGAATGATTTTCTTCCCATGTAATATACGTGGCATTAAAGTGCATGCTTCTAAGCCTTATTTGTACTACAGCATGACTGGACATGCTGTTTGCCCTTGGCACACACTAAGTCAAGTAGTAAGAAGCTAATCTCTTGGAGAAATGCTCTGAAGGATTCTTGTACCTCCTCTTTGGGGTACTGGAGTAATGACCAGGTTTGCTCCAGGGTAACAGCTGCATGGGTCAGCCTGCTATGCTGCAACTTACAAAAAACATTTCTGGTTGAAATCATCCTTTCATACCTTATATAAAAGAATGAAGCCCTGCTTCTGATGATACAGGAATGTATTTTTGTTATTGCCAGAATGAGAGAGTATGAAAACCCTTTCCTGTCTTGACAGAACATCAACTAAGACCATACTTAAGACACAGAATGGCAGTGTCCAAGGGACGTCCCATCATATTGGAAGTTTTGTGAATTTGATGTCCCCCTCCCTTTAAATTCGTTATTCAATAAGTGCAAAAACCAAGCAATATGCAAATCACCAGCAGTGAATGTCAGGGTGCAGACTGGTCATTGTTCACCATCTTATATGGTTATCTTAGCTTCACTTGACAATGCTAACATATATAGACTAAGTGTTTGTGTACTGTGAAGTATTGGCATAGCTTCTCATAAAACTTTATTCACTTCTTACAAAGAAGGTTGTTGGCCTTCCCTGGCCCATTCATCTGAGTGCTGTCTTTGATAACTTTCCCTGCCTTAAAGTAGGATGTCACAACTATGCATGGAACTTTCATAATGCAAGCCTGTTAATAAATAAAGGACACAGTTGTGAGAACTGAATGTACAGTTGCTTCCCTCAGGCCAAAACAATGCATTGCAGTGAAGCAGAAAAATAGCCCTGTGTACAGTTCCTCGTGTGCAGATTGATAGTACATAAGCAGTGTGCAGGGGACTCTTCTTGTCCTCCTAAAGGAACTAGTAGCTCTTGAAGGCTTGGAGGTGATGATAATAGATCTACTGTTGAGGCGGAGGTTGTAGCCATGAAGATGATTAAGTTCTTATACAGTGGAATCTCGGGTTGCGAACATGATCCGTGTGGGATGCACATTCGCAACCCGCAGCGTTCGCAACCCACGTCTGCGCATGTGCGGGTTGCGATTCGGTGCTTCTGCGCATGCACAAAGCGCGACCGCCAAACCCTGGAAGTAACCCATTCCGGTACTTCTGGGTTTCGGCGGTCCGCAACCTGAAAAAACGCAACCTGAAGCGTCTGTAACCCGAGGTATGACTCTATATGTTTAAGACTATTCTGTTGTATTTCACATATAGGTTGGAACATTCTTAAACAATATCATGTCATTTTGTAGCTTATTCATTGACTCCTTAAACTCTATGCAACTTGTGCCATAGGAAAAAATGTGCTTCTTAGAAAATCTTAGTGAAAGCAAGGACTTCAAGTGTGGAGACATTTCAGTTTTTTATAGATCACTTTTATTTTGTGTTTGGCATTCATGGTGAAGAGTCCCTTCCTATCCTTTTTATGACATGCTGTAACGTATTAGAAGAACCTTGGCAGATTTCCCATAGCATTGTTTTCTTTCACAATTTAGAAGACACAGCACAGGATGTCTTTCTGTCAAGTCAAGTTGCTTTCTTGAGACATTTCATCCAGGCTGTTCCTTTTCTGTGCTTTCTGTGCTGGCAGAGAAATGAATATTTGAGTAGCTGCGATAGTTCATATACAGCTATCCTGTTGAGACTGTCCTTCCATGGTTGGACTGAAAATTAGTGTGCATTCTGATTGCCTGATTGAGCTTTTCACAAGAATCTGTCTGGTGATGAAATGCGTGGTGTAAACATGCCTAGTGAAACAACTGAAGAAAAACTTTGCTCCTGCTGCAGCTCATTTTTACTGTGTATTGGTTGTAGTCAAGGGATTGTTTGGGCTGTTAGGAGTCCAGTGGATCCTGGCTTTTTTTGTTTAATTTACTGGCATGGTTAAAGGAATTAAAATCATACATGGCTCCAAGTAGCAGTGAGCTACATGGTAGCAATCCATGACAGAAAGTGTACATCTACAGAAACTACTCACTGGCTGCAATCATGCAGCATATTACAGAAAGGAGCTTGCAGGGTCATATCCAGATTACCCATGGGATTCCGGACAATATCAACTTTCCTGTAGCAAGAAGCGAGCGAGTCCTCTTTGCTGTAGAGGTAAGTTTGAATTACCCTCATTGACTAAGTAAATCCTATATAGGAATGATGCAAGGGTAATAGCAGGAATCTAAAGGGCCATGTGTAACCTTCTGGGCAGGGCTTTCTAGCCTTCTGCCTTTAGCATTTAGGATTCTGGATAGCTCAGTTGGTTAAAGCGTGGTGCTGATAACGCCAAGGTTGCAGGTTTGATTCCTGTATGGGACAGCTGCATACTGTATTCCTGCATTGCAGGGAGTTGGAATAGATGATCCTCATGGACCTTTCCAACTCTACAGTTCTGTGATTCTACTATCTTTGTGTCCCTCAAAAGCTACCCTGAATGTCAGAATACCTTCTCAAGCAGATTTCCATGAAGTGTAAAAGCCAACCATTCTGCTGACGTTGTTGGATGCTAGCCAAAATATTTAGGTGCTATAACTCACATGTGGGCAACTTGCCGATTGCAAGTTGGAACCTTTCGGAGTGTCCTATGTTGGGGCCTGAGTCACTCCCACTGCCAAATTCTTAATGCAAATCATGCTGTCCTCTCCCAGCTCAACAAATAGGAGTGTGTTTGTGGTGTGGAGAACTGGGTGGGAACTTGTCTTTCCATGTAAATTGTGCTCTCCTCAGCCCATCATACAGCTGTTAGGTGGACTGAGGGTTGTGTGGGTGTAAATGGATGTGTGTAACTGTGATGGGGTAGCTGTGTATGTGTGAATAAGCATAATTGTGATGGGGTATGTGTGGCCCTGCCCACTGCCTTTTCTCACCCCATCTGCAGGCACATGGCTACTGGCCACCTAGTTATCTTTGGAGAGAAATAGCATGCTCCACAGCCTTTGTGCTTGGAGGGATTACTAGTGCTGCTTCTATCCTCCCCTTTTCATTTGGCAAGTAAACAAAGCGGCTTACAAAAGTTTTTAAATATGCAATAAAATATACACTGTATGCAAAATCTAAAAAATAAAATCATATAGTTTAAAACCAATTAGCCAGATTAAGAACCAGAGATAGCAAACTTGAAGACTAAATGAAACAGTAGAAGCACGCTGAAATCAGAGGTCTTCAGCCACCTTGAAAATGTGTGTCCGGTGTATGGGGAATGTTTAGAAGTTCCAGGTACTTCTACTTCAGTGCTCTCCACAATTCCTTTCTATTTTGTCACAAGCTGAATAAACTGTGGAAAGTAAGCACCACAAACAGTCTTGCATTCAAGATAGTGATACACAGTGCTATCTGGTGAAATCCAGTTTGGGCTCTGAGAATTATCAACACTCATTGTAGTTGGATCTAGACTTCTGTTTGTGGAAGGACCAAGCTCCAGCAGAGGGTACCGCTGAAGGGAAGGGGGAGCAGAGAAAGTGATTTTTTGGCATATTCTTTTGCAGTTCTACACTGTTAGAGGGGGTCTTACAACTCTCCCGAGTATGATTACCAGATGTTTCCGGTTCCCGGGGACAGCCCCCGGATTTACCAATCTATCCCCAGACAAAATCCATCCGCTGAATGCCCCCGGATTTAATGTAATGTCCCTGGATTAATCATATGCCTGGGGACTTCCAGACCCTCCCCAGAGCCGAAAGCAATCATCCGCTACCGTTCCAGACAGCGTCTCCTCGGGAGCTGGAGGTGCAGCTGGGCTTTGCTGCAACTCTCCTGCCTTTCAGCTGATGCACGAAAAGAAACCTCCCTCTTCATCAGCTCTGCAAACAGCCCTGCTCCTCCTGCTTGCTTGCTTGAGCCGGAGAGGCAAGGCTGCTCTTTGGAGAGGCAGAGCTGAGGTGCAGGGAAGAAGCCTCCCTGCATGACATCTCTGCAAGCTACCCTGTCTCTCCTGCTTGCTCATGAGGAAGAAGGAGCACTTTTCCATGCCTTTAAAGCCCCCTTTGCTGCATTCTGCCTGCTTGTGAGCTGAGCTACCAAGCTGGCAGAAAGCAGGATGCTGCCTTAAGCCTTCCCTTCGCTCTCCCAGACAGAGGCTGTTGCTTCATAGTTAAGGGTGGTGGTGGTGGAAATTGTCTTGCCTCTTTTGCTCCATTCTGCATGTTTGTTTGTGAGCTACTGCCTTCCCTCCCCTCTCTCTGTGTTATTGTCTGTCTCCCCATTTTTTCCTCCTTACCCATAAACTCTTCCCAATTCTCCCTTTGTCTTCTCACACATTTGGTTCCCCAACCCTATATATCATTATGTGCTGCTGCTTCATTTTTCTTCCCTTGCACCCACCCCCACTAGCAAAAAATAAAAGGTGAGGAATGTTTTATGTTTATTTTGGGGGTGTTTATTTTGGTTCCCCCTGAACAGCTTTCCCGTTCCCTTCTTATTAAAAAATGAACCTTAAAAAAATTAAAATGAACCTGTAAAAAAATTAAAAGAGGCTACCTCTGCTTGCTTGCCTCCCTCCCCTTCCCTTTGATAAAAAGGGAGAGATTGGTGGGATGGGGCTTGGAGGGGTGTACCTTCTGTGTCACGATAGGTGTAAATGGAGCAGGGAAGCCTTATGTTCTTTTAAGCTGTGGCTGCTCTTGTTGAGGTACCTCCATTGCAGGGGGTTGGCCTAGATGCCCCTCAGAGGTCCTTTCCAAATCTGTGATTCTGTGATCATCCCACAGTCGTTTTCTCAAACTCCACTGGTGCCTGTGCAGGAGACACCTGTGCGGGCAGAGCAGGAGGAGGAAGGGGTTTATGCTAATGCTTACTCCTGAGTAAGCCTGTAGGGGATTGTAGTGCAAGGAGGGAGAGGGAGGGAGTGGAAGCACAGCTAGCCCTCCAAGAAAGCAGGCCGGGACCCAGAAGAAGGCAGCACAACAGAAGAGATCACAGAAGAGACGTTATTACTTCTTAATTTGTAAAAAAAACCAAAACTTTACACACACAGTTTGTTTGTTTGTTTGTTTGTTTGTTTGTTTGTTTAAAGTGTCCCTGGATTCATTGAAAAAAATCTGGTAACCTTGCTCCTGAGTAGCTTTTCCATGGACAGGGGGAATGAGTGCCTCCCCACCTCTGAACAGAGGAGTCTCATGGATGGAGTTCTGCCAACACATATTTGTTCATTTCACTGGTGCCGGCTTGCGCCTGCATTTCATAAAAGTTATTGCTGTCATCTTTGTCTATTCCTGGATTTTTATCTCATGGATCCAAGTAACCTACATCTGGGATCTCCTTAATCACAAGAATATTAAGGACTGTTTTTAAAAGACCAGTTTGAAAGCTCATGGTCCAATGGTGGGTACATGTTGTGGGTTAGATCTAGTTGTTCATTGGGGTTCTGAAAAGAAGTAATGGTCAGGCCTTTTCCTTGGCTACAACAATGAAGCAAGGGCATAAAATCCAAGTCCCTGTAGACGTTACTGTTTTTTTAAAGGGCAAACTATTCACTGTGGTGTAAACCACTGAGCCTGGGCTTGCCGATCGGAAGGTCAGCGGTTCAAATCCCCGTGATGGGGTGAGCTCCCATTGTTCGGTCCCTGCTGCTGCCAACCTAGCAGTCCTAAAGCACGTCAAAGTGCAAGTAGATGAATAGGTACCGCCACAGCGGGAAGGTAAACAGTGTTTCCATGCGCTGCTCTGGTTCGCCAGAAGTGGCTTAGTCCTGCTGGCCACATGACCCGGGAAAACTGTCTGTGGACAAACGTCAAATCCCACAGCCAGTAAAGCGAGATGAGCGCCGCAACCCCAGAGTCGTTCGTGACTGGACTTAACTGTCAGGGGTCCTTTACCTTTTTTTTATTATTATTTGGAGATAATGAGAAAACTTAATCGTTTGAAAGACAAGTACAAATGGAGACAAATTCCAAAAGGGTAACTGTGTTGGTCTGTCACAACAAAAACAAAATCAGGCGGAAGCTTAAACACTAACTTGTATTTGTGGCCTATCTTTTCATAGGACAAAACCCACTCTTAGATCCATAAGTGGTAATTTAAGGGGCCTGGTATATAGCAAGTTATGCCAAGTTCAGAGAGGAGAAGGGGGGGAAATGTGTGCATTAAAATGAAAGGTCAAAGAGTCAGTAGAAGTTGGTATGTAACAGTACCCAGGAGAGTAGAAATGGAAGATTCAACCAGTGTGGTGACATCCACTCATGACTAACAGCCACTGGTGATGAAAAGATGTAGCATGGTCACCAGTTTAAGTGGACACCTACGGAAGGGGAACTTTCTTTAATGAGTAAGCTGTTCTTAGGATTTGTACAGTCCATCACATGGCTAGATCACTGCAGCAAATATTGTCCCTCTGTAGGTATTTACTCACAACTGATCTTGCTATATCTGTACATCACTAGTGGGAAACGTGGATCTTGTAATAATTTTATTGGGTTCCATGCAACCTGTACCATGCATAGGAGTGACACATCCACCACTATCTCTTCTGTATTTTGTCCTAGCTTTGTTAAAACAATGGCCACACATTTCCCCCCTACTTTTCTTGGGCTCTGGTCTGGAAAATAAGTATGCCACAATAAATTTGTTACATCTTTGAGAAGACCCTCTGTGGCAGGAATGGTCAAGATGATGCCCTCTATATATTTTTGGTCTTCAGTTCCCAACATCACTCACCATTGGTCATGCTGGCTGTGGCTGTTGTGAGTTGTAGTCCTGTAACATTTAGAGAGCACCACACCCTTGCACTAAGGATTGTGTGAACATGGGTGTTTGCAATTGAGCAGGGCTTGCAAAAGATGTAAGTGAAATTCTAAAAATACCAATGAGAGCTCACAAAAGTTGTACCAAATGTAACGGCAAGGATTCCTGTATATAATATTCTTCCAGACTATAGTTGACCAGTTCAAGTTAGCAAAAGATGAATATTGCATCTCAGAGAAAGCTGCTTTTTTCCGAGAGCACAAGGGACTATTGGAGCTGCTATGTACTTTGTCCTACATTTTCCATAGTTGCCATAAGATCTGGGCAATGGCAATAAAATGAAAGCTCATACTAGTAACAACTAGTTCAGCTGTGGCCTTTTGATCCACAAAGGTCTAGTTTTAACATGCAACACAATTGAGTGAGTGCTCATCTGTTGGTAGAGGCATTATTTTTGTTTATTAAAATATTTATAGTCTGCCCTTTGTGAATGCAGATACAAGGATGGGGTACAGAACACAAAATAAAAACCAACTAATCAAATTTATAAAATAGACAAGACATAGTAAAATACACCATCAAAGAAATAAAGCAACAAATAGTTCTGCAACTGTAGAGACCCTAAGCTTATCTTGTGACACCCTCCTCCCATTAAAAAAGTTTCTTAAAATTCTGTTACTGCTCAACCTGAGAGTGCTTTGTAAGTTATCTCTCTGGATTCTCCAATATGGTACTGTCACATTTCCTTAAGTCTTCCTCAAGAACTAATTCCCCATAGTGGGCACTTTGGCCCCCATTGAGTATCTGAGTTTGGAACTTTATCATCTTAGGTTCAGATTACAATACTTGTTTCTAAGCCTCCTGTGACAAAAGGGAACCCCTTGAATTAGAAGTTTAAAAGTTTGTTTTTAAAATGAACCTATGCGCAATTTGGGAACAAACTCTGTATTTTTGTGTTTTTGTTTTTATTTAAATTTGACCTTTTAGGTTGAACATATTTCCAAGGTGGCTTACAAACAGCATTTTTTAAAAAGACCACCACCACAAACAAGGGGGTATTCAGGTTTTATTCAGAGCAGACCAATTGAAAATCATTGTACCTACCTTAGTCATGTTCATTAATTTCAGTGGTTCTGCCCTGAGTAAAACTTAGATGAATACCACCCATTGACCAAACAATATTAGAAGTCATCAGGATCATTACCACAAGGCATTTGGGGTTGGAGAAGGCCTTCTCACAGGACAACGGATTAGCCTTGGGAGTGGCCCAACTAGAGTAAGTCATAATGAGGTGGCCTTTTCCTGCTATGTCTTCTTTCCTGTAATATCACAGAGCAGTGTAAGAGCAAGAGAGATACAAAGCAGAGTTCACACTGCTAAAGATCTGTGTGCCTTGGCATGGTTATCTTGGCTAAATGAGGAACTGATAATAGTACATACTGAAAATACAATGGTTCTTCATTGACAAAGTGTTTGGGAGTAGCACTGTACAAGTTGAAATTAGCGAACATTCAATCTTTTGGGGTTGGGTCTGAAGTCCAGGAACCTCTCCCTGCCCCAATTTTCAAATCTTTGCAATTCTCTGTTAGGCTGATCCTGTGTTTTGTCCTTTGACAGCCGTCTAATTCCTATCTGCATGATCACAGTAAGTGCTCTATAATGGTGTGCCCACATAGTATGGGGTGACTGAAAATAGAATCTAAATTAGAAGATGTTGACCTATAAATTCTATTTTTTTTTATACATTTTGCTGTGATTAATGCCCTCTCTCCCAGGAGCCCCAAACTGTGGCTCCATTTGTAACTTGTGTATGTCTGCTGCTTCTCTGTATGTGTCCATGACTAAATTTTATTATAGCATGTGTGTTAAGATTCCATACCAGAACAGCATGGAGAACCTTCCTCTGCTATTATGACTTTGGTGATTTGCCTCTTCCCAAGCATGACTTTGGCCAGCATTTCAAACACTTCCTTGCACTTCTCAGAGTGCAAGCAAGAGAAAGTAGTGTTGGAAGTATTCTTCATTGGAGAGCATTCTAGAATATGTATATTTGAGCCCTATGTTTTTCAAGTGGTGTTCTTTTTTAAAAAATCATTTTTATTGATTTTCCAATTAAAAACATCCAATTAAATATCCAGTCATAATACTTCAATTAAGTGGTGTTCTGATGAAACCTGGACTTCCTCATTGAGAAGAAGATAATAATGGCATACAAGCTTGCTCACTAGAAGTTATATTCCCCTGTGATGCGCAGCTATCGGGATGTGTGCATTGGTGTCCTTTAAAATGCACTGTTATTTCACACAGGACCATGATGAGTATTGGTAAACCTGGCAAGTGCTGCTTCTGAGCAAGATGTGCAGGCTAAAACACACTCCAGATTTTTCTGCAGCTGACAGAGAGTTTAAGGCATATGTTTGAGGGTTGCTCAGCAGGTGTTGAAGTGTAAAATATTTCCTGAATTTACATTCTTACACATTTATTTGGGAATAAGTCCCATTGAATTCAATTGGAATGTTTCCAAATTTTACCTTTTACAAAAATGGAGAAGGCCCCAAAATGGCTGAAAACATATTTGTATTAGGGAGTGGCCATATGCAAAATGGGAAAATGTCTGAAAGCAAGTGCTAAAATGCTATTTTGGTTATAAGGTGTTTAAATATTAAGGGTGGAATCCAGTTGGTGCTCTTGTGCTCTCAGAAGGGCTTTTGATCCAGTGGACCCATCTGCTAAGAGAGGAAGAGGGGACACAGTTTTTGCCAGTGCCCCTGCAGCCCCCCAAATTGGGTCTTCTATTAGCAGAGGCTTTTGCTAGATCAGAAGCCTTTCTGGGAACACCTAAGCAATAATTGCCTGCCCGTTTGCAGGATGCTCTCCGCAGGGAAGCTTGCCTGGCACCATCATTATATATCTTTAGGCACCAGGCAAAAACATCTCTATAACCATGTCTTTAACTGTCTGTGAGCTTTTAGAAATGGGTGGGATGTATTAATGTAAAACGCTCTGCACTTGTATCTGTAGGGAGCTTGGCTGTAAATCATTCTGGGTTGCCTTGGGCAAGATAAAGTGACTAACAAATTTTAACAACAGCAACAAGGATGACTGGATTGCACCCTGAGCTATTAGTAAATATACTGCTTAAACAAACAAGTGTGATACTTCTTTAAGACTGTAATGCTTTTTTTTTTTTTTAAAGTTTCCTATCACTGCCTTTTAAAATTGCGGTGAATGGGCAGACTAATTATCCATCTTTTTGTAAGAGTGTCTCCAACACTGAATAGCAGCTGCAGTTGCTTTAAATCTCTAATTGTTTTGGCATTCATGTGTGTGCTCTCCCATCCAATTCCCTCAAAGTCTTCCCTGTGTGAGTAAAAGAGCTTCCTCTGTGTGGTGCACAGAAGAAAGAGGATTTTTTCTGTGGGATTGGAAGCTCTGGAGAATTCACAGTGATCAGCCAGAGTTTCTGGCAGCTCAAGACTCATGCTGAACTGATCAGCCAGAGGGGATTTGGGCAAAGAAAAGGAGACAAATTTAAAGATAGGAGCTGTTCAAATGAATTGTACCCTAACCCAACTCCAGCATGACATAGATACTAGCGTGGACAAAAGATAGCAAGATGTTCACACACACAAAGCGAGACAGTGTGAAACATCCCACATCTAGCCTACAGTATATAAATAGCAAATTCACAGTATTAGGAACTGCCTGGAAACACCCTCATTTAGCTTGACACTGACTCTAGGCTTTCCCAATTCTGTTCAGTAATGCACCCTTGCCATAATTTAAAAGAGTGGTGGTGGGGAGAACACCTGAAGCAAGCAGAAGAAGAAACTGGGTGCTAGCATGTCCTATTGTGTACAGTTTTATAAACATGTCTTCTCACCCCTTCCTGTGTAGTTCTCACCTGTCCCAAATGTCTGGATTGATGTAAAGGCAAGCTGATGAATTTAGCAGCCACCCATCAGATAGGGAGAACATAGAGAGGAATGTCACACTTTCAGTTTTTCCATCAGCACAAACATTTCAGCTCACGACATGGATCAATCCCTCCTCTCCTCTCTCCACATGCTGTTCTGGGGGTTTGTCTGATCTTCCCCAAGCCAGTTTGTGGGTGGGTGGGAGAGTGGAAAGCCCCATTGTTTGGGTTTATACTAGTAGGGCTCAAATTGTAATGATGAAAGTGTGCCATCCATTTTTTAAAGTTGTGGAATGATTCAACATTAATCAACCTTAGCCTTGAGCATTAGACTACATTGATTGTGAAAGTATTGTAAGATATAGTGTGAAGAGTTGGGCAACATTATTTTCTGTTAACATTGCAATTCAGAAGGATTTTTCTGTGAAAATAATACTATTTCTTGACACTAATTTTTATTTCAAAATGGCAGTTGTCTAGTAACTGTGTTGTAAACCGATTTACACTTAAACTTGAATGACTAATTCCTGAAGATGTATTAAGACCACATATCTAGATTTCAATTAAGGAAACAATGGCAAGGGCTCCAAGCATCACACAGCTGCTAGTATATGGAAGTGAGCTTTAGGCTTGCTTTTCTTAAGCAGCAGTCATCCGTTCCCCCCGTCGTCGTCCCCGCTCATCCATATTACATGCCATGAGACGATCTTCAAAACAGTTTGAGATACGGGCGTGTATATCAGATCTTTAAATTTAAGTTTGCAACATTCCAGGTATTTAATTCCTAGTTGTTGCTTTTTGTAGAGCAAAGCAGGTTTGGAAGCACAATTCTGTACTGTGCTTAAACTTACCTGCACATGCCTCTTTCCCCAGTTGCTTTTTCCTCACCTCATTCATGGGGTTTTAGAAACATCAGCAGTGCAAGGAGAGGGGTGGTTGCAGTGGGTGAAAAAGGTTTACTCTCTGTGCTTCTCTGCTGAAAATGGAATGTGCCGGAAGCTGCTTTATGCATCTCTGTGTTTAACATGTCATTTGGCCCTTATCATTAATGCTTTATAATCCAGAAATGTAATGGTGTACATTTCACACCCACCCATCGGCTCTTCTTGTTTCTTATTTTTAAAAAGAAAGAGGTATGTGAGTGTGGCTGATATCCAGTGATATCTGCCCACTTCTTCAGTGACAATCCACTTGTGCAAATGGGACTTCCTGTTTCTTTTCCCCTACAGTCCTGTGCATCCCCAAAATCTGTGACAGAGGGTCCCCCAACCCTCCAGGGCAGTTGGGGGCTGCAGGTGGGAGGGGAGAGAAAAGAGAAGTTCCTTTTCGTGAGCAGATGCCTTCACATGCTACATTGGCTCTTACCCTTTGACTATTACCAGAATGTGCCATTTATGGTGATGATCTGTCTGGGAACAAAACTCAATGTATCTGCTTGAAAATCTCTGCGTATAATCTGTTTTGGGAATGGAAAATAGAAGCAGCATAACTTGGGCAGAGCGCGGTAGAAGGATGCATGTGAGCAGGGGGAAGGCTAGGATAAAAATGTAATAAGAAAAATTATTCTTAAAATAAGAAGTGAAATGTTAAACACCACTTAGGTGCTTCATTCTCCTTCCTTTAAACATGTGCTAAAGTACAGAGATGAGTTTTAAAGCTATAGTCTCTGAGATAGAAATAGAAAAGGGTTCAAAAAAACCAAACCCACCCAACACCTTTTCCCTGGAGTGTTTTCCTGTGATGGCAAGAAGTTGGTGAGCAGGCTAATGTAGTTTCTGACTTCTTGAAATTTTGTGGGATCCAAGGTCAATGCAGCATTGCTAACACAGCCACTATTAAGCGGTTCTTATAAAGAAAGAAAAGCTTGTTGTTGATGACTGCATCTGGTAAGTAGTAACTATGATTGTTAATAAAGTAATATAAAAATATGCTAATACGTAATATAGCTATGTTATTGTTCATGAATGCTTTTTGTGTTTCAGGCGATCAGCTGTTTCCAGGTTGGAATCCACCTCACATTTAGGAATATGTGGAGCGCAACGAAACTGTGATCTTCAGTTTGAGAATCTGAATTGGAACATCAGAGTATAAAAACACAACAAACTGAAGAAATTCGTATATTACTGCTGTTAACAAATTAGCCTTGATAGACAGGAAATACTTTGCTTGTCATAATCTGACTTAAGTAAAAAATTGTTGTAAAAACAAAGGCTCCTGGTTTTTCTTTCATTTGTGTAGGACTAGAAGAATACATGCATTTTCATTTAATGTATGACTGATAAATCATGTTTTGAGTAAGCATGATAGCTAAAAGCATTTGGAAATAACAAAATTAGCAGAAGTAATGCTTGGTACCTATTTAGAAGTGTGCATGTTTGCGTAAGACTTCTCAAATATTTGATGAATACAATACAGACATTTAGTAGCAAATTTGCATAGGTCAACCCTTTAACAAATTAATGAGCACAGGAGGGCATCAGAGTTTTAGCATCAGAGTCTGACAAAGTCTAGGTTAAGGGGGGGGCATGTTGTACAGTGTTCCTGTCTGTGAAATGAGCTAACAGCTGGGCCAGAGGTTATCCCCAGAGGAAGATACAACTTAGGGAGCCAATCAGAAAAGACCCTCAAATTTTGAAGGGAAAAAGTCAGAGTAGATAAAAGGCTGTTGTCTGAATGGGCTAGCGGGGAAAGAAAGGAAGGAAGAAAAACTAAACTCGGTTGACCTGGACTTGGAGGAATTAGAAGCAATATATCTGTGTATGTTGCTTAGTCATAGCTTAATAAAACTTTACAATTAGTTTAACTTGCTTGATCTGTCATAGCTTGCTTTAGTTTGGGTTGACTCCAGAAATGCATGTCTTCAAATATGATAGTAGGATATCTGCTGGGGCTACACTATAAACCTTTTCACCACAGAATCCTCACAGATGATAAAACTGACTAATGGAACTTGAAGGGAGATGATGTCTGAACCAAATTATAGAGAACAAGTTTGGATTTGGATATCCATGGGGGGGGATACTGGTTTTGTTGCTAATTTAAATAGAATATTATTGGAGGCACTCGTGAATACCACTTGGGATGGAAATTACAAATCTATCTAGGGAGTGAGTAGGAAATTGAATCAAGAAAAACAAATTATATCTGCTAGGCACCTTTTTATCTTTGCTGTCATGGGACGTATGCAGATCTCCCGTAAATAGATGTTAAACACGCCCATCTTGGGAGCTTTTCTTAAAACGAGTCTCTTGCCTTTATTCCATGGAACTAATATTTGAAGGGCTGTCATATATGGTAAGACACAGTTTTGTACCATCAGATGTGACAGGACTCCCCCCCGCCTTACTATAGCCCTTCATGCACACACCCCATCTGCTCTGGCAGGTCTGCCAACCCACTGGAGTTTATATATATATATATATATATATATATATATATATATATATATAAAAGATATTATTACAATTTTCAAAATATTACAAAATGAAAAAGAAGAAAAATACAAAATAAAAGTAGTTAAAAACAACTCAATCTTTCCATTACTTATCTTTCATTTGCTTGTTTCCCGGACCTCCTCGCGCCTCCCTTTTTTGTATTCCAATTCAGTTTGTTAGTTCAGCAAATCCTTCCCCTCTTTGTTTATCCTAGTCTTTAATCTTAAAATATTGTAACATTAAATTTTTACCTATTAATAATCCATTTTTCATATTCCCTTATAATATTACAGCTAGAAACCACTTAATTTCTATCCAACATCATTCTAACATTCATTAATTTTGCAATATTTCTGTAAATAGTCTTTAAACTTTTTCCAATCTTCTTCCACCGACTCTTCTCCCTGGTCTCGGATTCTGCCAGTCATTTCCGCCAATTCCATGTAGTCCATCACCTTCATCTGCCATTCTTCCAGGGTGGGTAGGTATTGTGTCTTCCAGTACTTTGCAATAGGTATTCTTGCTGCTGTTGTGGTATACATAAAGAAAGTTCTATCCTTCTTTGGCACCAATTGGCCGACTATGCCCAGGAGAAAGGCCTCTGGTTTCTTCAGGAAGGTATATTTAAATACCTTTTTCATTTCATTATATATCATCTCCCAGAAAGCCTTAATCCTTGGGCACGTCCACCAAAGGTGAAAGAATGTACCTTCAGTTTCTTTACATTTCCAACATTTATTATCGGGCAAATGATAGATTTTTGCAAGCTTGACTGGTGTCATATACCACCTGTATATCATTTTCATAATATTCTGTCTTAAAGCATTACATGCCGTAAACTTCATACCTGTGGTCCATAACTGTTCCCAGTCAGCCATCATAATGTTATGTCCAACATCTTGTGCCCATTTAATCATAGCAGATTTCACAGTTTCATCCTGAGTATTCCATTTCAACAGCAAGTTATACATCCTTGACAAAATCTTAGTTTTGGGATCTTAACAGTTCTGTTTCCAATTTTGATTTTTCCACCTGGAATCCAATTTTTTTGTCCAAATTGTATGCCTCCATTATTTGATAATAATGAAGCCAATCTCGCACTTTGTTTTTTAATTTTTCAAAACTCTGCAATTTCAATTTGTCTCCCTCTTGTTCCAAAATTTCCCAATATTTCGGCCATTTGGCCTCCATATTGAGCTTTTTCTGAGCCTTCGCTTCCATCGGTGACAACCACCTTGGGGTTTTATTTTCAAATAAATCCTTATATCTTATCCAGACATTAAACAATGCTTTCCTGACAATATGGTTTTTAAATGCTTTATGTGCTTTGACCTTATCATACCATAAATATGCATGCCATCCAAATACATTATTAAAACCTTCTAAATCCAAGATGTCTGTGTTTTCAAGAAGCAGCCATTCTTTCAACCAGCAAAAGGCTGCTGATTCATAATAAAGTTTAAGGTCTGGCAGGGCAAATCCGCCTCTTTCCTTTGCATCCGTTAATATTTTAAATTTTATTCTAGGCTTCTTGCCCTGCCAGACAAATCTAGAGATGTCTCTCTGCCACTTCTTGAAACAATCCATCTTATCCAAAATTTGCAATGTTTGAAACAAAAATAGCATTCTAGGCAATACATTCATTTTTATCGCAGCAATACGGCCTAGCAGTGAAAGCTTCAAATTTGACCAAATTTCTAAGTCTTTTTTCACTTCCGTCCAACATTTTTCATAATTGTCTTTAAATAAGTTCCCATTTTTAGCTGTCATATTAATCCCAAGGTATTTCACTTTCTTAACCACTGTTAAACCTGTCTCATTCTGAAACCTCTCTCTTTCAATCGCTGTTAAATTTTTCTCTAAAACCTTTGTTTTTAACTTATTCAGTTTAAATCCTGCAACTTGACCGAATTCTTGAATCAGTTCCAAAACTCTTTTAGTACTAGATTCTGGCTCCTGTAATGTCAATACTAAATCGTCTGCAAAAGCTCTCAATTTATACTGTCTAGCTCCGACTTGTATACCTTTAACCAACTGGTCCCTTCTAATCATATTCAACAAAACCTCCAGGACTGATATACAAAGCAATGGGGAAATTGGGCAACCTTGTCGTGTCCCTTTTTCTATCTTAAATTCCTCCGTCACCTCATTGTTAACAATTAACTTGGCCTTTTGTTCAGAATAAATTGCACCTATACCATTTCCAAATCCTTCACCCACCCCCATCCCCTGTAAGTTCTTCTTCATAAAACTCCAAGAAATATTATCAAAAGCTTTCTCCGCGTCCACAAATATCAAAACTGCCTTAGTGTTGATATTCACTTCTAGTTTTTCCAAAATATTAATTATATTCCTCAAATTGTCAGACAAGTGTCTACCCGGGAGAAAGCCTGCTTGGTCCTTATGAATCTCTTCCATCAACACTTTTTTCAATCTTTTGGCCAAAATATCTGCAAAAATTTTGTAATCCACATTAAGTAATGATATGGGGCGGTAGTTCTTAAGCTGAGTCTTTTCAGTCTCTGTTTTCGGTATAAGTGTAATGTACGCTTCTTTCCACGACTCTGGTGCCCTTTTCCCTTCCAATATTTCATTACAGACTTCCTTCAAAGGTTGTACTAACCATTCTTTTAAGGATCTATAATATCTAGAAGTCAGTCCATCTGGTCCTGGGGATTTGCCTAATTGCATGTTTTGAATGGCACCTTCTACTTCCTGTTCAGATATTTTATAGTTCAACATTAATTTACTTTCTTGAGAGATTTTTTGTAATCCATTTATCTTCAAAAATCGATCTATATCAATTTCTTTCTGTGGCCCTTGTGTATATAATTGTTTAAAGTACCTCTGGAAACAGTTTCTGATCTCGGCTGGGTTCTGTATGTTCTTTCCTTCCACTTCTAAATTTATAATAGTATTTAATTTTTGTCTTTTTTCATTTGCCAAGCCAACAATTTCCCACATTTATTAGCTGATTCAAATGTTTTTGTCTCATTTGTTTAATTTTCCATTCTATTTCCTGATTCATCATTTTCATATATTGTACTTGATATAACTTTATTTCTCTCAAAATCTCCTGCGACTTTGGTTTTGCTCTCAATTTCTTCTCACTTTCTTTTATTTTCTCCAAAATTTTGTCTTTCTTCTCATTTTGGCTTCTCTTCTTTATTGCATTCTGTTGTATCAGGAACCCTCTCATAACCGCTTTGCTTGCGTCCCAGATTACTCTTTTTCAACATTAGTGTTCATATTTATCTCAAAATAGTCTCTCAAAGTTTTTGGGCCTTCTTGATCACATCTTCATCTCTAAATAAGGTGTCATTCATCCTCCATCTGAAAGAGCCAGTTGATATTAGTTTCATCTCCATCCTTACAGCATTATGGTCGGAGCAGGTTTTTGGACAAATTTCCGCTTTCTTTATCTTTGGTGCCATTCCTCTAGTTACCCATATTTGATCGATTCTAGAATCGCCCACTGGAGTTTATAACAGAACTCTGGAGTGATCATTCCTTTGTGTTTTGTCAAAAGAAGGTGCCGGTTTTGTTGCTTTCTGTTTTTCGGTAAAGAGCAATGTGTTAGTGCCAGAAGCATTTCCTGTATTGTAAAATGGTGCTAGATATGTGTCCGTCACCTTTTCATCATAATTGTATCGATGACAGGTTAAAAGTGTAGAGAGGCAGGTATTTTACTTTCTTCTAGTCACCCTTTGAAGGAACCGACTGTTCTGATTACAGGGTATTTCTTCCGTTTTAATAAACTTGAGTATCACCTATCAGCTGAACATTAAATCCCCTTATGTAGGCCATCACAAGTTTTCAGTTCTTAATATTTCATAAGTTGAGTCTAATTGGCAAAGTGTCACCTGTTTGCTTTCATCATAAGACGAGCACTGCTGAGAATCTCTTGAGATGTAACCTACCTTTTCTGACAAAGCTTTTAAAGGGAGACGTGTTTTAAGATATTGCTTAAGCCTTGTGTTCAGCCTGCAAGTCAAGCATCTAGCTTGCCAATGAAATAAATATGCATCCGAGTCTTAAGATGCATGTATGGAAAAAGTAATTATTATTTTTTAAGCCCTAAGACTTTCTGCACTACCACACACCATTTAGGATCAGGTAAGGGGTAATAATAATAATAATAATTTTTATTATTTATACCCCACCCATCTGACTGGGTTTCCTCAGCCACTCTGAGCAACTCCCAACAGAGGACTAAAAACAGAATAAAATATCAAATATTAAAAACTCCCCTAAACAGGCCTTCTTTCGGATGTCTTCTAAAAGTCAGATAGTTGTTTATTCCTTTGACATCTGATGGAAGGGCATTCCACAGGGCAGGTGCCACTACTGAGAAGGCCCTCTGCCTGGTTCCCTGTAACCTCACTTCTCAGCACTGGACCTCATATCATATGACTGGGTAGCAGTCATATCAGCACAACATAGCTCAGTCAGGGTTGTGGGTTCAAGGTGAAAGATTCCTGCAGGGGTTGGAGTAGATGACCCTCATGGACCTTTCCAACTCCAAAAATCTCTACTAAAACATGCTGTTACATGTCTGTGCCACAGTGACATGGCAGGCAAACTAGACAAGCAGTGGCTTCTTTAGGATCAGAGTGTAAATGTCTTTACCATTAAAATTGCTTTAAGTCCAGCCTGTATTTGTAGCATATGGCTAAAACTTAGTTTGATCATCTCCATTTTCTCTTAACACGCACATGTATAACCTTTATTAAAGGCAATACCATTTTGCCTCTTCTTCGTAGAGTTAACTTGAGATTTTTGCTCTGTCAGCTTATAGCAGTACAGAATTGATGTATCTGAAATGCAAGTCACCTTTTCCTTGTTTGTTTTCATTCATTTCCAACATTTCAGGTGTTTAAATCAGCCACATGACTTTCCCCAATAAAGTCCCTCTTCAGGTTTGTTTGTTTTTTGTTACGTTTGGCATGTAAATTCTCCTTTCTCTTTTTAATTTTAATAGGGACACCTTGTGATTGGTGGTAAAGAAGTGACTCTGGAATACAGCCAGTCACCTGAATTCTGGCACTGCAGGCGTGTGAGTATATGGAAAGAGAACTGCAAGTTATCTCAGAAAGAGAATTGAGAATTAGACCACAGATACAGTGTGTTGAATGCTATCCTGTTGGTGTGCTACTTTCTGGGGGAGAGATCTCCAGCTGCTAAGAATGTTGTGGGTATATGTGTACCATCCCTCTGCTGAGAAAATAAATGTGATTTTTTGGGATGTGGAATCTTCCTAAGCCCACATGGGATGGTGCTGCCAGGGTTTCCCCATTGGCAGGGGAGGGAATGTGCACAAAGCTAGATGCTTTCTGAATTGAGAATTCTTCCTCGAATTAAATGAGGCTTTTGTGAATTGGTGTCTAGTATAAAAATCCCAGAGGTATTTCCCCCGTTTATTTGTTTTATTTATGTGTTTATTTCATAAAATTTATACACCGCTTGACTGTAAGAAGAAGAAAAACAACAACCCCTCAAAGTGGTTTACAACTTTGGTAAACAGTAAAATAAAAAATTATAACCCTACTTTAAAACATACGAAAGTTGAAGTCCTAAAACAGATTAAAATTACCTCAACTTCCTAAGCATCTGGGTAGGCTTATCTAAACAGCAGTGTTTTCAGTATGTGCAAAAAAGAGAGAATACAGTGAAGGCGCCTGCTTGATCTCAATAGGCAGGGAGTTCCAAAGTGTAGGAGTTGCCATACTAAATGATCAAGTTCTTACAAATGCAGAATGGGCATTATTTGGCACCTGCAGTACTTTAAAAACAGACATTAAAAGTAAGGAACCTGCACTACTGCAAAATGTTTTGTAATATATAGGGCTGCTGTAAACAATGAAGATAATAAGCTTCCCAGGTAGCTTGATCAAGAGCAGGTTTCATTACAAGCAAATTCCAATGAAGTACATAAGACTTGGATATTGCCAATGAGGAGCGATGTTAATCAATAGCTTTGAGATTTTGTTCCATTAAACTCAAGACCTCTTAATGACACAGGCTCTGGTGCCGCTTGCCTAAGGCCTAAACCACACTATGAGCAGATGCATGGGAGCTGCCTGCTTGGGGGGCGGGGGAAACATAATGTGTCATTCTGTAAGTATCCTTCCTCTCCCTCCCTCCCCCATCCGCCCCAATTCATTTAGCTGCCACTTTCAAGGGTTGGGTAAACAGTAGCATGACAAAACATCATGCTTTTTATCTGCACAGTACCATGGAGATTGGGGCAGATGGGGAAGAAGAACCTCATCAGTCTAGGAGAAGGAAAACTCTGATCTCAAACCTCTGCTCTTGCGGGATATCTTTGGGACAAGAAAAGGCTCAGGAGTGAACCCTACACAAATCCGGAGTGGAGCCCTAAGACGGTCGGATGGCGCCTTGTATGCCTCCTTCCGGGAACTCCTGCAGCCAAGCTGGTGCCAAACATATTGCTCTGCTTCCCTTTGGACCACATCAGCGAGGTCTTGTCATCGGGGCAGCCCAGGACCACCATATGTATTGCCTAATGCAGTGGTTTCACTTCATCCCTAGAGGCGCACTCCATTGTCTCTCAAAACAGACAGATGCCAACAATCCTGGAGATGTAGGTGGTAGCACACACACACATTTTGATGCAACATTCAGAGCAATGGCATTTGTATAAGAGCTACAAAGTATATTGGATGGAGAAAAACATTTTAAGTGTCTTTCCCTCATGCTGTGCCTGTTTCATTGCAGTGTAAAGTGTCCACAGTAGGGTATCGTTCATCCTGCTATTACTGCAGACTCCCAAGAGATGGTGAGCCTACTTTTGTTTAATTGACATTTAAATAAACAAATAGTAGTGTGAATTCTAAGTGAATAAAAAACTGAGATGCATGTGGCCCTCCAGATGTTGTAGACCGCCACTCCCATTGGTACCAACAACATCTGGAGGGCTGTAGGTTCCTCAACTATGATGTGCTAGCAAATATTGCCAGCGTTATTTGTAGAGTTAATGTGTTCCTTTCTGCAGATGGTTAACTTAAAACTAGTCAAGCACTCTCCTTGACAGAGAGATTGGTCCGGGCTTGGAACAGTCTTTAAGTTTGTATGAGTTGCTATACTTTTTTTTTTTTTTTTTTTGCTTGAAAGTGCAGTGTTTCATCCAAAGACACTCTCTTCAGTAATGCTGTGTTGGTAAGCTGGCACTACCAAAGAGAGAGGAAGGGAAGAAATTACCTCCCAAGCTGTTAAAGGCTAATGATGGAGACTTAGAGGAACAAGTGGTGCTACTCATGTTTATGCTGATCCTTGTATCTGGTTTGTTAGTGTGATCCTGCCTATCACTGGTGTAAATCACTAACAAGTCTATAATATGTAGACGGCTAAGCTGAAAACAGTTTTCGCTAGTACATATAAGGGACTAAAAGAACAGTTTTAATACAGTGGTTACTGCAGACAGGGCTTCACTTGTTTTACTTTTTGCTAGTAACAGAAGAAAAGGTTGAAAAGGGGGAGGAAGAGTTATCTGAGGAACCAACACCAGAGGAAGAACCTCCTAAGGACCCTGCTCCTCCACAGGAACCTTCTCCTCAGAAACCTACTTCTGAGCAGAGAAGTCAACCTCAGGAACCTGAACCCAAGAAGGATGAAAGTAGGGAACAATGGCCTTCACAAGAAAAGAAAAGGGACTCTGAATTGTACCCACCTCGAAGGGAGAACCAAGAACATGGTTCAAGAAGAGAATCCATGGAAACCAAACATCAGGAGGATGAGAGTAAAAGTAAGTAGATTATACTTGCAACCATTTGGTCTCACTGACTGAGTTCATAATGGACACTTGGACTTGAGTAACTTGCAAAAAGAGGCTTGAATTGAAGCTTGCAGTTTAGAATTCTCTTTGTGTTCTGCAGCATTATTGGTTTTAACACTGAGTAGTCTTCAAGTCAGCTGAGCCTAATACCAGGAGCTTTTGACACAGGATGACAGAAAAGTTGATGTACATTTCTCCTCCTGAAGTAATATTTCACTTTCTCCTTGTAACTTTGTAACAGCAATTATGCTAAAACGCATCCCTCGCTTCACTCCACCGGAAGTGATTGTAGGACTTCTGGCACCCTACGTCCGCTTGTCTACTTCAAGTGTGCGTGTCATGAAGAACAAAGCCGGTCGGATGGGCTACACCTATGGCTTCATTGAACTGGACTCTCATGCTGTATGTTGTCATTCACCACCCACCACTGCACAGTATAGTATTGACAGTTCTATGGTAGACATACCCTTGTGCAAACAGTGTCACCTGTCCTGTAGGGCGCCCCCCCCCCTCATGTGCTTCACGGGGAAGGAGAGGAAGAACAATTCTGTAAAATCTGGAGCAACACTGGATGTTTTCCTGTGCCTTTATCTTCTTATGTGACTGAGCCCCCTTCTGGCTTGTGTTTTTGTGTATAATGTTTAGTTCCAATACTGGAACTTCTTCTTCTGCCTTCTCTATACAAGGCTAGCCAGCAGTGGTTGATAGTTAATGCATTAAGAGGATGCTCTTCCTCCTGATGTGGCCATGAAGCTTCCACTTTATAGTTTATTAAGCACAGCTCAATGTTGTCTGCAAACACAAAACTGTGGTTAACCTTAACTATGGTTTACAAAAACAAGCCAGCTTCGTAAACCATAGTTTGAAGCTGACTTGCTTTAGAAAACCATGGTAGAGAGTACCTATTTTGTTTGATTTCACCTGTAATCCTGAGCTATAGTTAGTCAAGCTTCTGAACTCCTTGTGGCTATGTGTCATAGTCTGGGTTTGAGCTTTTTCTTCAGGGCATAAAGGCCGGGCCAAGAGAAAGAGTATGCCTCGGATCAACTGGTGTCAGAGGGAACTGGTGACCAAGAGGAGGAAAGTGAAAGCTCCTTTGGGGACCGGTGGGACTCACTTGGACTTAGAGCCGCTAGAGGAACTTAATGGGTGGGGGTATAAATAATAAAATTATTATTATTGTGACAACTTATTTCTGGCTTAGTGGCTCAAACTTGTCTCCCCCGCCCCCACGCCCAACTGGATTCTTGTCTCCACAGGAAGCAGTCCGCATAGTGAAGGTTTTACAAGATCTGGATCCCCCAATCAGCATAGATGGCCGTGCTGTGGATGTAAACCTAGCCACCGGAAAGAGGAGGTAATAGAAACCTCACTAAAAATACATAATTATGACTCTGTGTTATCAACATATGCTTTTATACCAGGCACCGAAACATTCAGATTGATGCTTGATTATACATTTGAGGGAAGTTTTGCAGAGGATGTTTTTTTTACAAAAAACAAAACAAAACAGTAGTGTTATGACTATATGCAGTTGAATCTCCTTGTTAAGGTGGCTGTGCTGTTGAACTCAGCTCAAAGTTCCTTTGCAACAATGTGGTGATATCACATCTAAGCCATTTGGAAGGTAGTCATAGTGAACATAAGCAACAGCTGACTGAGCTACAAAGCCAAGCTTCTTGTTGACCAAATTGCCCACTGAAACTAGTAACGTTAGAGTGAAGCAAAAGTAACACTTGCCATGCATGTAGCATCTTCAGAAAACTTAAATTGGTATTAATTCAGATGGTCTCTTTCTGTTGCTAGAAACGAATATGGAGACCATGGTGATGTTCCACGCTATAGCCAGGTATGCTTGTAGTACAATCTGTGATGGCACTCTGAGGGAATTGACTCCTGCCTCAGCTATATGGACACTGAGGGATTGAAGAGTTTGATATATGAGTGTTTGCTGGTATTCTTAACTGTTCTATAGAAGTTGCCACTAGGGAAATTACCTGTATTTTCCAGTATTGGTTCAGATTACTGCCCTTCCAATCTTCCTCCATGATGAGCAGGAGAAAGTCATCTCTTCTGTAGGCATTTCGGTAATGCACATCTGATCTGACTTAGCGTGTTTTGATGTCAATAGAGGACCACATACTGACTTTCCTGAGTTGCACATTTAGGTCAGAGAAGCATACACCAGTACCTTTTATTGCATGACAACCCAATACATGCAGATTAGTCTGGAGTACTTTGAATTGTGAGGAAATGTCCACCAGATGTTCTGCTTTCTTGGTTTGTGTTTTTAAATGCCTTTTCTGTATTAGGGCAAACGGGGCACAGGTGACAGGAGAGGCGCTGACTCACAGAAGCGAAGATCAGAGTGTAAGACTCAACTTCATTTTCTTGTTACTGTGTTCTTCTGGTCACTTTCTACTTGTGAAAGCTCAGTGTCCTTATTCCATTTTTAAAAAATGTTCCTTATAGGGTTATATCCAGCAAAGCACTGCTGTGAATGTTCCATCAGCATACAGATTTCTACTTGTGCAACAAAACATTCTTCCCTCCTCTTCCCCCTGTGCACCCCCTAAATCTATTCTAGGGGTTTCCCCAGCCCTCTGGAACAGATTTGGGGAGGGTGCAGGAGGAAGTCTAGTTGTGCAAATGGAAATCCTTGTGCTGACAAGACGTTTTGGTTGAATTCTGCCCATAGAATTGTTGACATTTTCAATAACAATTATAAGTTTTTGCAAATGCACTTTTCAAAGCTGAGTATGCTTTGAAACAAAACAAAACGTTTACACCAGCCTTAAATTTCCTGTTTTTGGATTTTGTATTGGACATCGGAGATTTTTCAATAGAAATAAGTGTTGATCCTATGTTTGACTTTCATTCTGACTGCAAAATCTTGCAAGAACTTTTTCTTACTTGAAAAAGTCAGCCAAATTGAGTGTAGAATCGTAAGGCTTCCCTGCGCTAAATGTGGCTTGCCTGTGAGCCATATCTGGTTTACCAAGTCATAGGAAGTAAGACATTGGTCCCCACAACTTTTATCTCCTGATGGGATCAGGAGATCAAGCTATCTATCCTTTAGAGAGCGATTGGGAGACAGAATCCCTCTGCTTGTTCTTTAGAGATCTACTCCAAAAGGTAGCTAAAGGAATCTTTTGTCTCTGATCTCAGCACTATGTACCAAAGCACTGATATTGAAGATTAAGCCTAGTCTTTAAGATGAAAAGCCAGTATTTCCCCTCTCCTTTAGCACTGGAGTGGGGAGTGCTGCGAGTACTGGTTTTGTGTATGTGGGTCTGCTTGTGTTTGTATATGAGAGGGTACATGTTTCAGTGTTTAATTGCATTTGTGTTTGTGTGACAGTGTGTGTATGTGTGTGACTGAGCTCTGTGAAACTGCTGAGTGGCTCTTGGAGGTATGACTGAATGTCTTTGGCTGAAAAGTTAGTTGTCCCTGCCCTATATAATTACCAGCTTAGAAAGGGTATTTGGAGTGATACCAAATGCAAACACTAATTTCTTACATGCACCCCAAGATCTGGCTTGGTTATAATTTGACTGGTTCTTTTCTGTTGGATTGACACTTATTGGAGGCCTCAGGAAATTATCAAGCAAAAAAGTGACACCTTCTCACTCCTTGGAGAGAATTACATTGAAGCACAACGTGTAGAGATATGTAGTGCTAGTCACCTTGTCCTTATTTAATTTTTGGTTGAAATTTCATCATCTCATCTCTGAGCAGGATAATTTCTACCCAAGCATTACCTCATTCTTTCAGGGCTGGCCTTACCATAAGGCAGAGTTTCAGGGTATCCTTAAGCAACAGCAGTTATTTAGTGTAATATATATTTATTATCCTGGCAACCCTTTTGGAATCGTCCCCCTCAAACACCAGAATGTCTTGGGCCATCTCTGTTTTTATTTAAATAATGTTTGACACCTTCAGAAATATATGATGTTTGTATTTACTTCTTTTTGCCCCTCAGCTTCCTCTGATGTGTCCACATTCATTTATGATCCAGACACTGGAAACTATTTTGACCCCATTACAGGGGTATACTATGATCCCAATACTCAGGTGAGGGCATGTGCATTTGTGTGCTCACTTTGCCATTTCAGTGCCAGGAAAAAATATTCTCTAAACATGTGCCAAATATCTCCTTCCAGAGAGATGTTCCAATGGGTCGAGAAGCATCTTCATCCCCACCACCGCATACTGGGAGGAGGCGCAGGAGCCAGGATAGGGATAGGGCAAGTGAACGAGATGAGCCATCCAGTAGAGATAACCGAGAGAGAAGAGAGAGACACAGAAACAAGTCGGCCAAGGTAAAATATCTGCGCCATCATCATTCTTATGAACTGTACAAATTGGCATGGTCCAAAGATTAATGCTGCCATAGTCAAAGCTTGCTTTTGCAGCTAGGCAAGTCTAGGAATTTGCAAAATATGCAATAGATAGGGTTTAGCTTAACCTGTAGATAATCCAATTTCCTTTTAAACTCATAATCCTTTTAAGGCACCCAGCTTCTTCATGAGCACAAAAGCTCATTTGATCATAAAAACAAGCAGATCAAACACTCTTTCAAAGGCGGGCACGGGTTTGTGGATCCAGAAACCAAGTGCCATTAAACCTAAGTGTGTATTTTAAAAGATGCAAGCAAAGTAACTAAAATATAAAAATAATTATTTGTAGAAAATACTGTGATTCACTGGACTGTTGAGATGGTACACTGCAGATCAGACCACTTGAGTGTAGACAACATTTTAAAAATACATACATACAATCCTACTTAGTCCCTGAAGTTGCCAAGAGAGCAAAACCCAGTTCACATCCAGAACTGAGAGTTCCAAGAGAGGTGTTAGTAAGCCCATAAATGGGCACAAATAGTTCAGTATAACTGTCAATATTATTTTCTTCTTTTGAGATAAAAGTTCTGAGAGTGACAAAGGACTGTAATTTGATTTACAGGCTGCTTCCTCAAACTGCTCAAGCTTCCAGTTTTCCTGTGACTCATCCTGAACAAATAGGAGAATTTTCCAGTAGTAAACTGGATATCTAAAATACCAAGTTTCCATTTACAATCTGGTCTGATACTTGTGGTGTAATCTCCAGAGAATCTTACGTGCTAAGAGTTACCCAGTAAATGAGTGCATTGCACTTGCCCTTGTTTAAAAGTTAGTTTGACTTGATCTGAACAGGGAGGGAAGAGCAACATTAATTGAATTCAAGAACAGGAGCTGAAAGCATATTTTCAACATCTCATACAGCCAGTAGCAGATTTCAACACTTGGCATACGTGTTCCTCCTTACAGCTTTGATGCACTGTTTGCTAAGTATCTACCAGCTACACAATCCCCTTTGAACACCCCTCTGACTCTCAGCCAGTTTGTCATTCTTAGATGCCAAAGGGTATAACTGAGGATAGCAAAAGTGAGAGAGACAAGAAACCATGTATCTCCTTTATGCTTGTTGCTGTAAAGGAAGTAAAGGTACTAGTAAGAAAAATGGTTGGAGGCAGGCAGTGGGGAAGCCGAGCTGGCAATAAGTTTTAACTCCCAGTCTTAATGTTTCAGAATGAGAATCCAGAAGAAAAACTTCCTGCAGAAGATGTCTTTAAAAAACCACTACCTCCAACACTGAAAAAAGAAGAGAGCACACCCCCAGTAAGGACTTTACTTGGCATTTGTCATCTGGAACATTTAATTATTATTTATTGATCTTATCAAGTATGAGGCTTACTGTCCTGCTGAAATTTGTCTGGTGCATGTTGTAGTAAGCTAGTCAGTAACAATTCTTAGCGTTGTAGCAGGGAGTGTCCTGTCCCCCTCTTTCTTGCAGCAACACTGAATGGACTGCTGTGTGGTTAGGGGGCCTCTTGGACTGTATCCCTAAACCTACTTTCAAGTGGGAGCCATTGAACTTAGTGAAACTTACTTCTGAATAAACTTGCATGCATAGGATTGTGTTGTCAGTGTTTCTCTTGATGGGCTAAGTTGTTTAGATTTCATTTCCTCTTCATATCAGTTTTTTTAAATTGATTGAAAATGAGGAGAAATTGTAACAGATTTCAAATTGTCCGTGTAATGTGCATCAAAAAAAGCAACATGTCAATAGGAGCACCATGTGCAAGACAGAAGAGGCAGCAGTGCTGACTTAGATTTGGTCTACACATGCAACAGAATGTTGCATTCAACTTGTGAGCTAGTTGAATGGCCTGTACCGTTTCAGTCTCTTGTTTCAATCAGGGATTGAGTCAAAGTCAAATTTAAGAAACAATAGTACCAGTTCCCAATTATCTTTATTTTGCATGCAGGCACTCCTTCCGTTTGCCTTCTTACATTTTGGCTATCAGTTTCCCCCCTAGTGAGTTCATGGTAGAGGCGAGATTCAAACCAGGGATTTCCCTGATTGTAGCTTAGTCACTTAGCAACTGTACTAGACCAGTAATACATCAGTTAAGGCATCTAAGACCTCAGATCCACTGAATTGGCTTTGGTTTGCATATGGTTCTCATTCTGCCCCCCCCCCCCCACTCCCGCCCCTTCAGCCAAAGGTGGTGAATCCTCTGATAGGACTCCTAGGAGAATATGGTGGAGACAGTGACAATGAGGAGGAGGAGGAAGAAGAAGAGGAACCACAGCCACAGCCTCCACGGCCACCAGTGCAACAGGAGGAACGGCCACAGAAGCTTGAAAATGATGAAGAAAAGCTGACTGACTGGAATAAGTTAGCATGTTTACTTTGCCGGAGACAGTTTCCAAATAAAGAAGTCCTGATCAAGCATCAACAACTTTCCAATCTTCACAAAGTAAGGAAAAAAGCAACCCATTCAGGAGAATCTGCTATTCATGCTTTATCTTGCATTTAACAAAAATTCTCCATATTTCACAAGCGCCTCTCAAAGATGTAATTTTTCCTGATTTCTCTTTCCTTCCTGTATTGTGTCCTGCTTGAATTCACTCCTTTCTCTTTTCAGTGCTGTGATCTGCTGGTTTTATGCCTGCTTTTGAAAACAGCTTCAAATCCTGGTTTCAGATTGTGTTAACCACAAGGCAGGTGTAGCATTAAACCATGGTTCATACTGAAAAGGAACGGAGGAAAGAGGATGGTACATGTGAGCTTGTGGGAGATATCAGGAAGTGTTAGATGATCATTATGATCCCGTTTTCTCTTTCCCAAAAATTAGCTCAATGCTAACCTTTCCAATCCCCTTGTCAGCAGAAATAAAAATCAGAACAACTGTCAGAAATCAACAACAGTGTTAGATTAGCCAAAGGCTTCCTAAAAATCCCAGGTTATACCTGAAAGGGAACAGTCATTGGCTGCTGAGTTTCTCTGGGGAGGGCATTCCACCAAGTTGGTGCCCAAGCTTCATTTGGCAATGACACCCGAAACAAGGCCTCAGGTGGCCATTTTTAAGAGAACGAAAAGCTGTCTTTTTAGGAACAGCAATACATGGAATGGATATGAATAAATTTAATTTCTTTGCTTTCATTTTGTACTCTTGGGTATATTTATTTTGTAGTAATATGTACTCAGCTGTTGGAATACAGTATAGCACTTCGTTTTATTTTCAAATGTTTGCCCATACATCCTACTATCTCACAAAACCTAAGAAATGGCTAAACATTTTACATGGCTGGAATAAATATTTTTCATTGCATGAAGTGAGACAATTCAAAAGCTATTCATCCATTTTGCTTCTTACAGCAAAACCTAGAAATTCATCGTAAAATAAAACAATCGGAACAAGAGCTTGCGTATTTGGAGAGGCGAGAACGTGAGGTAATTACATCTGCTGTGTATGGTCCTGTGCAGCTGTGGCTCTGCATAAACAAAACACTAATTCCCTGTGTGCCCCACCAATGCTTACTTGGGTGTGTGTGTGTGTGTGTGTGTGTGTGCGCGCACACACACACACACACACATACACACAGTGCAGCAGGTATCTAGATTCCAGGTCCTGAAAGTGAATTAAACAATCATCCATCATCTACCCAATTTTTTGTCATGCCGTGACAGCCTTAAGCAGCACCATCAGTTGATATTGAGAACTTTCCTTTGTGTGACCTCTGTGCCTCCCTGAGATTTCCCTTGCCATCCGGAGAGTGCTATTGTTTACCTTGTTTTTCTGGGTGCCATTAGTCTACCTGCTTTTTGGAAATAAAGTCAAGTGCCAATAAAGGCTCCAAGCGGGAAAGAATTAAGCAACCTGATCGTGTAGGAACATGGTTTGTTATAAACACCCAGCCCTGGAGACTCTTCTCTTAGCTGTGCAGAGAGACTGCACTGGCTCTCGTCTTGCCTTGATAGGGAGAGAGACAAAATGGATCTGTCAGAAGATGTAGACTCTGAGTGTTAAATTTATGCCCACAGAAAAGTCTTGCTTTCAGTGTGCAGCAGTGTTCTTGGATCTGAATGTCAGGCCCCTCTCTGCCTTAATGCTAGCACTTCATTCCACACTTCCAAAGAAAATTAAACACCCTGAAAGATAACCAAATGGTTTCAATTTTATGGAGATGCAAGATCAAAGTGGTACTTTGATATTACATTGATAATACAAAGTTAATAAGATGGGTAGGCTCTTGTAGATGCTTGTTTGGAAATGTCTGGAAAATAAAGCAAGATGCTCTGTTGCAGTGCTGAGGGACTACTGGGGAATTTTTCTCCACTCCTTAGGTTAGTTGCACAAATGTATAATTTTTAGTGAATGAATGCATTTTGGGAGGGGAAATCTGCGATGCCATCTTCACTAACTCTGCCTTTTAATATAAAGGGAAGGTTTAAAGAAAAAGGAGGTGACAGAAGAGAGAGATTTGAGGAACGGAACTCTCCAGAGAGAAAACGACCGAAGAATTTCAGGAATTCTGAAAGGTATTGGGACATTCTTAACTCAAAGTTGTTTTTGCCAGCTTATTCCGTAACAGTGAAACAGGCTGCTTTGCAAGGTGTGATCTCTTTTGGTTAGATGCTCAATGACTATCTTACAGGGATGCTGTAGTAATGGCTTTGCTGCATTGACAGATGGTGGTGATGGTGGGAACTGAAGTGCCTCCCAACTCTTTCAGTTGTATCCAGCTAAGTTCTATTCAGAATAGATCTATTAAAATTAATGCACCCTGGCCTAGATGCTCATTCTTTAGGCAGCTAACAGCCCGGCTCCTAAAGTTTCTTTGCATCTATAAAACACACTATTGCTTATACAATAATTTCTATAGCAGATATGCTCCTCAAAGTTTATTCATGCCAGCATGCTTACATTTGTTTGCAGTGACTATAAGCCCACAGATAGAGGAAGACTGGAGAGCAATAACAAAGGAAGCCGTATGATGCAGGCTATGGGCTGGAAGGAAGGTTCAGGTCTGGGTCGCAATGAACAGGGCATGACGTCACCAGTGGAGGTAAAATTCTTGTGTTTGCAAAGGCAACTGTTTTGAATTATTGCATCTTACGAGCATGAACAGTATCCTTGCAATATCTCTGCATATTGGCATCTGAAGTGCTATTAGTGGAAGTGAGGCAAAGGGTCTTCTTGGTTTCAGCACCCAGGATATGGAATATCCTGCCCTGGGAAGTCAATCTGTCCTCCTTATTAGCAGTCTTCACATGAAAACATTGCTGTTCTAGTTATATTTTTTGTTTAACTCCTGTTACTTTAGCTGTCTTGAGCACTTAACTGAAGTGGAAAGTGAGGAGTATGATTTTTTTAATGTGGTTGGCAATACTGGAGCAAGGTGGGTTGTGGTGCTGAAGGTGGGATTCAGAAAAGGATCCCCAAGAATGGAGGTGGCATAGCATGGCCACTTAAAGGACCAAACACTCAATGTCCTTATTCAAAGCATTTTTTAGGCAAAGCTAGCTGGTATTAAATTATGTATTCCCTGTACATTATTCTTACTCAAAGCAATATTGTTAAGCTAGGTTTTAAATAGCTTGAAATGGCTTTTGATTGTTCAGGTACTCACTTGAACACGCAAAGGGCTAAAACTGTCTAGAGATAGGGGTGTGTGCATGTGCAAGCAAGTCCTGCCCGCAATGTCCCTGCGTGGGGGCTCCTTTCTGATTTTTGCCCAGTGAGTGGAAAGACATGAGGAGCCTCCATGGGTGGGGTTTTGTGGGGAGGGGCAGTTTTCACCCTCATGAGTTTGGTGAATGCCTGAACTGAACCTGTCTGTAACATGCCAAGCAATGTTTATTCCTTCCCTAGTGATAAGAAGTGCACTTGGTGAATGTTCTAGGTGCAAGTACAACTAGCTGCTTTTAATCTCTCTCTCTATTTTTCCAGGCTGAAAGTCGAAAGAGGGGAGCAGGATTAGGGACCCAAGGGAGGCCCAGCAGAAGGCAATCTAATGAAACGTACCGAGATGCTGTGCGGCGAGTCATGTTTGCCCGCTACAAGGAACTTGAATAAACCTGGAAAGAAATCCCACCATACCCAACACACCCCATACCCTTTGGCCCTTCTTTGTGTCTGTCTTGTTTTTTGAATCAATGTTTTTTTGCTGCTGAAGTGTGTTTTTGTTTTTGGAATAAAACAAAAAAGTCAATGTTTGGTCTCTTCTTTCCCTCTTTCCAGATTTTTGAGCTGAATCTTCCCCGGGAAATAGTTTCGGTTCAAATCCCTTTGAAATGATAGTACATTGTTATATAATAGCAGCCTCGTTCTTTCATAAACTGAAAGAAAATAAGATTATTGATATACAATGAACAACATGGAAATATTAAAGAAGTAATAAATGACTTCATAAGAACAGAAAGGAAAATCGAAAGCAGTGCAGTGTTACCAAAATAATTGATACAGCACAATGTATAAAGAAAATAACAGCAACTGCATAAGATTAACTGCCAAAACAATAAAGCAATTATAGATGGATACAGATATTATATAAAATTACCAAGCTCTACATTGCAGTCTCCTAATACTCACTGCAGCCCATCTATTTCTAAAGCACTGTAAGTTTCCTAGCTGTTCTAGCCACATGGTATTTTAGCATTAAGCTGAAGAGAAGAATCATAGTTGATCACCAGTCAGGTATGCTGCTGGTTTTAGCCACAGGCAGTGCAACCCTAAGCATAGCTACTCAGAAGCAAGTCACACAGTGTTCAATGGGATTTAATCTTAGGTAAATATGTATAGGATGGGACCCGGGTGGCGCTGTGGGTAAAACCTCAGTGCCTAGGACTTGCCGATCGCATGGTCGGCGGTTCGAATCCCCGCGGTGGGGTGCGCTCCCGTCGTTCAGTCCCAGCGCCTGCCAACCTAGCAGTTCGAAAGCACCCCCGGGTGCAAGTAGATAAATGGGGACCGCTTACCAGCGGGAAGGTAAACGGCGTTCCGTGTGCTGCGCTGGCTCGCCAGATGCAGCTTGTCACGCTGGCCACGTGACCCGGAAATGTCTGCGGACAGCGCTGGCTCCCGGCCTATAGAGTGAGATGAGCGCACAACCCTAGAGTCTGGCAAGACTGGCCCGTACGGGCAGGGGTACCTTTACTTTTTAAAATATGTATAGGATTCCAGCCTGGAGTATGCTGCAATATTATGAGAACCTAGTATTTTTTTTGCCCATTTGATGAGTGGGCAATATCAATATCCTCTTAACCCATGCTTTCACAACAAATGCCTCCTTTTGGGCAAAGGGTTTAATTCTTACTAACCTGGGGTGCATTTAAACAATGCGCAAATTCAAATGTTTGGGAATAGAAATACACAAACCATTTTAGGCCACCATTTTCCTGTTTACAGCCTCCACACCCACTACTGTATCCCTGCTAGGGAAACCTATATATGCATCAGTATGATACCAGCCTTACTTCAGAGCTAAATAAGGGTGTGCAGGTGAGAGATTGTAATCTGAAAAAATGATGGGGAGTGGCTGAACTCCTGAGTTGCTGCAGTTCTAGTAAGATTTTCCTCCCTGTTGTTACATCCACAGGTCCCAAGTCACATCCAGTTGTACTTGGAGCTCAGAGCCAGTGTTCTTACTGGAGCCAAGTTCTGCATAAACAAGCTTAGGATGCTTTTCCAACTAATGTGCTTGGTTGCACATTTAGCTAACAATGCTTTCAGTTTGTACAGAAACCATAAAGCTCCCCCCCCCTTTAAGTTGATAATTTGAATTTCAAACAATCTTCCTAAATACCAAAAATGACACGTTCTCAGTGTGTGTGTCCTTATGCAGTTAAGACAGCACCATCCATCACACACAGGAGGCAGGCTTTGGGGGAATCCCGGGGTTTGCAAAAATACAAAACGTATTTAAGAAAGAAACCCCAAAGGTGTGGCAGCCAGGAAGCGATCCACTGTGGCCACATCTATTAGAGAAGGTCAGGGCTGGCTGAAACCAGGAACAGGGCGATCGCTACACATGACAAAATGTTGCTGCAGGTTTCACTTGCAGTTCCCTAAGCATTAGTCCTTTATAAATAGTAGCTCAAAGTTTATTTCTGGAAAGTCGCCGTTTTGGCTGAACTCTATTTCTACAGGCGCAGTCATTCTGCAGTGTAAGGTGTCGCTCCTGAAAGTGGCTGTTGTTGAGGGATATTTTGGTATTGAGAGGCATCCCACCTCTACCCACCCGCGCCAGCCATTTTGGGAGGGTTAGAATTCGGAGGGGGGGGGGTAAAATTGGGAGATCGCTTTCTCGCTCGCCCCACTTATGTAGAGACCATCTTCCCCACCATTTCATACGGTGAGTAAACAAGCGGCAAGCCTTTTGTTTCCCTGTCCTACCTGTAAGGCCCGTTTATGTATTTGCAATAGGACCAAAAATAAGACCAGAATCCGTCTTGACTAGGCGCGTCTGGAGAGGGAGGGGCGGCGCCGGCTACAAAGCGACTCAGTTGAGCGACGGGCGAGACGTTTCCCCGTTCCTGTGTACAGTATATGCTTCCTCAACAGTAAGCCTCACCAAGGAGACTTAATACCAAGTAAATGCGCACAGGATCGCACCCATTACGTGCTTCGCTTGTTTCTCCAGAACGTGGCAATTCTGCAGAAGAAAAGGCTTTTCTATAGACTGCATGTGAATTGCGATGTACCATTAAGGCGTGTGTTAGAAAGCCTACTTAATACCATTTCGCCATTATTATTATTTTTTAAAAAATTAAACATCATGGTGTATTCACACGCTCCAGACTTCTGTTCAGCTCGCTTTATGAAATGGCCGTGATTGCCGGCGATGAAAATTTCACAAAATGGTTGTCTGCCCAGCAGGATCTTTGCAGTCGCGGCACATCACTTTTGCACAAAGCAGGCTCCGTGGCCGGCGGGGAGGAAACCCCGGGAGATGCTTGAGTCATGGGTCTACTTGGGAACGACAAGCTTGCCGCGGTGGGTCTAGCTTCCCATCTCTGATGCCCCATCACGAACATTTTTGGGCACAATCCCTCTCTTCGCCCTCCCTCCCCCACCCCGCGAAACGCAATAAACGAAGGTTGGGCTCCAGCACACCGACGCTACCCAGCAGGCCGCGCGGAGCTCAAGGCTGCCTCTCGAGCTCGCGGCTCGCTGGAAGCTTCCAGGAGGAGGAGCGAGGAGGCGGGGAGCGCGAGGGATTGTGGGTAGAAGACGGCGAGCTCCCCTTCAGCGCCATTTTGTGGTGTTTGACAGAAGCTGGTGTGGCTACTGCTGTAGCTGTTGCGGTGGCAGAGGCGGCCCTTGGCCCATTTCCCCTCCCCGGTAGGTACTGAAAATCGGGTATCCGATGCGGAGACGGCTATATAGTCAGTAGAGAAGAACTCGGGAAGAGTCCTTAGTCTGATTTGGGAATAACGAATTAGAATTTTTTTTTTTTGCCTGTTCATAAGACTTTTAAGCCGTAACTGAAGCCTCCTACAGCTTCAGAGGCGCCAAAGAGAGAAGAGACGCTATAGGGAGCCCGGTTTGGGGGGGGGGGCGGAGGTGGGCGCGGCAGTTTGGAGCGCCAACCGTCCGCTTTCTGAAGCAGGGGAAGGCTTAGGAAATGCTTCTTCGGTGGGAAGGAGCTTCAGTTTTAGGTGTCTTTTAAAATGCCTTTCCGTCCCTTCCTCTGAGTCGCCGCCTCCCCTTCATTGCGTTTGTGGAGAACTCCGCATAATTGCTATTGTGGTCCCTATTGTTGGTCGCCGCAGGTGTGGTTGCGTCCTGCGTTTCTCTCTGCTGCGGAATATCGGCCACCATTAAACGCCGCCCTGTCAGCGCCAGTCTCTTGCAATGCCCAGCGGGAGGCACCCGTTGTAGAAAGGATTCTTCTGGTTTAATTTAACCAAGAGCAGCGTGGCCATTCCGCTTCTGATCTCTATTCCTTCCCAACATATACGTACCTTAAGAGTCACTTTTTGTGAATATCTAAATATATCTTTTAACAGCTCTGCAGATAACCCTTTTACAGCGATTCCCTGATTATCTTGTTACTGGTTTTTTGTTTTTTTTTGCTGCAGACATAGCATTAGGAGCGAGGGTACTGAAAGCTATTTTTTAGTTCAAAGTACTTTGTTGGAGGGGCGTTCATTACTAGGGTGCCAGACCAGGTTTTTGTAGGCTTTACTTTGGAGCCTTGCATTTCTGCACTATGCTTTAAACATGATCGGTTCCGTGTCTGCATTGATTGTTTTTTTCTTCTTCTCCTAAATAGACAACTCAATTCACTAGAAGCAGGAACTGAAGGCAAGCCATGGGTTCTGACAAACGGTAGGCAAAAGCAAACATTGAAGTATTACATAATGGTGGCTGCAATTTCAGAGATGTAGATTGATGAAATATGAAAAACACCTTTTTCCCCTCATGTGTTCCAGATCTGTGGTATATGAAGGTATCTCTTTAGCAATCTTCAGGCGTTACTTGCATGATGGGAACATGTGTGGCCAGGGCGGCTGCATGGTCACTTGTTTAGCCCTGCCCCAAGTTGAATAGCCCCTGCTTCTGCCTTTCTGAAGCAGAGTGCCTATTTGCTCTACAATATAAAAAACCTGGACAGTCAGGGTTGTAAATTGTGTAGGAAGCTTGCATGCACCTCATTGGATCACACCAAATATCCATCTTGTTCAGCATCTTGTTTTTACAGTAGCCAGCAAAATGCCTGTGGTAGCTTGCAAGCAGCACTTGGTTTCAGCAGCACTCTGCCCACATACGATCTTTGGCAACTGGTATTCAGAGGTATATTGCTTCCAGTGTCATGAATTAGTTTAAATCTTTTTTAAAGCCTTCCAAGATAGCCCTTATTAGATCTTGTAGGAATGAATTCCATAGTTTTATATGCTGTGGGAAAAACATTTTTTATTGTCCAGAATTTTCCCACATTCAGTTTCACTGAATGATCCCAAGTACTGTGAGAAATGCTTTTCTCTATCCCCCTTCTGCACATCATTCATAATTTGGTACGCCTTTATCAGGTCCTCCCTTACTTTCCCTTTCTAAATTTAAAGGGCCCCACATGTTGAAACCTTTCCTCATAGGGGGTTGTTTCATCCCCATGATCATATTCAGTCTCCTTTTTTCAGCTGTACAACATCCTTTTTAGGAACAGAAGCCATAATTGTACTCCATATTCTGTGTATGGTCAAACCAAAGATTCGTATAACCATATTATGATATTAATAGCTTTATTTTCAGTGACTTCACTAATGATCCTTAATATGAAAATCAGCATTTTCACCGCTGCTGCACAACACACATTTTCACCAAACTATTCACTATTACCCCAAGGTCCTCTTCCCTGTCAGTTACTACCTGTTCGGATCCTATATAAACACATGTGAAGTTGGGATACTTTTTGCCCCCATGTGCCTCATTTTACACTTGATTATGTTGAATTGCATTTTCCATTTTAATAGCCATTTACCCATTTTGGATGGATCCTTTTGGAGCACCTTGCAATACTTTTTGTTCTTAACACCTTGAATGATTTGCTGGGATCACCAAACTTGGTCGCCTCACTGCTCACCACTAAATCCATTCACAACAAAGAAGTAAAATTTCTAGTTACTCTAAATGACAGTGCCCTTGAACAATTGGCCATGGAAAGGAACAGAAGGGTGGTGACCCCTCTACTTGATCTTTGGCATCCAGCACCTTTTGTGACTTGTAAATGTTACTGAATTGACTACAAACAGTGACCATAATGCTTTCAAATTGAACATACATGTAAGTGAACAATTGCCAAGATAGTCACACTTGACTTCAAAAGAAGAAACTTCACAATGGTTGGGGGTTGTTCAAAACTATAATAATAAAAGCTCAGCTAAAATGTATATTGCTGGTGAGAATGGGTACCATCAAGCCAATGTAATTAACGAGCAAAGTCAAATAATTATATGGAGTAAGGTTTCTTTAAATAAGTAGAAGTCCTATCCAAATCAGAACAAAAAGGAACACAAACTTGGCAAAAAGAAATGCAAATGGACAATGAGGGATGTAAAAAAGCACACTGCCAGTAGCCATAGATAGCCCTCTATGAATTTATGCTGATCCTTTTTTAAAGCCATCCCAGTTGGTAATCACTGCCTCCTGTGGAGAAACACTTTCTTTTGTCCCTTAGTGCAGGGGTCAGCAAGGTTTATCTTGCCTGGGCTGGATCAGTCCCGTGGAGATCCCTCCATGGGCCGGATTGTGGGTGTGCGTGAGCGCGCCCCCATGCGATTTTCAGCGCCGTGGAAGCGAGTCACCGCACTGTGGTAGTTTAGTGCGTGGGCGGGCAACTCGGTTCGGGGGCAGCTCATGGACCGGTCAAACGACCTCCATGGGCCACTTCATGGGCTTCCGGCCCATGGGCCTTAGGTTGCTGACCCTTGCCCTAGTGCCTAAAAAAATCTAAATCCCTCCTACTGTCATCACTTGTCTTATCCATGCATTGAAATTAATCACCTGTGCCTGTCTAGCACATTGAATATGTAGCATTTCACAGAAAGCTACCTTGAAGTTCTTAGCTTTCAATCTGCAACCAAGCAACCTAGAATACAATCCCTGCTTCAGAGTATATGTCACAAGATGATGGGAGGACCTGTAATCTTTGAGTCTGGTCCTAAATGCACAACCCCTTTCGCCAAATGTCCTTGTGTGTTGATGCTTTCCCTGTATGTGTTCGCTTTACACAGGTAAAGTAATAAAAGCTGCTTTGATTGTTTTGATGGAAAGGAAGAGTAAAAACGTGTTTAATAAATAAAAGTGTTTTTTTATAAAGCACTTGAACCACTTTTGTGCATGTATTCACATAGAAAAACAGTTGTGTATTTAACATATTAAAGAAATACACAACACAAAATTAGCTAATATGTTAGTTACAAGAACCTGAGCAAGAGAGACTGTACAATACTTAGGACCCAACTATTTGTATATTTTACCACACCAGTGTAAACAGTAAATAAGGACATATATCCCTGTAAATTTAAATCATCCCTGAAAAAAAAAAGAGTTCATTTTTTTAACAAATAGATTTATTTTTTGTCTTTACAAATGTTAAGTAAGATGCATATTAACTAATTTTTTAGCATTCTAGCCATGTCCCAAATACTATTAAAAGCAAATCCCAAAAGGCAGGTAGGGAATTTGTTTTCCAGTGAAATGCTATTGAGATTTTAAAAGCAGTTAATGTAGCAGTCATTTCTATAACTGTGTTGTCTTCTTAAGTAATTTACAGCACAATCCTGTACACATTTTCTTAAGTCCTGTCTCCCCCAAAGCTTATTACCTAGCAATTGGTTTGGGGATTGTAACTCTGAAATCTAAAATCCTGAAGTAACCTTTTATTTGTTAAGTGGAAAACAGCCAAATTCCAACATTTACTTTTTTATATACATGCAAAAAGAGAGTGCAATTTTCATGCTGTCTTCTATAGCTATTTAGTCAGTCATCAATTAATTTGATTTTTTTTATAGAGGTAAAAATCACAGGAAAAAATACTTGGATTTTTTTCCTTCAATTTAACATTAGTTAGGATTTCTTAAAATGAATGTCTCCCTATAAAGTCACAAGTGCATAATAATTCTTATTAGTCAAAGTTGTACCTGAAATTACCCTGGGCCACCTTTATATATTCCTGGGTAGCTCTTTATGAAAAGCGAGAATGACATGCAAATTACAGACAGTGACCATTTTAGGCACATCCGATATGTTTGTGACTGCACACATGTGCATTGCGTTGAACCCAGAAGTAACACAAAAAGGGGTGGGGTGTTTGCAGGTTTTTTCAGTGGTGTTTCAAATACCGTATTGGCCTGAATATAAGCCTCACTTTTTCCCCAATTTCCAACCATGAAAAGTTTTAAAGTGTGGCTTAAATTTGCGACCTTACAAAAATTGGCTTTTATGATATCTCTGCTGAAACAGACATACGGTAAAACAGAACAGGTATGAGTCCCTGCTGAATTTTAAGGGAGTGGCTTATATTCGGGTATTGTGTCTCTCTCTCTCTCTCTCTCTCTCTCTCTCTCTCTCTCCCCCCCCCTTGAATTTTAAAGGTGTGGCTTATATTTGGGCCAATACGGCATATGTGATTTCACTTTAAGGTGCAGTTACTTAGAATGTAGCCCCCACATAATTTGGGAGTTACTTACCTGTATAGCCGTGTGTGTGTGCGCGCGCTCTCTCTCTCTCTCTCTCTCTCTCTCTCTCTTTTTAAGCCATTGTACTATTGATGCCCCAGTGTGGCTGGGGCTACTTGGGGCTTTATTTGATTATTATTATTATTATTATTATTTTTTGCATAACCCTGTTGATCCTGTTAAAAGCTTTGCTGATTAATTACATTTTTCAAGCTGTCTGACTTGACCAACTCTTTGTGTAGTGTGAGCAGAACTGAACGGAGCGGAAGATACGGCTCTATCATAGATAGAGATGATCGTGATGAGCGGGACTCCAGAAGTCGTCGACGGGATTCTGACTATAAAAGATCCAGCGAGGAGCGCAGAAGTGACAGATACGATGATTACCGGGATTACGATAGTCGGGATTATGATGGCAGAGATTATGATGGTAGAGATTATGATGGTAGAGATTATGACAGTCCTGAGGTGAGCGTAATGTCTATGTGCATGGAAAGTTTTGAACAACACATGTTTTAACTTTGGTTACTGTTATGCAGAAATGGGAAGCAGGTGGCTCTCCAAATACTCTTGGTTAGCATTTTCCATCATCCTTGACCGTTGTCCATTTTGGCTGGGACTGATGGTGGTTGGAGAACCTCGACTGTTGGAGGGCTACAGGTTCCTTATCCCTGGCATAATGAGTGTTTTTGTATTGTGCTGTTTCCTGTGTTAATCAATGGTACACTTCCTAGCTTTACTTACTTTATGGAGCTCATATGGTCACTATTTTTTCTGGATACTGTAGAAAGTAAACATTGTATTTCATGTTTGTCAAGCAAAGAAAGGATTGTTTGAATATGGATTGAATGATTTTCACAAGTCCTGATTGTTTTTTTAATGGATAAAGTGCTATAGAGTCAGCTTGCTAAAACACATGCTTACTTGGCAGAGAGAGCGTGAACGCGAGAGGCGTAATAGTGACAAATCAGAAGATGGATATCATTCTGATGGGGACTATGGAGAGCATGACTATCGAAATGACATTAATGATGAGAAAGAAAGCAAGACCATCATGTTGCGTGGGCTCCCTATCACTGTTACAGACTATGATGTAAGTAATACTTAACTATTGTCTTTAGAATATTTGGATTGCATTAGAATAAATGCTGAAACAGCTTATATAATCTTGAAAAGCACTCAATTTTTAATATTAATAGTTTTTAAAAAAAATTAAACTTGCATACAGATTCGCGAGATCATTGAGTCCTGTGAAGGCCCTCGGCCTGCGGATGTGAGGCTGATGAAGAGAAAGACAGGTGAGAGTGTTAACCTATTTTTTTGGCAGTACCTTCCTCTTCCCCAGGCCTAAAACGTTTTCCCCACACCTGCAAGTACAATCAGAATGAAAGGTTTGCCATGGGTAAGGAATTTGGCCTTTTGAAAGGCTGTAGATAGTGGAAGAAGCCTTCAGATTTTTATATATTAAAGGGTATGGTAAGTAACACCTACCGTTAATTTTTTTTTAAACTTTAGTAGTTCATTGCATGGTTACCTTTAAACATGGATCCCATTCAGGTGTTAAGGCAGCTTGGTTTCCTTGCCATGGCAAAACAAGAAGCAAATTCAGAGTTGACGTCGCATTTATAAAACTGCTTTGTCATGAAGTAATGAAGCAGTTGGAGAGAGATTCACCTGTTTTAAAGGAACTGACTAACACAACTATCCCGTCTATATCTGAATGCTGTCTCTAGGTGTAAGCCGTGGTTTCGCCTTCGTGGAGTTTTATCACTTTCAAGATGCTACCAGCTGGATGGAAGCCAATCAGGTTGCTTCACTCACAAAGTCTAGATTATTCCTGAAAATGGAACAAGTCTGTACAGTTTTTAAAAAGGAATAAATGAAAGGCTGAAGGAGTGGTTTGTTCCAAAACCATGACTTCCTAAAGATTAAAAGCTTTGTATATGTTAAAATTTTCGAAATGTATTTACATAGTGCTAGAGAGCCCCAGTAGATTTGCCAAACTGCCTGTTATAAAATCAGCATATTACTATTCTGATAGTTATAACGTAGCATTTTACCTGACTGATTGGGTCTCTAAACATTATTTCCATAGTAACTTCTCAAGTTTCAAATCATACAGGCTTTTCTGAATGCAGTAATACTGTATGTGTGCTTTATGCTAGCACTAGCTGTGAAAGGGCAGTCTATTAAACTACAGCTGCACTTTTATATTAACGCATATGGCTTTTCAATATTACTTAACAAATGAAAGTGGAACATTGTGGAGTATTACTAATGTAATCAACAAAAATTTGTAATTAAAATAATAGTGAAATAATCTCCCTGCTTATTTCCAGTGCATTGGTATGCTGCTGGATTACTAATACTTCAGTTTTTCATAAGCAAAACTTCTCTCCTACTGAATTGCTGTTAAGCTAGACCTATGCAGCTGGTGGAGATACTAAAAATCTATAAAGAGCAGAATTACAATTATTGTGGCTTAAAAACAAGATTGAAAATGCATCTTTCGCTGAATTTTTCCACTTTTGACATCCAATAACCAGAAGTATAACGAGTATTTCTCTGGACTTCATATCATGGGCAACCACCACAGCAATTAAGCTGAAAGAGTACCTAATCCTTGCATGCATTAAAGTGACTTTTATGGTGTTCATAGCATGCATTGGTGGTGCAGATGGGTGCCTGAATTAACATTAACTGAATTTACTAGTAAACTCTGCACAATTTTTAACATATACAAAGCTATATCAGTATTCATCTTACTGAATAAATTTCAAATTCACTCCAAAAAATAACCACACATCCTCTAGCATTAGGGAAAAGTAGTCAAGTCTCCCCAGTGGCCCTGTTGCTAACTGTCAGACAAACATGATTTAGTGTAAATATGCCAGCAACGTGTGTGTGCATAACCCAGTTTGTTCTGGGTCCTTCAACCTTCCCCTTATTTGCCTACTCTAGCAATAAAAGGATGAAATCTGCACCCTAGAGCTACCAGATACTTTTAAGTTTCTTCATGCCATTTATATTTAGAACTTTACTTTCTGACGTAATATTTTAGCTAAAAATTAGGTTTAACATACACATCTTGACATACTTAAAGGTGCATCTCTCTGAATGAATAGCTGTTAATGGCTTACAGAAATCAGGGGAGGGATAGGGGAACTATGTATATGTAGGAATCAATAAAGTTTAAGTTGAGAAACTTGGCTTCTTCGTATACATTTAAGCAGCTAATCGTTTATAACATCATTCTAACTTTGAAGGGGCACTGAGAGCAAAATGAACTGGTACCCTATTGTGAAATTTCAGTAGCATTGTAGTTATTTGAAGAAAGCTACTGTCTGAAGAACACAAATTTCTTACACAAGCTTTTATGTGAACTGATGAAGTAGTCAAAAAAGATTCATACTGAACGTGTGTTCAGTTCATGACCTTTTGTTCAGCCTCCAGGAAGCTAACCAGGGTCCTCTTGGGAGAAATTACTGTACTTTCAAGGGGCACTTCATGAAGAAAGCAACTGAAAACAGTCCATTTGTTTTGAAGTTTTAAAATTCTAGGGTGTTTGGAGTTGGGAAAGAAGTGAAGCAATCACTTGACAATATTTTTAAAAGCGTGTTGCTATGCCAGTAGGACTCGGTCTCCTTTGAGACATTTCCTGGTTCCATGTCAGCGCTTAGTTTTGGCAGCTTGATCAACACTCCCTGATTCCGTTTACTTTTACTGCACATCCCATTTTCTTACTGCCCGTGTCCTGCAGGATTGAATGGGCAGAGTGTAGGAGGCGGTGGTTGGTTCTCTACGTCCTCCCCCTATGTTGTCCATTTAATTCATGAGCACTGAATCCTCCGAAGTGTGCTCTGCCATGGGAAAATGGACATCTGTGCCGTGATACAGGAATAACTAAATGTGCTTTTTTTGCAGAAAAAACTGTTGATTCAAGGGAAACAAATTGCAATGCACTACAGTAACCCCAGGCCTAAATTTGAAGACTGGCTTTGCAACAAGGTAAAGCAATGTTTCACATCTTTCCTAGTTGCTCTTTAACTTCATTAATCATTATTGACTACACCCATGGAAGTGACTTAAATTTTAGTAACATTTAAAATTCAGAGCTATTACAGCAAAATCTAAATAAATTATAAGGCTTGCCACAAACAAGTACAAACAGTTCAGCAAGAATATACATACCCAGGGAATGATCTGAAGGTGTGTGAGGCCATTCCTTGCTGAAGCTAAGCAGGTCTGTGTCTAGTATTCAGTGCCTGGTTTGGTGACTTTTCTGGGAACCACTAGTATACTTCCCTGGGTTCCACACTGGAAGAAAAGCGGGAGATAAATATGAGAAAATAGAAAGGTTAACAAACTTTAAAGGCAAAAGCCACTGATTATTGGCTTCATGTAGAGATGGTATGGTGTTCTAAAACGATGAGAAATTCTGTGTGCTTTCCCTTCTCTGCTCTTAATGCACGTTCCAGGGCTATAGACCCATGCAGCTGATGGAACTGTGAGCTCTAGCTCTTCTCAACACTGAACAATGTTTACTCCAAATTCAGTGATTCTGTAATATTTCAATAGAAAGATGGGCATTGCCAAGAAAATGCTATAGATGATAGGCTAGTTTATTTTATAGAGGCTACTTGCAGAATTGCTATTTGTGTGAACGGATAAAGTTTGTTGAGACTGGTATCTGAAGGCTGCAGATTATGATTATATATGGTAACAGTTTCACGTTAAATTAATTGGTATAGATGTGGTATGCTACAGCAAGCTTCATCAGCTGAATGATCTAAAAATGTAATGGATTTGTTTGTTTGTTAGTGCTGCCTTTACAACTTCAGGAGGCGTCTAAAATGCTTCCGTTGTGGAGCAGATAAATTTGGTAAGTTCTATTTGAGTAACTTAAACTAAAGATATTTTTATTTCACAATTATAAATTATGCATGTTATTCTTACTCTGACATAGTAGAGGCGTCTTGATGTAACAACCTAAGTTACTGCATGATTAAAATTATTTTTTCTGATTTGCAATAAAGATTCAGAACAGGAGGTACCACCTGGAGGACCAGAGGCTGTTCAGTCTGTAGACTACTACTGTGATAGTGAGTAAAGTCTCAAGTCTTCTGTTATACTGTGGGATTGGTCGGCCAAAGTGTGTGTTGCAAGACAAAGTCCATTTCCTGCCAAGATCCCCATAGATTTGATTCAGTATTTTCATTTTCATTTCAGAAGAGTAGACCATAGGGCAGAAATCCAAGGTGCTGAAGCACAGTAACCCAGAGATTTATAAGAAGTATTGATATCGTTTTAGCTGAGGACACTTGAAACCCAAATTTAGCCCTCACAGCTGTTGCAGGGCTTTCTTTACCCCATTCCTTTCCCCGCCTTCCTCAGTCTTCAAGCATGTTTTACTCTGTTGATGTTTTTTAAACTGATCTTTCTCTACCACCACTCTAAGAGCACATACTCCTCTGCTTCCCCTCCTTAGTACATTACTCTTCTTTTTCTTTTTCATCAGTGGCTCAAGTTTCAAAATGTTCTCAGATTTCAAAAAGCTTTGCTGCAGATTTTGTAAGCTATTCTTGATAAATAAATTTTCTAATTATGAAATGTTGAGCATAATAAAACATTTTGGCACTTTGAGAATTGGTTTTCTCTATGTTTTCCCTTCACTCACTGCCTCTCCCTCCCCTTTTTGGGTCCCTTTCTGTAGACAAGAACCCTCCCCCCCCTCATTGTTTCCTCCCCTGCAATCATGTCATTTCCTATAAGACTTGATTCTCTTTATTTGGTTCTTCCTGCTCTCCATTCTTAGTGCATATAGGAAAGGCCTACTCTAGCTTTATATTTATACTAAGAAGTTCTAACATACAGGCAACAACCGATTTATGTGATTCCAAGGGACACACGCCCACCCCAGAAATCGCTAGAAAAGAGGGGGTGGGGCAAGCTTATACACACTCCACCATTGTGTACAATAACCCAGAACACAACTCCCACATAATCAGGGGTTGCTTGTACTCATATTTAAAACTACATCTTACTAATGTATTCCTGTGATAGTGAGTGTAACATAAATGACTAGGTTATATCCATATACCTTAGGTGTTATTACAAAATATTAATACAATATTTTTTAATTTATGAATTTGGTGTGTTCTTACACTTAAAGGGTAATATATGCATCATCTTGTAATAACTTGTTATTTGTTCTCCTAGCTCTTATTCTCAGAAACATAGCCCCTCATACAGTAGTGGAATCGATCATGACAGCGCTATCACCATATGCTTCACTGGCAGTAAATAACATTCGACTTATTAAAGACAAACAGACCCAACAGAATAGAGGCTTTGCTTTTGTACAATTGTCTTCAGCAATGGTGAGAACATACTTTATTTCACTTTGATACTGAATTTTGTATATGGTCACTGGAAAAAAGTAAAAGTAATCCAGTTCAGTGAGATGTGCAGCATCTTGAGCAACTGCACCTTCTCTAGCTTTGTAGAGGTAGTGGAATTAAAGCAACTTTTGGAGGATCATCTTATTGAAGTACCACATTTATGGCTTACATAGTACTAGATGAGTGGGCAAGACACTTCTTAAATGTGGTGAGAAGGGTACAGCGTTTGGTCATTTTATCAGTCAGAGGCATTGTATCAGGCCATTAATACTCATAATAGAACAAAATCTTGTGTAAAGGTATGCAGCCCACGTGATGTGCCTGCCTAGCTCAGTGCCCTTCTGAGCAATAATTTTGTGTTTTAATTTGAGCTTTGTCCAATACCTGTAATTTCTTTCTAGGATGCTTCTCAGCTGTTGCAAATTTTGCAGAGTCTTCAGCCACCTCTTAAAATAGATGGCAAAACAATTGGTGTGGATTTTGCCAAGAGTGCCAGGAAGTGAGTTTCATTAACTGCTGCTCTTTCATATTTAAAATGTATGTCAAATTTTCTCCAAATGGTAAATAATTGGAAATTGGTATTGCTGCTATATTTGCAAATGTCAGTGATAAAACGGAAATGAAAAGGTGTTTTGAAGCTTTTTATGATAGCAGGTTGTCTGTGAAATGTTCTTAGATGTTTTTCTTGTTTTTAGGGATTTGCTTCTCCCAGATGGTAATCGTGTCAGTGCTTTCTCTGTTGCTAGTACAGCCATTGCTGCAGCCCAGTGGTCATCAACCCAGGTAGGGGATCTGAGTCTAAAATGGATTGTTGTAAATGACCTTGCCTTATTCCATAAATTTAAGAGCCATCTAAACAGCCTTTGTGTTTGGTTTGGTTTGGTTTGGTTTGGTTTGGTTTATTTACTTTACCATATCCTTTAATTTATAGCCTCAAAGTGGAGAAGGTGGAGCAGTTGAATTCAACTACCTCCAGCTGGGACAGGATGGCTATACCCAGTACACTCAGGTACGTATGACTAATATTATCTTAGGTTCACAAGTGAACAGAAATAAGTTGACAGAAAGTTTCCTCTCTTTTCCCACCCACTCCAAAAAGCCCATCCAAGGCTGTGAAATGGGGGGGCAATGAGCTTCTGGGAGGGTAATGAATCATCCCAAAATCGGATTGGGCTCTTCCCCAGTTTTTTTGCAATTAAGCTGAACCTTAGACAGCATCATCTATAAGATTCCCCAACCCTCCAGGAGGCAGAAAACATCATCATTATTATGCATTTCTTTTCTATACCACTTTATATTTTAAACAAGGGGGAATCTCAAAAGCTGTTTACAACACATTAAAACATCAAATAAAACAATCCAGAATCAAACATTACTGAAGAAAGTCAAAGTATACATTCAAAACAACATAACAGGAAACTCAAGATTTCAAAATAATACATTACAAAGGCAGTAAACCACAGAATGCAAATTTAATGCAACAAAAATATCTTAAACGTTTCGTAAGAAAACATTGCTAAAGGAAGTCAAATGTAAAATGCACATTTAAAACAGCTTAATTAACAAGAGAATATCTTAAGCATAGAACGCATTATGCCAAGGGTGGTTCATGGTGGGTGGTAGCTGTAGCAGCTCAGGCCTGATGACCTGGGTCTGCACTAAAGAGAGAACCAAAATGGTCTCCGACCTCTTCAGCAGCCTCAGCTTTTTGTAGCTGGAGTCAGTCAAGGCCCGCCCTCCGAAAGCTGGGTGGAAAAAATTCCACAGGGCAGGGAGCAGGACTTCCATGACTTTTCTTCTATAAATTTATTTCTGTTAAGAGCCAAGCCTGTGTATTTATATTATGTACCACACAAGTAATTTTGTCTTAATTCTTTGCATAGTGTTCACAGGATTATCAGCAGTTTTACCAGAATCAAGCAGGAACATTGGACACAGATTCAGCTACAATATCAGGTAACAGTTTCCTCTTCCTATTACTGTGGTAAAATTCTACTTACCCATGTTCCTGTGCAAGAGCTGTATGGAATACTCAGTGCTTGTCTCTGCATTCAGTAGAGTGGCATACAAGGGTAAACAATGAGTTTGTGTATTTGAACAGTCTAGAAAATCTAAATGCTCTAGTTCAGGCATGGCCAAACTTGGCCCTCCAACTGTTTTGGGACTACAATTCCCATCATCCCTGATCACAGGTCCTGTTACCTAGGAATGATGGGAGTTGTAGTCCCAAAACAGCTGGAGGGCCAAGTTTGGCCATGCCTGCTCTAGTTGAGTAACAAAGTGCTATTGTAGTTTTTCAGATTGCTTTGCTGAACTTTTAATAACTATTGCCAGGTACTCCAGTGACAAGTGCTACTACAGCAGCTGTTGTTTCCCAGAGTCCTCAGTTATATAATCAACAGAACAGCTCTCCCGATTCTCCGGTAAATATAATCTGTATTCTGTTGGAGTGAGATTTTATCTTATAATAATTTGGAAGGTACATTTGGCTGAAAGATACTGGTGTGGCTTAGTAAAGCTTGCATGTATAAACTCCATTTTGGAAGTATTGACCTGTGTGTAGTATACTGAATAGGTTCATTTAAGGCAGCCTTCAAGATCTAGTGAACTCCAGATGTTTTGAACCTCAGCTTCAGTTAACTGCTTTTGGCCATGCTGATTTGGCTGGTGGGAATTGTAGTTAAAAAACCATCTGGAGGGCACCAGGTTGAGGGGGACTGAGTGTAAGTTTTTTTATGTTAAGTTACTGAACAGTTGCAGCTTTTAAAGATCCTATTTTTAAATTGTCCCCCCCCCCATAGACTCAAGTAGCACAGCCAGGCACTAGTGCGCAGGTGCCATCAGCATCTTCAACTGGCGTGGTCCCTGGCACCAAGTATGGTAAGCAAACTTCCCTTCCAATGATCAATGGAAATAGACAGCAGTTAACACTCATACGTATTGATAGTGCTCATTTTTAGGACAAAAGTAACCATGTGGGTAGGATGAACTTGTTTTTAATCCGCTGTAGTGTTTTCCTAAAGTGAGAATATCCAAGACCTTGGGGGGTTGGGAGGCAAAATGAAAGGGCAAAGGCACTGCTGGAAGGAAATGAGTGATACAGAAAACAGGTAAAAGGGAGTTGAGAACGATTATCAGAATTGTTATGAGCAGAATTCCAGATGACGCCTGTAGGTGTCTCAGACCTAGGGTTGATTGAGACTAGCTCATTATGAGGAAGTTGGTCAGACAACTGCTGCTTTATCATATTTACTGTTGTGATTTGTGGTTTTCTTGACATCTACTAAGTAATGGTGATTTAACACACACAGATAATAATAGCTCACATTTCTAAATTTTCAGCTGTTCCAGATACTTCTACATACCAATATGATGAATCATCAGGTTTCTATTATGATCCTGTAACGGGGCTCTATTATGATCCAAACTCCCAGGTAAACAATGCTCCCAGCTCTTTTTAACTAAAAATAACATGGGGTCATAACCTGTGCCAAATCGTGCATACCTTTTGGAAACAGAGTGTCATTCAGTACTGGGTTAGCAACTTGGGGAGTAATCTGTTTCCCAGGCCTTGAACAGTTACTGTCAGTGGAGAGTACTTGGTAGAAGGACCAATTGTCCAGCTTGGTATTACCGTATTTTTCGCTCTATAACACGCACCAGACCATAACACGCATGTAGTTTTTAGAGGAGGAAAACAAGAAAAAAAATATTCTAAAGGAAATAGTGGATATATGATTTTTGTGGTTCATGCTGTGGCCACAGACATGTGATCTGACAGTGAGTTTGGAGTAGCCCAATGCAAAAATCCCGAGGATCCATGTGGATCCATGCTTTGTAACCATGGAGGAGGGAAGGAAGGGGAACTATGAATCCTCTGCTCACGACTGCAGCAGATCCCCGCCACCCGCAGGCATTCACTCCATAACACGCACAGACATTTCCCCTTACTTTCTAGGAGGAAAAAAGTGAGTGTTATGGTGCAAAAAATACGGTAATTTGCAGTAGTGACGTGCATTCATGCATGTGCTGTTCACAGGCTGCCATGTAACCATTTGATTGGTATGTCTTTCAAATCTTTGGCATTATTTGACACAATCTGAAGAAGTGTGCATGCTCACGAAAGCTCATACCAATAACAAACTTAGTTGTTCTGTAAGGTGCTACTGGAAGGAATTTTTTTATTTTATCTGAAACAATGTTTGCACAGACAATATTTCAGAAAATCAGAGGCTGCATAGGGGGTTTTCTCTGTTGATTAATAATGTGAACCCATAACAATCCAGATTTAACTCATACTTCTTGGTTTTGGTATCTGTCTCTACACCAGTTGCATATGAGGAAATTTTATTTTTTTGAAAGGTAGCTTGATCTATAGGATATAAATATGAATAGATATGGATTTTTCCCCCCTCAGTACTACTACAATGCGATAACACAGCAGTATCTTTACTGGGATGGTGAGAAAGAGACCTACATGCCTGCAGCAGAGGGTACATCTTACCATCAAAATAATGCATCTTCCACAAAAGAAGGGAAAGAGAAGAAAGAGAAGCCCAAGAGTAAAACAGCTCAGCAGGTGATGATCAGAATGACAGCTTTAATTGATAAGATCAAAGTTTGCATGTTTGAACACAAAACACTCGTTTTACTTCAATCACATAATGAAAATTGCATGTCTTATTAACAGCATTAAGTGAAAAACTGGATAGCTTAAAAGGATTTGGCACCATAAGGCAGGTGTTACATGTTTACAATATCAGTGGGTCCCAATATGCTCAAATCACTGACAGGATGACACCTCTCGTGAACCTAGGCAATTTAGTAATATAACCTTTAAATGCGAACTAAACACTTAAGTTGGTTATGTAAAGATTTCCAAATACATGTCTTTGCACACTAGTTTGATAACTCATTTGACAAAATTGAGTTGCATGTGAATAACCTGAAATCTATAGGTGCGGAAAATATGATATTGTATGCAGATACTAAATTTGATTTGTTTTCTTGGTATAGACTTAATTTATGTCAATGTTTTACTATTTAGATTGCTAAAGACATGGAACGTTGGGCTAAGAGTCTAAACAAACAGAAGGAGAACTTCAAGAATAGCTTTCAGCCGCTGAATGCAAGGGAGGAAGAAAGACGAGAATCTGCAGCAGCTGATGCTGGCTTTGCTCTGTTTGAGAAAAAGGTAAAGGTTGGTAGGATTTAATATCTAAAAAGGATATTGTATACAGTTTTTGGGCTTAACAGTTTTTTCTTTCTTCAGGGTACCTTGTCTGAGAGACAGCAGATAATAACAGAAGTTATAAAGAATGGTGGTGAAGATGATAACCCACTGAAAGTGAGTGAATATAAACTTACAGTGACATTAGTGTTGTTTAAGTTTTTTGTTAACATTCCTAATTCATAAATAAGTTTTGGCGAGTGCTTTCTTTGAGCTGTGAAACACGTGTTCTTTTTGTGATGGAGCAAGAATCAGAATTGATATTTTTTTTTTGCAAGCTTATATTTAGTGGTCATTCTTATTTCAGCTAAACATGTTAATTAATTAGGCTTCCGTGTCCTTTATGCAATAATTTAGAGGTTTGCAGACAGAGGTACTGAAAACAGGAAGGAGTATTTTGGGACCCTTTTAATCTCTGGAGTTGCAAAAGGGCTGTTGGCCATTGTGATGAAACTTTGTTGGTCTTAGCTGGGAAGCTGATCTTTACAGTAACTCCTTTCTTTATAGGGTGTTCCTTCTAAAAAGGAAGTAAAGCAACATCTGAGAGTTATGGGATATGGGACATTCAGTAGAGTTCTAATCTTGTCAGGGAAACAAATGGAATTTACACGTTCATAGGGTGCCTCTTTGTCAGGCATGTTGAGTTGTAGAACAGCAGTGGCCTGAGGTTTCCTATATCAACCCTCTAGTGGTAGAGCCCATAACAGTCTATCACCTGCCCTTTAGTGTGATAGAACTTGGCAGCTTGTATTTATTGGGCTAAAATGACATTACTCCTCTTCCAGCGTGGATTGGTGGCTGCTTATAGTGGAGACAGTGATAATGAAGAGGATTTCTTGGAAAGGCTGGAAAATGAAGAAGAAAAACTAACAGACTGGAAAAAAATGGCCTGTTTGTTATGTAGAAGACAGTTCCCAAATAAAGAAGCTCTAGTCAGGCACCAACAGCTCTCTGATCTTCATAAGGTAATCAACTTCTTCAAACAATAAATTCAATATTGCAGAATTTTATAGTTGCCACCCAAAATAACTGAATATCAACTTGTTCTCTTGGCTTGGCGCAGGGGCGGAAACATGGAAAGTGGTCAAGAGGATTCTAGACAAGTGGAGAGTTTCTCTTTTCCCTCTGTAGTTCGAACCTTGTCGTCTTAATTATAGTTACTTATATCTCACCTACTAAGTAATACTAAACTCCATTTTAAAAAGCACAATAAGCAATATCAACATAAAAAATGTTAGTATTTTTTCCACAGGGTAGTTGATGATAGAATGGCCCTGGCTTTGCGGGGTGGGGGCAGTAGTGAGCTGGAGCGCACTCTTAATATTACTATGCCTGTCTATGTCTTCTGTTGGGATACTTCCCACAGGGTTGTATCCCACATGATTTGGGGGGGGGGGGCACAAATTTTGTCTGTCTTTTTAGATATACAAAATAGTATGTGGCATTGAGCTCACTTGCAGTGTTTTATTACTTATGGATATTGCTTGTTAGGAATAAAACTGTGAGGTAGTCTTAAATCAGATTTTTTTTCAAAAAAAAAATAGCTTCCTGTGCCAGTCTCAATTATTCAATTTTGATTATTTTTTCCTATAAAGCAAAACATGGACATCTACAGGAGATCGAGACTATCAGAGCAAGAGCTCGAAGCCTTGGAAATGCGTGAGAGAGAGGTAAGTGGTATGTAAACAAGACAATAGATTTTGAGGTGTTCATTCAGCCCCCAGGCAACATTCCACAAGCATTCTGTTGCGATCCCCAAGATTTGGGTTAATTCTATTGCTTTCAAAAAGAAATTGGAATGATAGAAATGCAAACTATGGTTCTCAAACACGAAATAAGTAAAAGATGGGAAGTCCTGGATTGAAACTTGGTAGTTGAAAAAAAGCTCAAGGGGAAGGAATATATCTTGCCAACCCCTAACATTTAGGAGCTTCCAGTGTCCTAGTTTTCTGCAACACAGAAAAAAATACATCTTGTTCACATGTGTCTTTTGGGGTGGGGCATAAAGATTTTAGATCAACTAGTTATGCAGCCAAAATCTGCAGAATGATTGCTATTCATGTCCTTTTGTATTAACTGTTGCAATCTGGTTCAGAACTTTTTGTTGTGCCCCCTTTATTTTGTCAACGTTAAAAATGGGCAACAATTCTTAATTCTGAAAGTAATTGAATCCAGTAGCAATAGAGTGGGATTAGTCTGTATGATGTGCACCCGTTCTTTCTCTTTTTCTCCACTGTTTGGATATTGTACTTGACTCTCTTGCGTTCTATACTGCCTACATCAATAGATGCCACATTGTTTTGCTACTTAGAAGCAGAAGGGTACTAGAGTATGTGCTGGGGTTGACAATGAGTTCAGAAGTTGATGAAATTGATATAATTTCAGATGAAATACAGAGACAGAGCAGCTGAAAGACGTGAGAAATATGGCATACCAGAGCCACCAGAGCCAAAGCGGAAAAAAGTGTTTGATGCAGGCACTGTGTATGTATTTGAAATATTTTACCATTTTACATTTAAATTAAATTCTCTAAATTTTCCTTAGTTTAACTGTGTGTTTGTTTTTTAGGAATTATGAACAGCCCACAAAAGATGGCATTGACCATAGTAATATTGGCAACAAAATGCTTCAAGCTATGGGCTGGAGGGAAGGTTCAGGATTAGGAAGGAAATGTCAAGGTATCACAGCCCCCATTGAGGTAAGCAGGGAGGAGTTGTATATGGTTGTCATCCTAGATAGTTGAAAAGTGGTTAAAAATCTGAATTACATTTAAGTATACAATCTTAAACATGCCCACGCTTCCATCTCTCTTGAATGGAGGAGAGATGCTCAGAACAAGTGTGGCAGTGACAGATTTAGGTGACTTTTTCCCATTGGGGGACACACTTGCTCACACCATTTTGTGCTCCTGTTTCTTTCTGCTTTTATGGATGTGACAGCCATTTTGTGTTAACCACGGCAGACGTTTTCTGAATAACACTCATGGCACTTTTCAAATGTGCCCACTGGCCCAAAAAAAAGGTTGCTGAATTGGGACAGCATACCTGAGGAATATTTTTTTTTGGGGGGGGGGTGGATCATACTTGCTTGGCTAAAAAGTGAGTTTAAATTATTTTTCAGAGGTGGGGTGTTGTTCACCCATTGAGACTTGTGATGAATGAAACGTAACTTCTGTGGTCATGTTTGTTTTGCTGCTGCTAAAATACCTGTGTTTCTTTGCAGGCTCAAGTGAGAATGAGGGGAGCTGGGCTAGGAGCAAAAGGTAGTTCTTACGGTGTCTCTACAGCAGACTCTTACAAAGATGCAGTACGGAAAGCTATGTTTGCTCGATTCACTGAAATGGAATAAGCACTGTCCATCTTGGAAGCAGAAAAGCATGAAACATCTCACCCTATTTCCCCCCATACAGACTGTTAAAATCCTTATGACCTTGGAGGCATTGCAGTTACTTTAGTTATGGCTTGAGGTTAACTACTTCTAGTTTCAGGATTTCCATAAATTCCAGCGTGTAATGCTTCTCTTTGTGGATCATAAAACACAAAACACCACAGCTTCATGTTGGACGAACCATAACTAGATTAAAAGGGGGTGCTGGATCTTTATACATTTTTGTATATAGTGTAAATTTATGTGTCATGCTATTAAATTTGTGTAGTCAAAAACCCACACCTGTCCTGTGGAGCAGTTGAGGAAGTGTTAATGTGATTTTACACTGTTATATCTGCCTACTTTGTACTGTTTCTCATTTTTGGCAAAACTTTCCTGTATATTTTGTAAGATATGTCTTTGTATAGTTTTTTTCTCTCTGAAGATTTTGATTATAGATGCCAGTCCAGGCTTCTTTCAAGAAGAAATAAAGCCTAAACCAAATTTTGTTTCTTAGCGGGGAAAGTTGATTTATGGAAAAGAATAAGTGACTATGTCTAACTACCTGTTTGCTGATGATAACAAATAGATAAAATACCTTTGGTCCTGCTCTGAAGTATTCAGAAAAGGATCTGTATGTACCCAAAAAATGGCACCTACTGCCCTGGTTCCCATGACACCAGCAATCCTGTTGACAACACTAACCAAGTTATTTGAGCTCTTATCACATAATTGGGGTTGTGTTACGGGAATATATCCATCTGGGGATTAACAAATAGGAAAGATTTAGGAAGACTGCAAGTGTGCCAGCAGAACTCCAGGAAAAGAAATGGGTCAGGATCCTATGCCCAAGCAACTATATAGCCAGTCCCCTACTGCCACATCAATTTCCTTTCCTTCCTAGTATGGGATAGTGGTTTCTCCTACCTTCTCTGCTCCTGTTGGATGGTTTTTCGCTTTCTTTGCTTTATTCTCACCTCTTGTTTCTCTGGATTGTCTCTCTTGGTTCTGTTTCTCCACTTCTGGTGGCTTTGGCAAGAAAGCATTCCTCCTGAATAAAGATACAAGCAAGTGTAAAGTGCATTGGAGAGTTATTAAACTGAATGCTAGAGCTGCAGTAGTGCAGTTCACTTCAACAGGGGATTCCCTAGCCCCTGAGCATGGCTAAGAGCTTTATTCAGTTGCTGTCCGTAGAATCCGTAATGCATTCTTTAGGGAGCCAGCACAAATAGGCTGGCTACAGATGCAGTAGTCAGTTTGGACTTCAGCAAAGGGCATAATTGCTCCGCTTCTTAAGTGAGTAGTTGGTGTTGTCTTGGATGGGGGAACTACTGGCGTATCCCTCTAAATTCCACTAGAAGGCTTCTACATGGCATTTTGCCTAGTGAGGTTCCCTCCAGGTGTATCCTTGCAGAGAAGCACAAGCCAGAGTGCAGCAGGCAGCTAGCTGCCAGTCTTTTCTCTATTCCCTACTTTCCTTCCCATGGAGATGGAACTGCTTGGCCTTTGTATGATAGCTATCTTCAAAGGACTCTCACATGGAGGATGGAGCAAGCTTGTTTTCTCCTTCAGAAACTAGAGAGTCTGAACCAATGCATTCAAGTTTCAAAACACGAAACCCTGTAGGAATTACCTTTCTGTGAGGGCTGTTTAACAGACATGAGAGGTGGTGTTCTCCCATTGGAGGCTTTTAAGCAGAGGTTGGATGGCCACCTGTCATGTAGGATTTCGTTGAGATTCCAGCATTGCGGGGTGCTGGATTAGATGACCCTCTGGGCCCCTTCCAACTGATTTATAATCTGAATTGAAGTAGTGCCCTAAGCCAAGTTCTACCTACATACCTTAAAGAGTAGGTCCTGCCGCATCAGAGTCAGATTGTCAATCCTGGTTCCAATTCAACCTCACCCATCCCAGTGATGACATCCTTTAGTCGGTGGCTCAAGCACCCTGTCTCAGGAAGGGAGAGGTTGCAGGAAACCAGGGGAGTAGAGTGCTCTTGTGCTCAGGTCCTGCTTGCAGGTTTCCTACAGACATCTCATCAGCCACACAGAGAACAGGATGCTGCTCCAGATCAGCCATTGGCATGATCCAGCAGACTTCTAGTGTTACGAGATTCACTTCTGAAGAGGATTTCCAAAACAGAGGCCTGTCTTAGCAGGTCCTGGTAGGGTCAGTTGATTCAGAATGGAGCTGTCGGAAGCAATGGCACAGCAGCAAGTAGCTGGAGCTCCATGGCTTCCTTCTGGCCCATGGGTTTTGCAGGCCACCTGTTCCTGAATCTCATGTTTGCCCATGTGGATAACATCCATCAGGGCATATTGGGGGAGGAGAGAAGAGAACTGGGTCTCAATTTTTTGCACAGGAAGCAATACGAACATAAAGTGGACCCTTGCTGGATCAGACCACAGTCCTGCTCCAGGACTGTGGTCTGATCCAGCAAGGGTCCACTTTATGTTCTTACAGGAGCAGACCTTGTTTTGCACACCAACAGAAGTTCCTGGAGAGTTCAGAGGCAGTCCCACATACAGCACCTTGCAGTAATCTAAAAGGGAGGTTACTAAGGCATGGATTATTCTAGCTAGGTTACATGTGAGGGCAGGGGCAAAGTTCTCATTATCAACCTAAACTGATAAAAAGTACTCTGTGCTAGTACCTTGGGTGGCAAAAAATGAACACCGCTCCCCCAGAGTTAGGTCTGATTGTTTTGAGGAAGCATAACCCCCAGAAGAAGAGGCTGAACACCACTCACTGGGTACACAAAACGGGGGTCAGCTCCTCTTTCCAGTTTGGGGCATATATTATTTGGGTAGCTGTGGTTGCATACATTTGTTTTTTGTTTGTCTTTCGGCATCTCTTCAAGTACACCTAAAAGAAAAGCTGGGGTTTTTAAAAACATATTTTTAAACATATTAAAAACATATTTTAAACATATTTTTTCCAATTCATTATAAATCATTTCCCAGAAGGCTTTTGCAACCTTACAAGATCATCACATATGAAAAAGTTTCCTTTCTCTTTACATTTCCAACATATATTGGATTCAGACTTACACGTTTTTGCCAGCTTGCTAGGCGTCAAATACCATCTATACATCACCATGTAGTTTTAAAGTGTAGCATGCTGTAAATTTTAAATCTTTCCAAATTCTTTCCCATGCTGCCATATCAATATTATAACCTATATCCATTGCCCAATGTATCATTGATGATTTGACCATTGCATCCTTCCATTTCACATTCTAATAATAATTTATACATTTTAGACATTATCTTTTGATTATTCTAATTGGGAGGTTTGAGTTGTAAAGACATTTTTTTATCTATCTCAAATATCTCATTTAATTGGCGATATTGTGGCCAACTTAATATTCCACTTATTTCTTCAAACTTTTTTAGTTTAACCTCCCCTTCCACCTCTATTAGCAACTCCCTATATGTTACCCAGTCCACTTCCATATTCTTTTTCTCCCACCGCTATGGCTTCTACTGGTGAGTGCCACATTGCTGTTTTCTTTTCCAGCAAGTTTTTTATATTTATCCCATACTCTATATAATTTTTTTACTAATTATATGGTTGGTGAAACCCAGCACTTTTTTTCTGGGGGTACACAGGGGTACACATAACCCTAAACATTTTGTGAATCTAAGTTTGGCCTCATTGGGCATTTCAATGTGAGTAGGAAAATGAGAGTACCCTAAACATTTTTTTAGAAAAAAAAAAGCACTGGTGAAATCTTTGTTTTCCAGTTTTCCCATGCCATAAATATGCATACCTGCCAAATTTCTTATGTCCTTCAGGATCCAAAACCTGCATATTCTTCAATAAAAACCGCTCCTTTAACCAGCAAAGACAGGATGCCTCATAGTATAGTCTTAAGTCTGGCAGCAAGAAGCCACCTCTTTCTTTTGCATCAATTAAAATTTTATATTTTATTCTTGGTGTCTTCCCTTGCCAGATAATTTTTATTATGTTTCTTTGCCATTCCTTCAAGCACCCTGCATTACCAATCACTGGAGCTGTCTGAAATAAAGTCATCCTCAGCAGAACATTCATTTTTATGACTAAAACCCTTCCTAATAAAGTTTCATTCTTCCCCATATTTCTAACTTTTTCTTGATTTCTCTCCATGTTTTAACATAATTACCTTGAAACAAATTTAGTTTCCTTGCTGTTAGCCATACCCCCAAATATTTTACCTTTTCCTCTATCAACAGACCTGTTTTTCCCTCTAGTTCTTTTTTCCTTCATGTGTTTCACTAACATTTTGGTTTACTCTTGTTCATCCCACTAACAGTATCTGTTTGCTTCTCATGATGTATCTATAATTCACCCTCTCAAACATTTCTCCTGTATGAATATCCCTTCCACCTAATAAAATGTACAATGTGACGTATGCAGACCACATATGATAAAAGGGTCTACATGGTGGTTGGGAAGATTACATATACAGTGGTACTTACATATACAGGTTACATGCGCTTCAGGTTACATACGCTTCAGGTTACAGACTCCGCTAACCCAGAAATGGTACCTCGGGTTAAGAACTTTGCTTCAGGATGAGAACAGAAATCGTGCTCTGGCGGCATGGCAGCAGCAGGAGGCCCCATTAGCTAAAGTGGTGCTTCAGATTAAGAACAGTTTCAGGTTAAGAACAGACCTCTGGAACGAATTAAGTACTTAACCCGAGGTACCACTGTATATGGAATAAAAATCTACACCCACAACCCACCACCACCATTGCTGCACCCAATAATAAGCTCTGCTGTTTGTGGATGTGTTCCCCTTCTCTTGGTTAATAATATCATTCTGTGAGTGATTTGTTTACACATCCAGGAGCACATGTTTATCTTAACTTTTCTGTTCCTGTTTTTCAAATAGCCACGAATTTCATTTCCATCTGGGTGTGTCCCAAATGCCTATCTATGGAATCAGGACAAGGCAGGGTAGAATAGCGCTTGGCACAGAATCGTCGTCTGCACTACTGCGTAATCCCCACTAGGCGACAGCAGATTCCCATGAATGACAGTCCCTCCTTACCCCTGCTACACAGCGCTTTCTCATGTGGCTTGCTCAGAAAAGATACATTTGTCTTTACCAACCAATAAACTTGCAACCAATAACAGATACTGCATCCATGAGCTTAAATATAGCTTTATCCATGGTAGCAGATCCACAATAGCCATTGAACATAAGCCCCACTCCTCCAACCCAAGTGGCACTTTAAAGGACCTAAAGTCTATCATCTTCTCTCACTAACTTTCGGGAACCTCACTTCCACAGAAAGTACGGGTGTGCGCATGTGTGTGCCAGTGTATGGGAGGAGAGGGAAATTATTTCAATAAGCTACAACTTACTGTGATAGAATGCTATGATTCTATTTGATATATTTGTGTGTCACTGCTGGCAGAGGAGGGACAGCAAAACCCTTGGACCCAATTGTTTTAAGATTAGATTATGTTGACTTCAGACGCCCTGTGATGATTCCACTAAAGCAAAAGGGCTGCAAGCTCTGGTAGGGATTGTGGGCTCTTGTCCACAATATCCTTTATTTTCTTCTTTGGGATGCAGCCGTAGCAGATGTCCAATGTCTTCTCCACCTGCCACTAGTCAGTGAAGGGCTCACAAATCTCTTGCTGTACCACAATGCTCTGTTACATATTGCAGGAGGAGATCCTAGCAGGCTGGATAGAAGGACAGACAAGGGAAGAGTTTCCCAAATGACATGGGCCTGAGCACTAGATGGGGTTTATACGCTTGTCTTGACTCTCTATTGGGCATCCAACTGATAACATCATGAATTGCTACTCCCTGCCATGCCCTGGACAGCGCTGGCATATGCTCTGCCACTGTTCCAGTATGAGCACCAGTGGTGTGGTTGGTTAAGTTGCCACTGCAACCAGGACTGGCTGGCTCAGATTGAGCAATTAGGCAAATATCTGCTCCCAAAAAAAGGACCTGAGGTGACATGCTAGACTCATGTTTCTCTTGGTGAGAAACTGTTGGCACAAAAGGGCAGGTGTACTTCAAAGACTACATGGAGACTGTGGCAGTGGTGTGCTTCCAAGCCATTGCTGGAAC